TTTCTTGCACCTTTTTTTAATGAAATGAGTGGAGATGGTTAGGCACACAAGTTTTGGGGGCTATTAATTACATATCAATCGGTCATAAATTCTGAACGCCTGTCCTTTTCAAGAGGTTGGAAGGAAGAAAAGGATCAAGGGCAAAAGTGACAATGTCAGATTCCCATATTTCTGCAATGAGAAAGTGCAAACGAGGACCTTTCTCCCTCCTCACTGTGTTGGAATTTGTAGCATCATAACAATGGGCTACGCTGCTATTAACCACCTTCCATATGTTCCAAGTGAGGATTATACCAGGCAGCAGAAGGGTGTCACAACTGAGACACAGCAGGTTGGGTACATGACTTCAAAATGACACTGGCCTGCAGTTAAAGTCTAATGTGGACCTGTCCCAAGAGTCAAACATTCCTTTGATGTTGCTGGTTTTACAAGTGTAATCAGATTGAGGCTATTCCTGGAGTTTTGTGTGATATTTAATGCCATTCATTAATAAATAACTTGGCGTGCCTCACCTTGTGTTGACATTTTCAACAGGCTATAAAACGTTGGAACGGCTCTGCAGGAAAATGCAGTTTTAATTCAGAGCCTTCTAACAAAATTTGCTAAAATGTGGACATCTAGTGGCTCCACCTATTATTGCAGTCTTCTTTCAACATGCTTGTTTTTTCCTCATTGGCTCAGTGGATAAGCAGGGTGTGGTGGTTATTATAGCATTGCTTGAAGGACAGAAAGTATTGTACCATTTAAGAACCGCCCTGCGAAACAGATTAATGCGGCAGAATTATTATTTTTAATACTTATCTCAGAGATATGCAAAGAGAGATTCAATGCCAAATGCAGACACCCATTTATTAGCAGCAGCTAACCAATCACAGGACAAGGCTGTGCTGAAATAACAACAGCAGCTCCCAGTTCAGTTGTAGGCATAATTTAAAGTGCTGGTTTTAACCATTAAAGCCCTTGACAACTTTGCTCCAGGTGATCGTAGGAACTCTGTTCCAGGGATGCCTGGTAGACCAGCTCCAACACTGCTTTTAGGAAACTGATAAAACTTCTTTATTCCATCAGAAATTTTGGGGGAGGAGACAGTGAACCAGATTAAATTTCAATAATTGAGGCCATTTTATTTGCTGCTCAAATTATGATTCTAATTTTTTAGAGTTTGTTTTTATGACTGTTGAAATTATTGTGCAATGTTATAAGCCTTCCTGAGGACTCTGTAGAGTTATGGGGTGAGATATTTTGGCATATAAACTATACATAAGGTATAGAATCTTTGGAACTCCCTGCCTATTGACATTAGCCGTGCTCCTTTGCTGTACTGTTTTTGGCACCTGCTTAAAACATTTTCGTTCCCATAAGCTATTTAGACACGTAGTTGTTGACATGTTTTGTCCACTCTGTTTCAGTTAAAAACAACCTATTCTCATTCTCAGTCCAATTCAGTGCACATATTTCTATAGCCCACTGCAATAAAACTATGGGGAAGTTAAACTATTGTCAAATCTGACCTGGATAAGTAAATTCATATTTTATGCCTTCTGCCATTGACAGTTCTGCAGGGGAATGTAATTACCCTTGACAATGGCTTTTATTACTTTGGAAGGAAGCAAACTCATGGCATAGAGGTCAGTGAACTGCTGTCAGCCTAAACTGAATTTGTTGACACATGTCTATTTCCAGCAACAAATGGGCACATAACATTTTAGCGCTTACAAAATCAGATTAAATTGCTAAACTTACTGTATCTAAAAGAACTCCAGCTTTTCATTTCCCAAGGCATTTCAACAATAGGGAGAAGGGTAGCTCTGACCTGTAGGACAGCAATCCTGACACCTATTCAGAATGATTATCCCACTCTCTGAAAATAGCTAGTTGTTATTAGTACAGCTGAAAAAAAATACTTCAGGGTTAGAGAGAGAAAAGCCATGTCCTCGTTTCTTTTCCCCTCTCCTCCCCCACCTGTGAGGAAGGGGTAAAAATATATATGCTGAAAATGTCCCATTTTGAAAGCCTTTGCTTTTTTCAGTTTCACAGATTCATGAATTGCCAAAGTGGTAAGTATAACTGCTATTTTTCAGGGTTTTAGAGTGATGCAGGTCATATTCATATCACACATTTAAAGCACATGGCTTACCTCCCAAATAATCCTAGGAACTGTAGTTTATTAAAGATGCTAGGAACTGAAGCTCTGTGAGAGGTACCGGTAAATTACTGTTGCATGTCATCCCAATCTCCAAGCAGTGCAAGATTCTAGGAGTTCCAGTCAATGATCCAGGGTTCGGTTTCCTTTGAATGAGGGACAGTGGAGACTGTGATCTTTAGGATATATGGTTTATTTACACCTATATACAACCTGAGCCTATGGTAGAGGGACTCACAACATTAACATTCCAAGAAGGTTGTGTTTTTCCTAAACCCAAATCTTGGATTACAGCAGAAATCAGGCATGGTTGTGGCTCTCAGCTGCCCAGCCTGCTTCTAGCTCTCACACACAACTCTGGTTTTTGTACTTCTAACCAACAGACAGTTAAGGGAGCGGGATCCAACCATTTGCTTTCTGGCACATAGCCACTTCCTTTGCTATCTTAATGACCTACACATGAGCCATTACTAAGAAGTTTGTCAGACTATTCGAGCGATTGAATCTTTGTTGGATCCAGGAATTAGAAGGGCCTCGGGCATGCAGCCTATTCCATCCCAACAATACAGTTCCCATGATTATTTTGGGGAAGTTGGGTGCTTTAAATATGTGGTGTGGATGTGACCAGATATGCTATTTAAAAAATAATAAATAAAGGTCCCCTCAAAAATTAGCTTTAAAATGGTAGGGATAGTGGAGTTACATATCATCAACAATATCTAGATCTCTATGGTCGGAGCAGGGGGATAAGAAAGTTTATCAAGCGGAATTGACTATGAAACTAAGAGGAAGAGACGACAACTAATTTAAGGAAGAATGGAAGATGTTTATTGCATATTTACAGAAGTAATGTACACATTAGCAGGGTTTTAAGATTACTTGTAATTTTGTTAGGAATGGATAATAGGGATTTTAATAGGTTAAAATTTAACAACAGACATGCAGTATGTTGATAAATAATAGAACCAAGGAAGAGATTAGAGGGAAGTCAATTTGTTTTGCTTTTGTATTGTTCTTGTTTTTATTTTTGTTATTTTTGGAAAATCAATAAAATGTTACTTTATATATATATATATAAGATTAAGTTTATCAAGCAGTAATACTACATACAATAGGAAAGTCCTATCTTGTCATAGAATCTTGAGAGTTGGAAGGGACCTCAATGGTCATCTAGTCCAACCTCCTGCAATTCAGGAATCTCAGCTAAAGCATCCATGACAGATGACAATCCAACCTCTGCTTTAAAATCTCCAAGGAAGGAGAGTCCACCATGTGTTGTGGGAGTCTGTTCCACTGCTGAACAGCTCTTAGTTTCAGAAAGTTTTTCCGGATGTTTAGTTGGATTCTCCTTTCTTGTAACTTGAAGCCATTGGTTCAAGTCCTACTCTCCAGAGCAGGAGAAAACAAGCATGCTCCCTCTTCTGTCTGACAGCCCTTAAGATATTTGAAGATGGCTATCATATCTCCTCTCACTCTCCTCTTCTCCAGGCTAAACATACCTAGCTCCTTCAAGCGCTCCTCATAAGGCTTGTCAGTTGCCCAAGAATCTACAGAGCGGCCTATGCTGAAAAGCAGACTCCTCCAATAAGCAAATATAAGAAGTGCTGGTTTTGTTTTTCAAATACCTTTCAACCAGCACCCATTTTGCCCTACACTGCACATCGTTCCTTAACCGACATGGTTGAACAGGTTGATGTGGAGAAAGAAGAGGGAACTCCCTTGGGAAATGGAGGATTCTTAAACTTAGCTGCCACCTTTCAAAAATAAGGTCTGCCACTTCTGCCACGGAACAAGAGGAAGCGGGGAGAGAAGAGGAGCATGAACGCTGATGCTGCCGTTCTTTTACACCCAGTACTTAAGAGCAGACACGCTACCCCATGGGTAGACAACCTAAGGCCCGGGGGCCAGATCCAGCCCAATCGCCTTCAAAATCCAGCCCACAGACAGTCCAGGAATCAGCGTGTTTTTACATGAGTAGAATGTGTGCTTTTATTTAAAATGCATCTCTGGGTTATTTGTGGGGCATGGGAATTTGTTCATTTCCCCCCCCCCCCAAATACAGTGCGGCCCCCCACAAGGTCTGGGGAACAGTGGACCGGCCCCCTGTTGAAAAACTTTGCTGACCCCTGCGCTATCCTATCTACATTCATGCGGGAGCAAAGCCCACATAGCAGACGTTTCCAGGATTGGCACAGTCTGGGTCACTTTGGAATAATCTGCAACAGAATCCCACACTTCTCAGGCGCAAACCCCACTCTCTTCAACGGGGGCTTATTCTCAGGTGAATAGGCGCTGGGGTTGCAGCCTACAGTCTTCAGGCACCAAGTGGGTGGCCCTTTCCAGGGTGCCCCCCACCCAAGCGCTTGGGAATCAACTTCCGACTTCTTAACAATATTCCCAGCACCAAGGTAGAAAGATTACAGAGCGCATGCGTTTTCTTTCCCCCACCCCCGCCCTCTTTACGCGTTGCCGATTGGCTGCGTAGTTTTCGATTCGTCCTATTGCCGCAGCGCAACGAGCCAACGTTACGACGTTCCTATATGTAGACCTCCGGTTCCCAATCGCAGCGTGGAGAGTCTGCCATATGCGGGGAAACGATAGCGGGGATTAGTGCAAGAACCGAAGAACGACACCCTGAACGTTAGAGGCTTCCTTGCTAGGGTAGGACTTTGGGAGAAACAGCAAAAGAGAGAGACTCACTCAGTGAGCAGCATTGCCTAGATAAGCATGATGATGGCCATTTTACTTTAAAGTCTGAATTTAAGGCTGCACCTCTTCTACTCTTGCTTCACATATATGGAGGACGCGAGTAAGAACCGGAAGTGATGGTTACATGGCACGCTTCGTTTTATTTTTACCTCTTTGGAAGCAAGAGGCCTTTCCTCCTTCCGAGGCGGAGGAGTCCTTTCTGCATGTGCGGCGGGGGAAGAGCCGCTTGCATCCTTTCCGCTGCTCGGGTTCAGTTCGCTGCTAGTGGCCAGAGAGGTGCTTTGGTTAACCTTCTTTGCAAGAGGGAAGAAGAGCCAGCCAGTTAACTGCGAGCTTTGTGCCGGGAGCTGTCAGGAGCTTTTTCTCCCTCCCATTCGTCTCTTATGCAGAACTGGGGCTCGGCTGTGCATTGCAGGGGGTTGGAGTCGATGACCCACAGGGTCCCTTCTACACAAACCCTCCCGCTTCCAGATCCCTCTCGTTGGGTGTGCTTGTACCGAGGAGGGTGTCCCTAGTGTACAGTGTCCCTCTTTGCCTTTTGTCCTCAGGAAAGGGAGAATGGGAGAGAGGGACGCGAACATCCTGGGATCCTTCTGTGTCCTCTTTTTCTCTCTCTCCCCACCCCAAGTCCAAAGGGGCCACTGCTTTCTTTGCTTGTCATTTTTATCGTATACTTTAGAGGAGGCATTATTTTGCTGAGCGTGTGCTCAGCATGCATGCCACTTTCCCACTTTAAAAAAGCCTCTCTGGGTGACTTACAAGGTAATTGAAACCATCAAGAGAACAAATAACATATTTTAAATTTCTGCACAGTTTTGGAACTAAATTAGCACAATAAAAACCCAGAGTTGGCCAATCTCAGAAATATGGCAGGGCCAGATAAATCTTCAACATTTCTAAAAATTTCAGTGGAGTGGGTCTATCTTGGGGGAGAATTATATAATTTATTATTATTAATAATAATAATATAAAGGCACCACCACAAAAAAGGCAGGTCAGTCATGCCCCAATTGGTGATGGTGGAGGCACTGGCACCCAAAGTGTGTCTTCAGCTAATTATTCAGGGAGGGGGAAATAATGGAAGACAGTAATTCTTTATGCAGCATGCCAAAATGTACTTTACGCAAAAGCTCTGTTTGTATGATAACATCTTTTTGTGGGTGTGGATAAAGGCAAGGCAGGCGATGGAGCTTAAACTACCACCACTTTTGGGGACTGCCAGTCCCTGTTGAGAACTATCAAGGTACCCCATGCCGGAAAATATTTTTCAGTGTAAAAACAACTAAATGAATACATAAAGAAAGCTCAAGAAAATGAGTTAAGACACTTGGTACAGAAGAGAGTGCAAACACTCCCAGAGTCTTTCCCGAATATGTGTGTTGTAATTTTGTTTGGTTTTAGCGCCTTGAGTTCCTGATAAAATACTACCATCATATTCTACCCTTTCAGTATTCCAGCTCTTAGAGTCTTCCAATGAGTTAAGCCTTTTTGGCCTGTGTAACCCAAGGTGAATAGTTTACAAGGCTCACCAAGAAGTAACCCCAGTAAGTTGTCTTGCGTTAATCTGGAATAACAGATGGGAAGAGGCTGTTTCTGCAGGAATATTAAGACCATGAATCCCATGAGTTACTGTGTATATTTGAGAATCAAGGCACGAGTATATATATTTCCAGAAAGAGTTTGAGTTGGTGTCCTGCTTTTATGCCACTGAAATCAGTTGTTCTGACCAATTCAAGGGAAAGAATGTTACTTTAATGGTTCATCAAGCATACCTAATAAGTGTCTGACTTTAAAAAATATTTCACAAGTTTTTCTTCCCTTTCTGTTCTTTGTCCTTAGATGACTGTTGTTAAAGTAGAAGGATAATACAAAATGGCAGAAGCAATTTTCCATCCCCCAAGAAGGAAGAGGAGAGTATATGAATCATATAATTCTCCGTTTCCTATTTCTTCCACCAGAGAGGGAATTTACGGAAGAGATTTCCAAATATGCCAGGCTGAAATTTTAAATAATAATGTAATTGTGAAGAATCCTGAAGATATAGAACATCTATATAGTATGGTATTCTTGACTTTTGTTTATCTGTCTAATGCATGACGCTTCTGACATTGAAAAGATTCACCTTGGTTGCCAACACAATGGACTTTTAAAAATGTAATTAATATTCCAAACCAAATAATTGTCAATCTAGTTAAAATACTGTGCATGTGTGAAGGTGTGAGGTGGGGAGGGGCAAATCAGTCAAATAATCACATGGGTCCTGTATTTCTATCTGGAATGGTTGAGAAGGCATCAACAGCAAAATAAGGTTTATATTCATGAGCACTATACTGTACTGGATTGTGTGTTTCATAGAAACTTGCTAGTGTGTGCTTCTCTTTTAAAGCCATCACTGCTGGTGGCCCTCAATACAATTTGTGGGAATGAATTCAATAGCTTTTAAGCACTATATGCCTATTTATTTTGCCTGTCCTGAATCTTCCAACACTCAGCTTCATTGGATGTCCACAAGTTCCTGTTATGAGAGGAGGAGAAAACCTTTTCCTAATCCACTTTCTCCACACTACATAGAAGATAACTTGTCTTCAGCATCAGAGTAACTGCGCTCAGAGAGCTTGTGTTTATTGACTGACTTTCATACATGCTGGAAGCTTTCTAGTTTAAAAAGATATGACAGTGTGTGTGATCAGTAACGCAAAGAATATCAAATGCACAACTGTGGTACTGTTGGTAACACAGATGTCTCATTTTTCTAGGGATTTTTTGGGAAAGGTATTCTTTCCAGAAGTCGGCCGGAATACAATATTTCAGATCCTACGTTGGTTGCTAAGTGGCAAGGTAAGCTAGTCTGAAACTGAATTAAAGGCATAAAGTGTGCATAATGAACTCTTTTGATTGGCTCAATTTTTGGTCCTTAAACCCTTAAGGCCCTGGAAAACAGCATTTGCAGACACAATATTGCAGCAAATGTTGTTTGGATTCCTCTTATGCAGAGAGGGTGGCCAGGAAGACAGATATATTTTTCTGTGGTGTAGTGGTTAAGAGCGGTAGACTCGTAATCTGGTGAACTGGGTTTGCTTCCCCGCTCCTCCACATGCAGCTGCTGGGTGACCTTGGGCTAGTCACACTTCTCTAAGTCTCTCAGCCCCGCTCACCTCACAGAGTGTTTGTTGTGGGGGAGGAAGGGAAAGGAGAATGTTAGCCGCTTTGAGACTCCTTAAAGGGAGTGAAAGGTGGAATATCAAATCCAAACTCTTCCTCTTCTTCTTCTTAGCATGAATGCATTATTTGAAGCAAAATCCAAACTGTCAGTACAATGCTATCCGCCTTTCCACATAGATAGCTTGGAGAGGTGGAGGGAACAGGGGAGAAAAAATGGCCCATAGATGTCTCTCCATCACTTCCACTAGTGGAGATAAGCGCTGCTGATGGGGCAGGGAGCAAGGCTGTGCCACAAGGGCTACCCAAGTTCCACCCTAGTGAATGGAAAGCTACCAGGGCTAACAGCTTTAGAGCCAAAATTGCATGGATTCCCTGAGGGGTCCCATTCTTTGTTCCCTTGTCTATGCCAGCCTGGAGCTGCCGCACAAAAAAAGGGGAAATCTCCTTTCAGCCTTCTGCCCAGAAAGCAGCAGGACTTTGAACGTGGAGGTAGATCTGCTGATCCACTCCACTTTGCTGCTCCCGGCTGGGTTTTGGGTTGCCCTGTGTGTTGCGGAATCAATAGCTAACAATTCTGCTTTTATTGCAGATGTCGGGTTAAACATGCCGATAATCTCTTCGAAAAAGTAAGTGCAGCTCCCCCCCCTTTTTTTCCCCTCCTGTGTCTGAAGCTTGAACTGCAGTTCCTTGGTACCAGGGAGGTCCGACTGGCACCTTCATTATACACCTTTGGGTGTCAGGCGAAGATGTTCCCCTTTAACCAGGCCTTTGGCTGATTGACATCCGATGCCCTTTTAAATCTTTTGTGGAAGGGAGGGGGCGTTATTGGTTTGTTTTTGTTCCTATTTTTGTTATGTACAGTGGTACCTCAGGTTAAGAACTTAATTCGTTCTGGAGGTCTGTTCTTAACCTGAAACTGTTCTTAACCTGAAGCACCACTTTAGCTATTGGGGCCTCCTGCTGCTGCCACGCCGCCGGAGCATGATTTCTGTTCTCCTCCTGAAGCAAAGTTCTTAACCCGAGGTACTATTTCTAGGTTAGTGGAGTCTGTAACCTGAAGGGTATGTAACCCGAGGTACCAATGTACTTTGTGTTTTCTATATTGTAATTTTGTGCTGTGAACTGCCCTGAGATCTATGGGCACAGGGCAGTATACAAACTTAAATAATTATAATAATAATAGTGAAATTGAAGTTTGTTAGGGGTGGCTAATGTGGTGCTTGAGGGTGCACATGGGCCTGCAGGGGGCTTTTCTGGCACATGTAGGGGCCCCTCCCCCTGCTGAAATTAAGCGCAAAAGAATCATTATTGTGTAGCCAACAGAAAAGGTCTTGGTGTGTGCTTGGTTGCAGGACGTCTTATGTGGTGCTAAAAGCAGTTTCTCCCATTTGCAAGTGTGTCCGCAGGCCTCGGAAAGATTGGCACCCCTGTGTTTCCTTTTTCATTCCAGGTACCAGCGTCATGTGGAATGGGCTAAAAGCCTCATGCAGGAGCAAGGACTGGATGACTTCACAGTTGATGCAGCCATGCTGAATTATACGCAGCCCGTTAAGCTGAGAGAAGTTGAGCAAAATAGTGAGGCTGAGGAGACCATTAAGATGGAGACGGCTGAGGATGAGTCAAAGCATGTAGTGACTTCTTCTGAAACAAATGGGGATAAAGTAGCTGGCCTGGAAGGTGGTCCATTTTTTGACCCACTAGCTGAGAATGACTCTAATGAATCAGATGTAACAGGATCTAAACCTTTAGCTAAAAGACACTTGGCAAAACTGTCTCCAGTCGGTGTGCATCACAGCTGCAAGCCAGAAGGTTGTATTAATCAAGACTATAATAATGAGTGTGTGTTAGTTCAAGAAGAAGAAGAAGAAGAATCAAATTTATGTCTGAAAAAAGAGGTAAGAAATCACACATAAGGTCACAAATTAGTCCATTGCTGTTTTTGGAGGGGCAACTTTTGTTAACAAATTATTAAAATAACATTTTGCCTTTTCAGCGACATATTTCTGACATAGGCAGTAGGTGTCATCATTTATCCCTTTCTGCTGAAAGAAATTACTCTGCTGATCTCCATCACTTGAAAGCCATTATGGCATTTATGCAGTAGTGACAGGTCAGTTTAACAAGTAAATTGTGAATCTTGGAATTTCAGTTCTAAGGTTCTCCTGCCCACGGCACATTGGGACATGGGAGAAGATAAGCCAATGCCATCAAATGAGGTGTGCTAAGCAGAGAGAGAAAATTATTCAGGAGTGAATAGGCATGTCAGAAGGAGATTTTATGGGAGAAAAGGAATACAAAGTATCTTGCTGGCAGGCTCTTAGCTAGGTAAAAAGCTTAGAGTTGTGACTGCGTCTTTGTAACTTTGGTTTGCTACTTTTCTTGCAGTTAGTCAAAAAAGAAAGGTTAGTGTGCAGAAGGAATCCATTTAGGATCTTAGAATATTTGCAACTCAGTCTAGAAGAGGTAAGTTTGGAAGACTGTCATACTTAGTAATTTGCCAATGTAAATATATAACTTTGGTATTTGCATGGTTTTTGTTTTTAAGAAAGTGTGGATAAATTTTGGAAGAGGAAAAGTTATAAATTCAGTCTTGCAGAATTCTGACATGATTGGCCTTTCCAGGTGCATTTGTACAACTGGTCACTAGAGCAGCCACATGATATTGCCCACCACTTGCTTCCAGTTGGATTCATATTGAATATGGCTCATAATTCTGATAAACTGTGATAGCTGCTATGGCTGTTGCAGGTCCTTTTTGACTCCTCCACAGTCCCAGGCATTCCTTGATGGTCCTTAGGACGTCACTGCCCAAGTCCCTCCTCACTTCACAAATTATCATTTGTACCTCTCCTTTCATTTTGGAAAACTTATTCCCTGCCAAATCCCCTCCCTTCCTTCAGCAGTCCACTCCTCTTACCTAGCACTAACGTACACACTTGCTGGTGGTGATTTTTCTTTCTTTTAAGGACTGCTTCCATCCCAAGGCTAAGCTCTTTTCCCTTCTGTTGCTAGAATTGACAACACGAAGAATGAAAGTCATATTCTAGTGAAGGGTTTTCCCTCTCTCAAAAAGATCCTGAATAATCTTGTTGCTCTTGCTCAGTTCCTGGAATTTACTTAGAATAAACTCTTGAAGGATTGTGCTCATTGGGTAGATGGATTGCAGCAAAATCTTTTGTTTGTCTGCTCAGAAGCAATCATGTAAATGACTGCAACCTTGGATGTAAATGGGAGGGCTTTTATTATTATTATTTGAGGATTCAGCAGTCCTGTTTGTACTGATGAGAACTTAGCTCCTATTATTTGATGAAAAGTATGATAGTGTGAGCAAATGCATGGTTTGACTTTTCCCACTTCCCTTTCCACCCCCCTACCCTTGCTATGCAAAACATGTCGGTGCCAGTACTCTGTAATAATGTATATAACATACACAAAATAATTCTAATTACTGTGTTGTTGTTTTTAGGCCTTTTTCTTGGTCTATGCTCTAGGATGTTTAAGTATTTATTACAATGAGGTAAGATGGTGCCTTTAGTCAATACAATACAAATCTTTATTACGGTCATAGACCAGCATAAACGGGTGGGATACAGTCATTTGAAATCTGAAAAGCATTTTGGAACGTTAAAAGGTATTAAAAGAGAAGGTGAATATAAAAGTCTATAAGAATTTAAAAGAAGCTAAAAGAAGGGATAGGAGGATTGGACAGGTGTGGAAGAGCATAAAAGGCTGATTTATAAAAGACTTTAACTATTAATTCATGGAGCACTCTGATATGTTCCTTAAATCTAGTTTGTGGCACAGGTCATCCTCCAACAAATTTTGAGCACTGCTGTGCAGAATCTAGCAACATTGTATGTTGTAGCAGGATTGGTATCTGAGAGCAGCAGGGAGGTATAGAATTGCCCTTTGCGCCCTGGGTACTTATGAAGTAGTGGGGAAATCAGGCTAATACAAATGTCTCTGTAATACAGGCACTGGTGAAGGACATGCTCTACCATTTCTGGTTGTCCCGAGTCACAGGGACATTGTCTCCCGGGTAGTTAATCTTCCTGTATCGACTTTCAATGACAGCCGAGGGGAAGGCATGACATTGAGCCAGGGTAAAAGCCCTTCGGTGTTTAGGGACTTCAAGTTTAGTTAGATATTCCATAGGGGAGACAAAGTACCTGGTGGATTCCTTGGCAGTAAAAGTTGGGAGTCCTGGCTAGATCCAATTGGGTGCCTTTAGTCTGTAGTAGTAAGCTGTGTGTGAGTTAACCTGTTGTGTGTGTTGCTTGTTAGCATAAAACAACAAACACTTTGTAATAGTTTCCAAGGCAACTTGCACCATGGGTAATTTTTCCTTCTTGTATAATCTTATGTTCTCTGCATAAATGTAGACAGTCTTTGGGTACAATTTTGCATTCGTTGCGTATGCCCTTTGAACTCTGTGGGTTTTAATTCCCTGTGAACATGCATAGTATTGGATTGTAAGTTCCATTCATTTTAGGGGACTTAAATGGGTATAACAGAGCTCAGGATTTTGTATAATGCTATGAGAATAAAGCTTTATCCTAAACTTTTTCTGCATTGTGTAGTTGAGTATACCGTTTGGTGTTCCATTTCTGACTGCTGAGTTCCCTAGACTAGATGCCCTGGAACCTATTTTTAATAGCTTTAGCTACACCGCAGTTCAAAAGCTAGATGGCATTTATGCTTAGACTTGCATGACAAACTTGACATTTGGCTTCTGTCCTCTTTGTGCCTTCTCCCAACTTGAATAAAAGATAAAATACGCTGCTCTAGAAGTGGCTAAGATTGTTGACTTAGCTGCCAATAATGGTAGGTTGCTTTTGTACACTGTAATTATAGGAAAGCATCTGGTTGTGTTTTTAGGCACCTTTATCTATTCTGAAGCTATGGGAAGTTTTTAGTGAAGCACAACCCAAATTTAAGGCTACATACATGGCATATCACTACTTCCGTAGTAAAGGATGGGTCCCTAAAGTTGGCCTGAAATATGGGACTGATCTCTGTGAGTATTTTCCTTTCATTGATTATAGTTTGCAGTAGAGGCTGGTGCATACAATGCGGATCCAATCCTTTTTATGTGGTGATGCACTGTCCCCTCCCATTTCCACAAGGACAGGTTTTCCAACTCATGGCCTGCAAGCACAGGCCATAAGTAGGGGATGGTGCAGTCAATTCCCAGGTAAGACCTGGGGACCAATTTTGACCTGCATGCGTTTGATGTTAGACATGCAGGCTATAATTCATCTGTGCCATCCTCATAGTGATGTGCAGAAGCAAGAAAGTATACTGGAAAGAGGGGTGGGCAGGTACTTTTGCATTCCCCCTCCACATGATCACTAGATTGCTATCACCCAAACCGACCCATAGATAGCCTTTGTGATATCGTTTTCCCCGTTACTTGATAACAAAGACCACTGGACCAAATATGGTTAGTGCAGATTGCAGAACGTAAGAGAGGCCACACACTGGAACTGTGTGATGAAATGGATATTGCAATGATGAAAGCTGGTGGAGCTTTGTGGGGTGGGGGATTGGCTCAGCTAATCGTCTCACAGTGCAGAAAGTTATTTTTTGTCAGCCTGCTCCCCAACTTAAATAGGCTATTGCTCATTGTCTGGTTCGTTTGTGCAGATGTGCTGCCCATTTATTTGACTGTAGCTTCCTTGAATCTTGAGCGCTAATGTCTTGGTGTTCCCATTCTCTGTTGCCTCGTTTGAATAATAGATGTGCACACAGCAGTATTTTTTGAAAGAAATGTTTAATTGATGGCCTGCTGTCATCTGTAGGAGGGAAAAGCTTTTTACCATAGGCAAAAATGAGTCTGGTAATCTCCTGGGGGTGTTTATTGTCTTGTGGAGCACATTTAATATACAGAGCTCTTTGCAGTCTTTCCTCAGTTCATCTCTTCCAGTTGCCCTTCAGGCCTATGAGCATGGAGAGTGAGACCCCAGCAATTTACCTGGGCAAGTCCTGGTGGGGATTTACCTCCCATAACCTACCCTCACCACCTCCTTTCTAAGAGGAACAGACCCTTGCCTGAGCATGCAAGAAGATTAATTACATCACTGTCCCTCTCTGAACGCAAATGGTGATAAAAGAACGCAACATTTTAAGCAATTAGTTTTCCCAATAAAAGAATGTTTCACTTCTCTTTTAGTCTGGGGGACCAACTTGCTGTTAATTACTATGGTAATCCCTTGGCAGCATCAACTGTGCTGCATTAGTTACTGCTCCAGATTCCTCTTGGTCCCCATTCAGTCTTCTGAGTGGAGCCAGTATGCTTTGGTTCCCAGGACCATTGGCAGCTCTCTTGAGTAAATAGCTCTGCACATTACGTCCCCAAATGCTGTGCATGCAGCTGTGACCTCCTCTGCATGTGTTTTCCTAGACTGAGAACCTCATCTAGGAACAGGTGCAACCTTGGTAAGATTGTTGGCAAGCACGTGAGCAGCCGGAGGCTGGATTTAACCCATCTCTCTTGGAATAGATCACTCTGTGGCTGTTTTTAGATCCTTATGTGTTATGTTTGCTAGTTGACGTGGAGTGACATGTGTGGGGTTTTTCCCTCTGAAGGTGGCACTGTACAAGTAGTTAAAATATCTTTATTCCCAGTTACCTGATTAGGATTTTTATTTATTGTGAGCAGCTTCAGCTCCCAACTGCGGTTAGAATAAAAACAAACAACCCTGATCCTATTATATTATGGTTTAGATTTTCAAAGCTGAGTAATGGGAAAGCCTACATTAATATGATTCAAAATGAAGAAAGTATGATTATTTCTAGTAAGTGCTTGTTTTGTTTCTTTTCTTCCCATTGCAGTGTTGTATCGAAAAGGTCCTCCTTTTTACCATGCCAGGTATAGCATTCAGATTTGGATATTACAGACAGACAGACAGACAGACAGACAGACAGACAGATATGCTTAAGTGTTATGCTTAATTCTTGCATCATTAGCACTGAAGGAAACATGATTGCATTGGGAAGGGACAGGAGATTGACATTTTTAATAAGCACTCTGGGGTATAAAGCAAGTTTGAGTACAAGTTTTCCTTAGTGGACTCATAAGGTATCTAACAGAGTGACTTTGGAAAGCAGCTTTGAGTTTGGGTAACTGGATGGAGGGCTAGACAAAATAGCCTGCATGGTAGCTGTATCTTTTGCTAAATGGTACACTTTAAAAGTATGAGAAACGCACTTGTTGCTCTTTTTGTTCACTCTGCTAAAGTGAAGCTTCAGCTCTTAAGTAAATTTTAGCTGAGGACTAGTGGACTGTACCTAGTTTTTAAATGCCAGTTTCACCCCATCATCCTAAAAAAGTTTCACTTTGCTTTGTCTTCCAGTTACTCTGTCATTGTGGAATTAGTTAACAGTGACTTTGAAGGGTCACCACACAGACCTTTCAGCTGGAAGTCTTTGTCTGGGTTGAACAGGACTACAGCAAATGTTTCCAAGGTAACACATAGACTCAGCTAAGCATTTCAAAGCTACAAGGAAAAGCATTGTGGAGCAAAGGAAAGGTGCTACAGTGGGGGCACAAAAAGAGATAATATGAAGTTGTCAGTTATAGCCATAAATAAGATTAATGAGATACTGATCAATTGATTTGATTGATCCTCCATGTGTGTGACCTATCCTGGGTTCAGCTGTGTTTCTTAGTGTCACCGAAGCCGCTTCAAGTATAGTCGTACCTTGGAAGTTGAAAGGAATCGGTTCTGGAAGTCTGTTCAACTACCAAAATGTTTGGAAACCAAAGTGCAGCTTCTGATTGGCTGCAAGAAGCTCCTGCAGTCAATCAGAAGCCGCGGAAGCCCCATCGGATGTTCAGTTTCCAAAAATAGTTCACAAACCGGAACAGTCACTTCCAGGTTTGCAGCGTTTGGGAGCCAAAACATTCGAGAACTAAGCTGTTCAAAAACCAAGGTATGACTGTATTTGTATGGGGAACTCTTACAGTCTGGGCCATCTGCACCTTTTCTTATTCAGTGCTAGCCACTGATAAGAGACAGTTCAGGGAACTTCCCAAGTTTCAGGGAAGAGAGAAGAAACGCCCAATTTGAGTAATCAGGGTGCCTTAAGCCCTATGTGCACTTATCTCAATGTAAGGCCCAAAAAACATAATGGGACTTATTTCCAAGTAGAGAGGTGGAAGTAAGATTGCAGGGTTAGTGTATATACATGCTGAATTTCAAATTTCTAGCTTACGGGGAAGTACTTTAAATATTTCAAGTCAAGCACATTCAAATTTCCATTTTAACACTTATCTAGTAGCTGGGATGTGTTGGAATACTTGCTTATCAGTTTTCAACTTTTTAATCTGAAACCTTACACATTTTAGTAACCTATCTAGAACACACTTATTTTATTTTGTCCTGCACAGCATTCTTTAAATGGGTATAACCCCCATTAGACACACTGAGAAGGGTACTTTTCTGGAAACATGCAACAGAGCAATAAGAACTGGAGATAAAGTACTTATGCCTAGTACTTTTGATTAGAGTTGCACATACATACACACACAGACAGGTCTCTCATCACTGCAATTTCTTGTGAAATTTCACTTCACAAACTTGAGTTTGAGGCTCTTTGGAGCTTCCCCCAATACAGCAAGAAGAATTGCCATAGGTAGGAATACAAATTGTGTCCACTGAAGCTTTCCACAAAGGAACCCTGGTCTTAGAATCGGGGAGCAAGCGAGTGACCTGTACATAGTCATCCAATTGCAGACCACACCCAATGTGATTGTGGTTGGATGACAATTTGAACCCAGATCTCCTTGATCCACATTCAGCGTTATATTCATTGAAGCACATTTTGCCTTACTACCACTACAGATGTAAAGAGCAAATCTTAACACTACATGAATTTCGTACATTTTAATGGATTTTTTTTTAACCACCAGGAACTCATGTTCTGCTATTTGATTCGGCCACCTGATATGACTGCAAAAGAAATGTTGTCACCAGAATGTCTCAAAAGAATTAAAGTTCAGGTATGCAAGTCCTGCTCTGATTTGTTTTCTGAAGTCACTGACTGCCTTAAGGTATCCAGTTCTCTGGATAGAATGTAGACCATATTTTAATAATTTATTTTGTAATATTTGAACCTTTCCTAATTCAGTATATATACGTAGTAACTTGAGCTGGGTATACCACACATGGCAATCTGATTTGAGAACCTAGGGTTAATATCTGGGAATGCAGTAAAAATATTTTTGCCTGTGCCTGAATTGTTAGAGTAATTGTTGAGCAATTGATTATTCGGGCTAATTTATATATCTCAAAAGAGCAGAATGAGATACATCATTTGCCTAACTTATGAGGCTCCTTCCTATAGATGTTATAGGAGCAATGAGGCATCTAGTTACATTGATATGCTTTCTGTGCCATTTCAGTAGCAGGCGAATTACTCTTGAAAAAGTAGTAATAAGAAGTAATGCTCTAGTGTGGTCAGAATCCTAGAAAACAGTACAACATAATGCCTAAGATTTGAAGTTTCTAATCCGACACTCCCAAAGGAACTTCGGGCACCTGGATCTTGAACATCAGCCCACTATGCCACATAATACACCTCTTTCACTGATATGGGAAAGACAGGCGAAACACCAAAATCATATTGTACATGGCTCAGGTCTTGGCATACTGAAAACAGAAGGTGTGCTGACGTAGAATCATAGAACTGCAGAGTTAGGAGGGATCCCAAGTGTCCTCTAGTCCAAACAGCTGCAATGCAGGAATCTCCATGACGGATAGCCATCCAGCCCCTGCTTAACAACCACCCGTGAGGCCACCACCTTCTGAGGGAGTCAGTTCCACTATGGAACAGCTCTTACCGCCACAATGTCTTCCTGGTATTTAGTCAGAATCTCCTTTCTTGAGTTAGGGTTAGAAATGTGTCAGAACAATAGAGACCAAAGTTATTTGTTTTTCCATTGGTTGTGTGTGAGTGATTGAGGGATAAGGACAAACAAGGTGAATTGGACTGGGGGTGCTACTGTGGTGGACATGCATGTACGTTGATGAGCTGCTGCCTTATCCCAGTGGGAAGCCAAAAGGGCACTTCTGCTACAGTTAAATCATACTGGGTTAACTAGGGACAAGATCAGTGAACAAACTTTTTTTCCCATTTATACCTTTTTAGTCATCAATAATCAATGATTTTTTTTAGGAATTGATTCTAAACCGTTGGGTCTCATCCCATGAGCGCAGTGAACAAGAAGAGCTGTGATAAAATGGATTGCGGAAACATGACAACAAAGTAAATAAAATGTCAAATGTTTACTCTTGTAGAGCTGTCTGTGCATGTTGCATTACACATACACACACACACACACACAGTTTTTGTTTTGTTTTTAAATTAAAACCTAGATGGATACTGACAGATATTCTCTGAACCCCCAAAATGTATTTTCTGTAGTTTAGTTTTTACCTCAATATTCAGTACATTTTATTTTATTGCTATGGCTAGTGGCTGATGCAAATAAGATTCTTCTTCTTCTGAATCTATTTTGTCCATGGAGAACATTAAATTTGTGTTCTTGGTCCACCTTGTCTTGATATTTCTGTGAACTTTAGCCATTCTGCTACAGGTAATTAACCAAACTTTAGCTCAGGGATGGGCAAGTTATAGCTCCCCAGAGGTTGCTGGACTACAGCTGACTATTGGCCATGGTGTTGGGGACCAGCAATATGTGTAGAGCTACAGCTGCTCCACCCCTGCCTTAACTCCTGGTACATAGTTATAATTACTTTGGAAGCAAGAGGTGTTTGTAGAATGCAGATCAATAATGTTCAGAACGGCTTAGAGGAATGCCTGTTTACTCAGAGGTAAATCCCAGTGAGTTCAGTGGGGCTTACTCCACATAGGACTGTAGCACGAGTAAAGCCGTGTTTGTTTCGAATCAGAAACACACCTAGGATGTTTTCAGTTTTCTACCTACCATTCTTTGTAAACTAACATTGCTATAGAGTAAATGTGCGAATGAAAGGAAGCCTTTTCTGTTAGGTTAATGATTTTGAAGGTTACTTGCAATATGCAAAAAAAAAAAAAAAACCAGAACATGCAAGAATGCAGATAATGTCTTTATTTTATTTCATTCTTCCAAATGTCATTGTTTAGAAAAGTAGAAGTTTATTGGAACAGCCTCAAGGTTCCATAGTCTTATGGATACTTGAGATTAATCCTCAATCTCTGTGGGACCGCCTTCTGAGTAAACATGCAGCATGATTTAATACATGTGTTGCAGTCCCAGCTTCATGTTTTCTTGTGAGATGATAGGAACAAGAAATATAATTGCCTTAACAATGATTTTACTTCCATTGCATATACAGTTCCCTCATTATAAATTCAAATGGCAGTGTCCTCCTGAGCAGGCAGGTCAACCGCATAGAAGCCATTTTTGCATATTTCCTTGTAGATGGTGATATACTTGGAAGCTTTCCTTGTTCGTGGAATCACAAATCTCTCTGTAAATTCACTTTTATTCATTTGCTGCTTCTTTTGGGCGCTAAGCACACAGTTAATAAATGTTAGTGCATAGGTGTAACAGTTATGGAGATGTTCTTCATACCTATTAAAGGGAGAACCAGAAATGAGCATAAGAAACCAATGTGATACATGACTATTAAACATTTTATTAGCTTGTGATGATGGTGCAGGCAGGCCATTATGCCAGAGCAATCCTTGACCAATGGAAACATGCACCAGCAGAACATCATTTATGGAAGGATTTTTTAAACGGTGGAACTTGGGGATGTGGTGGAGCAAAGCCACCATTGGTTAGTGTCTTATGTTTGCTGAGGTTAGTCACATTCATTCTGTCTATACAAAGTTACACATGGAAATGATGGAAAGATGCAGATGCTAATATCACCTCCCCCCCCCCCACCTGGACAAAACTTTCATGTCATATGTGCCATGTGAGTTACATCACACTGCCCTCATATTTTTTTTTAAAAAAACAACAACTACACAAGTGGAAACTTCTGCCTTCTATTTAAAGTTCTAACTTTCAGTATGAGGCTTAATTTTCCTTCAGTTATATTTGGTTCACCCATAAATTTATCTTGGATGCAGTTCTTACCACCTTTACATTTTTCTCTTCTTGGAAAGCTGAATTTAGCAATAGCATTTAATCTCTTTTTGCATATTGTCGTGTGCCCGAGATTCTACTTGTCCTGTGATTCTCCAGTGGGTAACAAAACATGCATATATGGCATATGGAGCTGTAAGGATGTGGTTTGCATATACTAACTGAAGTGTAACTGAGGAACTCTGTAGTCAGGTTAACTTTGCAATGTGCTCCTCATTATTATTAGAACAGTGCTGATTCATTAAAATTGGTCAAAATACAAAAAAATAAAAGAAGCCAGGGAATGTCATCCTTGTATGATTTTTTTAAATTTATTTTTTGGTAAGTTTCTCACTTTGAAAACCCATTTCTCTAAAATTCCAAGTATGTATTGGGTTAATTTTTATGAGATACAAGTTTAGGTTTCTTAAAAGGACCCAGTGGCTTTGAGTGCTTTTGCAGCCTATTCTTAGGCAACACACTACTGGGTGGGCTTTGCTTAAAACAAAAACAGATGATGGGCTCAACCGCAAATTTTATGACTGCCTGTTTAGGATCCAGAACAAAATGGTTTTTAAAAAATAAAAAAATAAGATTTATGTCTTTCTTTCCTTACCTAACTGCAGTAAAATTACAAATCTCATGGTAGACACATGCTCTCACCACCAGCATTTCTTATGTCACATACTCTTAGCAAAAAGAGTGCTGTAATTTTCAGAGTAGTGTCTTTGCCTGTAACTTTTCCATAGCTTGGGGATGCCAATGAGTCCCTTCTTGGATTACTTGAAACCTACACAAAGCTCTTGTTCAATTAAAGTAAGAGAGAATATATTCTACGTTTACATTAATTTTTTCAAAATTCCAGAACTTGTAAGTAATCATCAGGTCTTTAACTTTTGTTGGTCCTTTTTGGTACTTGTAATCATCACTGTATATATTATGCTGGGTCGCAGAAAAATAGCTTGACTAAAGCCTTTATAGGAATGACGTTCCTGTCGTTAGAAGTACTTGAAAAGCAAACATAATATGTTTCGTTTTCCACACTGAAACCATAGGCTGTACTCGAGGGACTACAGTGGTACCTCGGATTACATACACTTCAGGTTACATACGTTTCAGGTTACAGACTCCGCTAACCCAGAAATAGTACCTCGGGTTAAGAACTTTGCTTCAGGATGAGAACAGAAATTGTGTGGTGGCAGTGCTGCAGCAGTGGGAGGCCCCATTAGCTAAAGTGGTGCTTCAGGTTAAGAACAGTTTCAGGTTAAGAACGGACCTCTGGAACGAATTAAGTACTTAAACCTAAGGTACCACTGTATTTGGAATGTACTTCAAGAGAAATCAATCCTAATAATCATTGGATCAGTGAATATGGACACTGAAATTTTGCTAAGGCCTAGATTAGCCTTCTGGTACTCTGGAAATTTTGGACTACAACTCCTATCATTTCTGACAATTGCCTATGCTGACTGTGGCTGATGGGAGTGGTGGTTTAAAGCAGCTGGAGAGCACCTGATTGAGAGAGGCTGACATAAATAATGAAAGCAGCAAAACCTGCCTGTATTCAATTTTGGTTTTGTTTGTTCGTCTTCCAACAGAAGTGCAATTCTGTACATGCTTACATCCCGTTCCCTCTTGATCAGTGTATCAAGCGGTCGTATACATTCCAATCAATTCCTGTTCCTTATGAAACACATCTGACAACTTTGAACAGAAGTTAAAGCCAGCAACAATATATTTGATTGCACAGATGAGCGTTAACTGAGAATAGGATGGAGTCCAGTGATAATTTATTATGCAAAACCATAACACTACAAAGTTACATGGAACTGCTTGCGATGTCTCGAGTCACCTCTCCCTTCTAGTATTGTTCATACAATACATACTATCAGAATCTCTCAATTAAACCCAAAATATACAGAAATGGTTAAAGAAGGGTTAATGAAGAAAGAGGCCTCAGAGTAATTTTGTCTAAAACCATTTCTCCAAATGACTATATCAGATCCTTCTCTGAGTTACCACCTAGGCAGAGTTCCAAAACAAAGGATGTCTAGTTTAGCTGCCATAGTCACATTTGTCTATTGAGCTTCTTACCTGTGTGGAAGCCAGATTTCTGCTGCAGAGAATTGTTCTAGGTATGTATCCCATTGGTTAAGCAGGCCATACATGTCAGGCTGGACTAGATGAACACTTACACATTGTTCCCATCCATGCTCAGCTTTGTTAACTCCAGTTTCGTTGTAATTATACACTAAACCTAAATACACAGCAACAGGGCAAATCAGAAATGCAAAATGCAAGGATTAGTTATGACATGTTGACCAATAGTATAATTCATTCCATTCTGTTAATTTCTGTCACTTGCAACATCATTCCCATTTCTTTTACAGGCTCATCTGAACGGTAGTTCTAAAAATGTTGGTTATATGAACCCTGAGTATGTAGTCCTGTGAATGTCAATGTAATGGCATAATTAATTACCTAGATTGTGTAATTTTGCCACAGCAGACAGCAAAAAAGTAACATTTTTGGCAGAAGACAAATGGTGGTGTAACGGAAGCAGTGCTGCATAAAACCAATACAAGTGGAACAAAAAATTATGCCTTCTTACATCCCTAGGCACAAGGGAAAAGAGCTCTAGCTACAGGCAATCACATATGCGAACTTTCCCCAGCAAAAATGGTTAGGTAGACTTAGCAGAAAGGGGATTGGTGGTAGAAGGATTGCAGCAAGGAGCCTGATATCTTGGGAAAGGAAGAGAAATCAAGGGCCAGAATGCCAGGAGGTTGAAGGGGGAGACATTGTAGGCAATAGGCAAAGGATGAGCAACCTGAGAGAAGGAAAGGAGTCCAATAGACATTTATGTTTCACATAGAGAATCTTAATTTAGAAAGTGAATTACAAATGTCTCTTACCATTAGTATTGGTTATTCCAACATGGAGATCAGAACTTCCATCATACCCTCTGAAAGAAGACATTTAATATCTTTTCGTGTTAGAAAACAATCCAGTTATTGGGGGGGGGGGGAATGCTATATTTTTGCAATATAGAGAAATGTCCTGTTCCCTCTCTGCCCCGAAAAGACTGACTACAATCTTATCAAATGTAATTACTGTTCCATTTAATTAATTAAACTTCTAAATGAGTAAAGGGCTGCCTCAATCTGGCAGCAAATTATACATAATATACATACAAAAAAGCACTTATAAAACTGCAGGTGGTTAGCACCATATTAGAAGAGGTATCAACAACAATAACAAGTTTATTTTGGGAATTATTTTCATCCTAATGCAAATGTTATTGATAGATTACTTAACTAAAACTCATGCAAGTAACTGATCAATACTTTTCATCAGGTTGCACCCCACGTTCTGTAGGTTTTATAATTCCTCTAAACCAGGCATGGGGAACCTTTAAGCTCCCCATTGTTCCTTTGCAGCTATGTGGGTACCTGTCCCATGGCACCAAATATGACCACAGATGTGGGATAGTTGGGTGTGGTTTGCAAGGAATGGCCTCATATATTGAAGCAGAACTCCCGTTGGCCCAAATCTGGCCTGAAGCACAAGAGGTTCCCTACCCTTACTCTAAATCAGTGTTTCTCAAACTCTTGTCTCTAGCTGTTTTGGAACTACAGTTCCCATCATCCCTGACCATTGGTCCTGCTAGCTAGAGATGATGGGAGTTGTAGTTCAAAAACAGCTGGAGACCTAAGATTGAGAAATGCTGCGCTAAACTGATCGTGGGATTTGTAACTCTATAAAGGTGGTTGTTGTTGTTTGTTTATTTGTTTGTTTTCATTTTTATACCGCTTTATATTTTAAAGAAAAAATCTCAAAGCGGTTTACGGTTGATCACTAAATTAGACCTCCTGACCTGTCAGTTTGGTTTCAAAATAAATTTTGACTCACTTTAGTAAATTATGCAGAATTTACTCATTTCTACACCAGAGCTTAGAATAAGACCACATGGTTTGTCTGCAGAAGGTGCCATATTTATTTCATTTTAAAAGTTTTACAAACCATTTAATCCTAGAACTCTCTATGCAGTGTACATAATAAAATTGTACCAAAATACACCATTAAGAAACATACATGAAATAATAATTATTAAGACACAGATGAAACCCGTAGAACTTCTAAAACAAGTATAGGTAACTAAATCATATGTCTGGGTAGGCTTGCTAAAATAAAAACCTTTTCAGTGCATGTCTGAAATATAGTGAGGGTGCTGCCAAACTAAATGATCGACTCCTCACAAAGGCAGAGCAGACATTATATGGCACTTGTAAAAGTGCAAGTTCCCCAGAACATGGCAGTCAAATTGGCACATGTAGGGCAAGACAATCCCTTAAGTAAACTGGTCCCAAGCTCCTAAGGCCTTGAATGGCAGACCTTGAATGTGGCCCAGTGACAAACTGACAACCAATACAGATCTTTGAGCAATGGTACCATCATGCTGGCAAAATCTCACTCCTATCAATCATCATGCTGCAGCATTCTGCACTGCATGCTTCTCGTTCCTTGGCACCTCTAATCCTGCTGCCACATTGCAAGGATGAGAGAGAATTTAGCCCCAGATCTTGGGAAAACATTGCTACCCATCAGTGGACTGTGGCAGATGGACTGATCTAATCCATCGTAAGGTAGCTTTCATGTGTCTTCTTTCTGAGCACACAATCAAGCAAAATGAACATAAATACCAAACATAGCATTGTTGAGCAGAAAATCCTACCTCAGAAAGGTTCCTGTAGTAGGTTTAAGTAAAAAAGAACATCTTTCTCTGTGCCCATTAACAAATGGGCTGGGGATAGTGACAGGTGCTTCTTCCAGTTTCCTGTAGAACAGGCTCTGCCCACACAGGGGACAATGCTTGGGCACAAAGGAACCAAAGATGTCTCTCTTACAGTGGCTGATTTTGATTAAGCCTCTCTCCGAGTCCAAAGGCTGCATGATTTCTGCCTCCTCCTTGTGCAAATGCAGCTGGTCTTCTACCTGGCACAGGCTTATGGGTGAAAGGCAGAGCTTAACCACTGAAATGGGCATAGGAAAGTGGGTGGGGTTTGTTAGCTGCGCAGGTAAGAAAGACAGTTCAGAGAGCCAATTACTCCTTTAAGAGAAGGGGGCAGGGAGGGAGGGCTGGCAGGTGGACATTCCCTTAAAGAGCCAGTATTTGTTTTTTCACATCATGATGAGGTTATTCTGCTGTAGATTCACACAGTATGGCAGCTGTAATTTGTCCACTCCCGTGGTCAATATTGGCTCAGTTCCTGCTAGTGGCTAGCCTTTTGTTTCTCTGCATATAAAACCGAAACCCCAAAGCTATGTTAACTGATGTTAAAACAGAAAGGCCCCTTATTTTCTCCTTTGCACAGAAAGAAAACTGACTTGGAAGTTTGGGGCTGGCACCTGCTTCTCCGCTAGCATAGCAGTCAGGCAAACCTAGCAGCATAATACAGTGGTACCTAGGGTTACATATGCTTCAGGTTACAGACTCCGCTAACTCAGAAATAGTACCTCAGGTTAAGAACTTTGCTTCAGGGTGAGAACAGAAATCGCGCAGCAGCAGCGCAGTGGCAGCAGGAGCCCCATTAGCTAAAGTGGTGCCTCAGGTTAAGAACAGTTTCAGGTTAAGAATGGACCTCCAGAATGAATTAAGTTATTAACCTAATGTACCACTGTAAAGCTGTTCTTACCGACCACATTCTAATATAACTTAAAGCAGCTCCAAACAAGAACCAAGGCAGTAATCAAAGCTAAAGGACCACCCAGGACTCCATCTTACTAGCTGCAGGAAGCAAGGTTTCTATCTCCATGTGATCTGCCTGCCTGCTGTGTAAAGTTCTTGTGAGGAATTGGACTCTGCTCTACGAAACCCTGGAGCAGATTACTATGAAACTAATGAAGCCTACATTTCAGGGGCCCTAATCCCAGACAGGCACCATAAGTGACTTCAGTCCATGTTGCTTAAAATTTTGGGGTCTAGTAGACTCAAATTGAGTCACACAACTCAAACTGATTAATTTTTTTTGTATATATTTCAACACCAACGTTTGAAAGTCTGTAGTGCAGACTGTGGCGTAGCGTGGGTTGTCAGCACCCAGGGCAAGGCAAGTAATTTGCGCCCCCTAACCCGTGGATTTTAGTAGGGGCAGAGAGCTGCGAGTGCGAGCGCCCCCCCCCCAGATGTTGCGCCCGGTGTGGCCTGCCCCCCTGCACCCCCCACGCTACGCCACTGAGTGCAGATGCTGCAAAGGTGGTGTGTCGTGGCAAGTTGGCTGTTCTGCTGAAGAGCGCTTAAATTCTTTCTGCATATTGCCTCTAGAAAATTACTTCCGAGAAGGACTGCAACCCTAAGCACACTAAGTAGAGAATAGCCTTACTTCTGATTAAATCTACTTAGCCTTGCACATTGCATCTATATTTGGGGAGACAAGAAAGCAAAAGAAGGAAATATATTGTCTCTCAGTTAGCAGAGCATAAGACTCTTAATCTAAGCGTCATGGGTTTGAGCCCTACGTTGGCAAAATATTTCTGCATTGCAGGGGGTTGGACTAGATGACCCTCGTGACCTCTGCGACTCTACGATTCTATGATTCCTGGTGTCTGTGACGCTTCCCATCTTCCTTGCTAGATAGGGCGATGCGCAGCTCCCAAACGATTCGGCGCCACCGTAGATTGAGAACGACTGTCTTGTTCAGAGGCGCCATTGGAGGGCGCGCCGCCTCGCTCGGGTTGGCGCTTCAGGCGCGCGGCCGCTCTAGCCCCACAGGCTGGCAAGGCGCTTCGGCAAGTCTCCATGGCCGCCGCCGCCGGCCTCCATTTCCGCCACAGCCGAAAGCATCCGGCCTCTAATTACGGCCGCGCGTGCTCTCCTAATGCCTTCCGACCGGAAACCAGTTCCTGCAAGAAGAGGCCGGGTAGCTTTGGCAGGGCTCCCAAACAGCTCCTCCTCCTCCTCCCTTCGCCCGCCGCCTTAAGCTTCTCAGGGCTCAGCGGAACCAAAATGCGAGGAGCTGCGCCGGGAGGGGACGCCGAAGCGGGAGCGGAGCCGGAGGAGACATGAGCAGCACTAAGGACGTGACCTGCAGGTCAGAGCCGCCGAGCACTGCGACCTCTCCCCTCCCCCACCCACCGCCCTACGGCGCGCGGGCACGCCCCGCCCCTCGCCGGGGAGGGGTCGAGAGGCGGCCGGGCTCCCTCCCTCCTCCCGCCCGTTAAACTCCCGAGAGCCCCCTCCCCCACCCAACGGAAGGGGAAGGAGAGGCGGGCGCCGCTGCTTCTGCTTCCTACCTTTGTTCCATTTCCCTGGTGACAGGCGGACACACCCCGCTCCCGCCTCCGTTGGTCCCAAAGCCCTGTAAGGGGACCCTCGTGGGCCTAGAAGCCACTAGGTGTATAGGAGGCCCTTTGGGCTCTGGCCTTCTTGGGGGGAGAGGACGAGGCAACCTCTGTGATCCTGGCCCCCCGTCCCTACCTAGCTCGCCTCCGCACGCGCCTGTGTGTCTCTACTTATTTAGCTTGCTTTTGAGCAGCTGAAGTGCGCCCCAGTAGGGAAGAGAAACAGAAACTTAGTTGTGCGAGAGGAGGAACCCAAGAGCAGCCCTGTTGGATCAGAACTGTGGCCCTTTCTGGTCCAGCATCTCGTTCTCAACAGTGCGCAAGCAGACACGGAGCCATAATAGGAGCACAACAGCGCTCTCCTCACCTGTGAATTCCGGCCATTGATATTCAGAGGCATATGCTGCCTGGGATGCTGACCTTCAAGACCCTGATTGCTGGTCCTCACCGTGTTATGTGGCAGGACATTTCATAGTTTAGTAATGCTCTGAAAAGAAGCATTTCCAGATTTTGTATGTCCTGAATCTCCTATGATTCAGCTTCATGGGATGTGCCAGTTTCTAGTATTACCCAAACAGAGAGAGAGAATTGTTGGTGATTTTTTAAAAAAGTAAACCTTTTAAAAGAACATATTCTGTCAAGTGCATTTTCTGCTATTTATTTAGTCAGTTGCTTTATATCGCTCAGGGCAATCCAAAGATACATTAAAACCAAGAGGAAAAAGAAATGCTTTAAAAACATCCCACCCGACTTCTAAAAGAACACAGATAATTAAAGGTCAAAGGCCTTGTTACAGAAGAAAGTTTTTGCTTGGTGCTAAAGCTATATAATGATAGTGGAGAGAGCACTCCACAAATGATGCCTGTTCTCCTGTTGCGATTTTCCAGACCTCTTGTGAAGGAGGCACACAAAGAAGGGTCTTAGCGGGGTCTGGGTTGGTTCATATGGGGAGAGGCAGTCCTTAAAGTATTGTAGTCCTGAGTCATTTAAGGCTTTATAGGTCAAAAGCAGCACTTTGAATTGGGCCTGGAAACTAATTGGCAGCCAGTATAGTTATGCCAGGATTGGTGTTGTATGCTCTTGTCCTGTGTTTCCCAAACATTTTCTAACCATGGCCACCTTCCCGAACTTCTTTCCTTCCTGTGGCCGGCATGGGTGTAGCCAAGGGGGAGGCAGGGAAGCAGCTGCTCCCCAAATCAGTAAAAATCAATACACATCTGAGGTTCTGCCTCCTTGCCTTTTTTCTAACAAAAAAAGCCCTAAATTAGGCATAGGCAACCTCGGCCCTCCAGATGTTTTTGGGACTACAATTCCCATCATACCTGACCACTGGTCCTGTTAGCTAGGGATCATGGGAATTGTAGTCCCAAAACATCTGGAGGACCGAGGTTGCCTACGCCTGCCCTAAATATTTTTCCTTATAGAAGAGTTGCTCCAACCTCTTGATCACTTATGCTTTTACTAAGTTCATTTCATTTTTGAAATTGTGCCCTAATTTCTGTCTCACTTTTCCTGGTTTCACATTATGGTGCATGTTATAGTTGATGCATAATGCTTGATGGTTGATTTTTGGTCATGTCTGAACAACATCAAGAAATAGTTTAAATGCCTGTCATCTGTTGGTATTTTCTCTTTGTCACTGCAGGTATTTTATGCAAGGGGTATGCCGTGAAGGAAGTAGGTGCCTGTTTTCACATGATTTGTCTACAAGTAAACCATCTACTATCTGCAAATTCTACCAGAAAGGCCAATGCGCCTATGGAACTCGCTGCAGGTATGGGCTGCTTGTTTTAAAAATAAAACATACAGGTTTTTTGCAGGGGGGTGGAGTGTCATGCCAATGATATTTTCTAAGCTGTTGATCCTCTAGACTTGAAGAACAGCTTGTGGCTTGGCTTCTATTTGGTTTGTAATATCTAGATTTTTATTAAAATCAGAAGAAGAGCTTAATGTTCCAATATCCTGGTTGCAGCTGGACAGTTAGTTCTTGCATTGTGTGAAGCTCAGCTGGTTGATCTAAAGTTACAATCCCATATACACTTTCTTGGGTGTATATACCATTGAACTCAGTGCATAGAACTGGGATGTTTATGCTGCAATCCTAAATAGAAGTAAGTTTCTTTTGAAATTGGCAGAGCTCTAAGTAAACATACATAGGATTAGGATCCTATGTACTCTTAAGAGTACTTTCTGGGCTTAACTAGATGAGGGATGTAGTCTCTCCTAAGGGGATTTTAGTTATGTTATAGAAAGATTAAAAAGTCAATTTAGACTGCAGTCCTTATCCCACTAAGGCCCATTGAATTCAATAAGACTTACTTCTGAGTAGAATTCTGCTGGAAGACTGCAACCCTGTCCCTCACTTAATTGAAATCAGTGGGACTTATTCTTGCATAGGAAGGTACTGTGAATACGTTAAAAGTGCAGTAACTCATACTCATTGTATGTTTAGTGTAGATTTTGCTGAATTCGTCCAAGCAGTGAGTGACACTCATTCTTAAGAACCCACTTGCTTTTAAACAGCCTGCCTATTGAAACAAGTCCCTTTTTGCAAGGGTGGCTATCCCCCCAAACCTGAGAATTACACAGTAGGGTAATTGTACTAGCACAAATGCATTGAAATAAATGTCTTCCGCAGTTAATATTTGTGGTTTTTTTATTTGTTCTTAAGATATGATCATGTTAGACCTTCTGCATCAGGTGCCATAGTGAGTACTAGGACACTTTGCGCTTCTGCACCACCATTCTACAGCCTTAACACTCAGCCGGAGCAAAATACACCTATAACAAAAAGTAAAGTACATGAGCCTGGAAAACGTGAAAAGAAAACATTAGTGCTCAGAGACAGAGGTAAGAGTGGGGGTTTTTTCCATTTTTCTAATGCTGTTGACACTTGGTTGTTTTGCTTATTTGCTGCTTTTTATTTGGTCCTAAATGATTCCAAGCATTTGTCCTTACATAAACAGACTCACACACTGCAGCCGACACACTAACATGTCACAATGTATAGTTTGGAAAGCTCTGGCCTACAGTGACCAAGAAACAGGCCCCAACTTTGGCAGATAGGAGCAGACTTGATTCTTAATGGCTGAGGTTTAAAAAGTTGGTTTCGTGTGCACACACCCACACACCATTACGTTCCTGAGTGCACCCTTTTGCATCCTCCAATGTCAGTGCATGGCTGCCATTCACTCATATGGAGAAAGATACAGTGCTGCACTTGGGGAGACTGTTGCTGTGAAGGGAGGGCAAGAGCTACTCAGTCTTCACCTCTAGGATCCTGGAAACTTACAAGCTCTCCCTTCATGCACACTGTGCCTGCTGCCATGACTGGCATTTTGTAAATTTGCAATTATTTTTCACCCATTCTTTAATTTTGGATGCATGTTTTTCTGATGCTTGTTCCAGAAAGAATTGGGTGTGAGTAATTAAAGTGCATGACTGGAGATGATAAAGCTTTCTACGATCTGAAGATGAAAGTAGGTTCCCTGTGTTTAGTGGAGGCAAGTTGAATTAAATTGCAATTTAGAAATGCCTGCCAGCTGCTTTATTACCTTATGATGGGATATTTCATGAGCAGCTAACCGTAGCTCTTTTGTTTCACATGATCACATGCTATTTTCTCCTCTCCCAAGATTTATGTGGCTCAAATGAGGAAAGGATGAGATGCAGCGCTCAGAGTGATTCAGCATGTTGCAGTGTTCCAACAGATGCTCTAGAAGCAAAGCCCCATTCATATTTGGAAGCTATCCGCAGTGGGCTTGAAGATGATGATGCTGAACCTGGAAGTTCATACGCAGATGGCGAACAGTTATGTCCCTATGCAGCAGCTGGCATGTGCCAGTTTGGTGACAGATGTCTCTACCTCCATGGGCAAGTGTGTGAAATCTGTGGCTTGCAAGTACTTCATCCCTTTGACCCAGAACAGAGAAAGATGCATGAAAAGGTAAACATGACTAAAAAGAAAACTAATTTCAACCTGAAACTATATTTCTTGAAACGTCTTGTAGATCTATGTTATTTTTGGTTTTTAGTGTCCTACAGATCTAGCTAGAATCTATGGTTTCCTGCCATGAGAGTGAGCTGTAGTGAGCCTAGGTCTCAAGTTCCCTCTTCTGCTCTTTCGTGCCTTCATCAAGTAGACTGGGATCTTTGGCTTCTGGTTTTAAACTAACCACCGCTCCGTATGTCATCTGAACTTGGTGGACTGTGGTTTTGTTTATGCTGCAGCTGACTTTTCCCCCCAGATCCTGGCTTGGTCTCGCTAGGCATAGTTTGAACAAGCCACAGATCCCCAAGTTCAGACATTGTGGGGGACTGTGGTTAGTTGGAAAGCTTCCTCTTTAAATTTACTCCATGTAGATTAATAATGTGATTCACTATTGTAGTAGGAAACCATGATAATGCTATTGTGTCAGTGTAGTCTTACATTTTTGCTAGCATATTTTCCTCTAGTTTATTGGTAAGCTTCATTTTAAGGTATCTACAAGTATGTTTTTGTCACCTTCCATGAGTAATCAAGTGGCTTAAAAAATACTAATAACTTGAGTCAATTACTGGAGAAAGTAGTATGTAAAATTGCATTGGAAAATAATACTTAAAATACAGTATAATCAGTGTGTGAAGCCATGAAATATAATTTTCACAGCTATATTAAAATATGTCTATTGTAGCATTATCAGAATCTAAAACCAAAGTAGGTGTTGAATGGACCAGTCTCATGAAACTAGCCTTAGAATTCAACCTGCTGCTAAATTCTTAAGTGTAACTGATTAGAAGTAATGAAATTCCATTGAGCTTCTTATAGGTGTGCTAATGTTGTACTGTTATTTTTAGATTTGATTGATGCTTTTAAATGGATTGTCTTGTATTTCATTTGAATAATATAGTTGGTTTCAGTAATCAAATATTTAACGCAGAATATATCTATAAATGTTCTTGCATACTGTATTCTATACATTGCATTTCTGGGAATGTTTCCTATACTGCTTCCATTCTTCTTAAAAATGATTGATAGTACAAAACCATAGCCTTCACACTCTGCCCTTACTTACCAGGTTGTATCCAACATAATGCTAAGTGGATATTCCATCAGCCCAATAATTTCTGCTTTTTCAGTGGAATGTTCTTCTCTCTCTCCCTCCCCACATTCCCTTAAACATTTCTAGGAGTTCCCCCAACCCTGTGGAACAGATTTGGGGAGAATGTGGTGCATGCATGGAGGGAGGAAATGCCCTGTAGCACAAGCACTAATTCTTGCACTGATGGGATGCAGTAGTTGAATACTACGGTAGTTCCATTCTTCTTTTCCTGACCCTTCCTGCCTGATGGCTCTCCTGCAATATGCTGTGCTAAGGCAACAGACAATCTTTATGTTAGCCCAGTGCTCAAATGGGGCGGAATCCTATGTCACTTCTTTCCAGGCAGAGATCATTGGGCCTGGCCCAACATACCCCACTTCCTCTTTTGTCCCATGTTAAAACCAAAGCTACTTCCTCTCCCACCCCTCACCCTCTTCAGACAGATTACTCATCAGTATTAAATTAAATGCTGTTAACTTCTCATATATCAGGACTGTTCAACTTATGACCCATCATGCCAAATTCAGCTCACCAGCTGTACACTGTGATGTGATCACCAGGTGCTTGACAGTTCCACACACACACCCCCGCTCTGTGAAAATAGGGCATTTACATAGTTGCTGGTAGGCTTCATTAAGCTTAATGGGTCTGAAATTGTGTGGGCCTCATCTGTAAAATTCTACTGTCACATAATTGTATCCAGTTGCCATTTTAAATCCAAGGTCAGCTGCATGCTTAATTATAGCTTAATGTCAGTCCCTTGGCTGTCCAAGGTCTTTACGCTGGTGGGTTTGGTTTGGTTTAGTATTTATATTCTTCTTTTTAAAACAACAACAACAAAGCAGCTACTGTGTTTTTGGTGAGGGGGTTCTTAATTAATGTTTGTTTTATTACCAAGGAAAACTTGTATCAATCTAGCAAGGGAACTTTTGTTCCTCTACTCTCCCTCCACAAATCTGCTTTGGATGGTTAGTGGAACCCCTAGAAAAAGCTTGATTTAATGGCACTTAGGCTGCAATCCTATGTTCCTGGCAGGTGGCAGTGGGACTTGATGGAGCAGCAATGCCAGCACTGCACGTACAGACTGGTGCTTGAGGCAAGAGGGGGAAGCAGAGAAAATGTCCCTCTGCTGTGCCAGCTCCCAGGCTGCTGTGAACAGGCCCAGATCTGACTCATTTGCCATCACAATGACAACAGCAAGGTCTGCACAGAATCTAGTAGATCCAGGGCCAGCCCAGTCCTGCTCCCTCCCACTGGCTGTCGCCATCTGGGATGCTGTTGGCAGTAACTTGCACCTGCTCTATAAGTGGGCATATTCAAGTGCTTCTCATTGGTGGAGCTCCTCCACCATCTGAGGCTGACAGAGCCAGGCAGGACTGGATGGAGGGAACCTCTACTCCCAGCAAGGCATATGAGGGGTTTGAATTGCTCTGCCAGTTCTAAATCGACAGGTTTAGGACTGTACTGTCAGAACATTGTAGTGGCTCCATGACAGAAACCTATAGTAGCAGTCCTTCCCTCTGCTTCCTTTAAAAATATCTAATATATTTTGGGCTTTTCTTACATATATAGATGTGCATGGCTACGTTTGAACATGAGATGGAGAAGGCCTTTGCCTTTCAGGCAAGTCAGGACAAGGTGTGCAGTATCTGCATGGAAGTGGTATATGACAAACCATCAGCATCCGAAAGAAGATTTGGAATCCTTTCCAACTGCAATCACACATACTGCTTGTCCTGTATCCGGCAGTGGAGGGGTGTCAAGCAGTTTGAGAATCCAATCATAAAGTAAGTTCCTAACAACCTTCATTTTCAGAATACAGTGCAGGATACTTTTCTTATTTCTTTCCTTTGCATCTTCAAACGAGATGTAGTGTAGCTGAGGATTGACTAAGGAAAGTTTTGCTTACGGTTTTTTGTTATTGCATTGTTACAGGAATTTTTTCAATTGATGGGGAAACCCCCATTTGTAACAACAACCAAAAGATATTATGGAATATGTAAGTGGGGTTATTGATGAGAACAGACTATTTTGTTTGTTGGCTTCAGTGTGAGCCTCAGAAAATGATGTGTGTGTGTGTGTGTGTGTGTGTGTGTGTGTGTGTTTGTACAGAAAAAGCTGAAACCTAGCATTTTTAAAATTTGGTTCCTTGGATAAGGAATGCTGCCATCCCAACATTCAGCATACTGTAGCCACTGAGCATGTCATTGAATGCAGATAAAAATTAAATGGTGGGAAAGAATCATGCCTGGATCAGCTCTGGAAGTGGGGGTGAAGGCAAAAGAGTAGGGAGTATGAGGCCATCTCTTTTTAATACTGTGCTTTGAATTGCTGTGACCTGCATCAGCTTTGAGAAACAGAAATTTGCATCCCAGTTACCACACTGATCTGAACAGAGGAGCTGAAATCTCTGCTCATATCAGCTCTTATGATGGAGCCCATCATCACACTGATAAGGGGAGAGGTTGAAACCTCTTTTCACCCCAGTGTGAGATTGGAGCTCAACACTGCCCCCTCCTGCCCTGCTCGCTTTTCTTTTTTCAAGCTCCCCCATCCTCAGAAAAAAACTTTTTTTAAAAGATAGGGTTTTTTTAGGGTGGGGGAGCTTTCGGAGCTGCCAGAAATCACATTGGGCCCCAGATATTGCTTCCAGGCCACAGGCTACTGATTTGTACTTCAGAAGTGCTTGGTATTGCTCTTGAATTGGATGAAACTGCTTCTTCTCAGCAAACTACACATATACTTTTTAAATTTCATCCAAGGTCCTGTCCAGAATGTCGTGTGATATCAGAGTTTGTAATTCCCAGTGTGTATTGGGTGGAAGATCAGACTAAAAAGAACGAGCTGATTGAAGCATTTAAACAGGGAGTGGGGTAAGTATTATGATTATTATAATGTGAGACCAGAGTTGTTTGATGAGAAGGAGTTCAATTACATAATAATAATAATTAATATATTGTGTTATTGTCTCAGTCTAGAGCAGTATGCAGTATACAGAATACTTCTGTAGTTAAAAAGGTTTTTGTGAATATGTCTATCAGACTATTAAACATAAAAGTGGCAATCAGTGGGATGAAATACCTCCCCCCCCCCCCCCATTAAAATAACTCCAGGATGTGTTGGTTAAGAGTTTGGTAACATGTTTATACTGATCCAAATAGTGATTTTTTTTTCACCCTTTAGCACGCTAGTATTTTGATTCAGATGAAAGGCCAAGTCCTGCTATGAAGAATACCCAGGCTAATACACTCCATCCTCCCATTTTGGCCTTCTGTTCTTCATCTGTCCTTCAGTTCTGGATGTAGGCAAACTGGTTTCTGCAAACCATAATTTGCAATTCTGTCTTCTAGGCAAAGTTGATTTGCCAACAGAGCAGATGTAGATGGGGGTATGGAAATAGAGGCCATGTGAGCCCACTACGTTCCCAATCCTTTTGGTTTGGGGTTATCAAGCAACATTTATGCCCAAATTGACCCATGGCCTTTGCATAAGAATTTTATTTATTTATTTAGTTCTGTTTATATATCATCCTTCACCAAAAGATCTCGGCACGGTTCACAAGATAAAAATTCAAGAAGCTGTGTGTCCCATAATGCAAGTTTTGCGAGTTACAAGTGATCACTGGTGATCCACCTACCCCTGTTTAGTTTTTTGTTTTTCTAGTATTATTCCACTTGGCTAGGCTCACACATTTTTATCCCTTGAAATGAAAGTGAGTATTGGCATCTGGAAAAGGCCGTCTTTTCTCTTTTTTTAAATGTGTGTCATATTGAATTCAAGTGGGGACTCTTGATGATTAGTTCCATCGAGCCGCACTTCAGGCCTCAGATAGCCTGGCCAGGTACTTTGCTACTGTGTCTTTTTGGAGAACGCAGTCCTCGGGTTGAATTAATCTTCAATCTCATATATAGAAATTTATGGCCTCATTTCTGAGGTTAATGAAGTAGAATATCTGAAAAGACTTATTTACTATTTGCATTTAGGCTGTAACTTGGTATTAAGGTAAGACCACAAATCATTTCAATATCCATTTTCTCTAAAATTGCTAAAGATCCTGATTTTTTTACCCATGGTGGGGTGGGGAATACATCAGGAAATTTAAGAAGTCTTTTTCTAATCATTACTTTGCCAGGACAACATTTTTAAGTGCAGTGCTTAACTGAAACAGCAAATCTAGAATGAAAGTATGTTTTCAACCTAATCATAGAATCATAGAGTTGGAAGAGACCACAAGGGCCATCGAGTCCAACCCCCTAAGCAGGAAACACCATCAGAGCACTCCTGACATATGGTTGTCAAGCCTCTGCTTAAAGACCTCCAAAGAAGGAGACTCCACCACACTTCTTGGCAGCAAATTCCACTGTCGAACAGCTCTTACTGTCAGGAAGTTCTTCCTAATGTTTAGGTGGAATCTTCTTTCTTGTAGTTTGGATCCATTGCTCCGTGTCCGCTTCTCTGGAGCAGCAGAAAACAACCTTTCTCCCTCCTCTATGTGACATCCTTTTATATATTTGAACATGGCTGTCATATCACCCCTTAACCTCCTCTTCTCCAGGCTAAACATGCCCAGCCCCTTAGCCGTTCCTCATAAGGCATCGTTTCCAGGCCTTTGACCATTTTGGTTGCCTTCCTCTGGACACGTTCCAGTTTGTCAGTGTCCTTCTTGAACTGTGGTGCCCAGAACTGGACACAGTACTCCAGGTGAGGTCTGACCAGAGCAGAATACAGTGGCACTATTACTTCCCTTGATCTAGATGTTATACTCCTATTGATGCAGCCCAGAATTGCATTGGCTTTTTTAGCTGCCGCGTCACGCTGTTGGCTCATGTCAAGTTTGTGGTCAACCAAGACTCCTAGATCCTTTTCACATGTACTGCTCTCAAGCCAGGTGTCACCCATCTTGTGTTTGTGCCTCTCATTTTTTTTGCCCAATACTTTACATTTCTCCCTGTTAAAATTCTCACACTATTTTGATCAAACTGTCCCCTTAAAATTTGTCAAAACAAAACAAAAACCCACATGTGGTGAATAGTTCATTTTATGTGAGCCAACAGTGAATTGTGTACATATCTTACTAATCTATCTAGCATTTGGTTAAATGCTTGTTGTAATTAACCAAATGCCAGCTGTGTCATTCTGTGACCTTCACTGTTGGTCTTTGAGATGTGTGTGCCTCAAAAGGCAACGCTTTTGTTGTTTACATTGTGTTACTCTTTATTTATGCAGTGTTTATGCTTATCAGTCACATCAGGGGCTGTGCTATTAATACATCTAGAGCTGAAATCTGCAGCTGCTGATCAGAACAAGCAGCTTGAGCCTATGATTCGGTGTTTTGTGTCTGAAGGCTATAAATTATATACTTCTGTGGAAAATCTAAGCGTGACAGCTCCAAAAATGGACCTGTATGCAGGAAGGGAAAGACGTGGCAGTAAACCTCCTGACTTTGCAGCTCTTTTATGGAACAAATCCACCCAAAAAAATCGTTTTGGATTTGTCTTGATAGAGGAATTGAGAGGAATGGTAAAAATACATAATAGCAAAGTTACTAGCATTTTTGACATGGTCTCAGGCTGAAATCTTTTCTGCCTTTGACCATCTTTTATAGAATCAGAATCATGGAATTGTAGAGTTGGAAGGGAACCCAAGGGTCATCTAGTCCAGCCCCCTGGATTGCACAAATCTCAACTAAAGCACCCAAATAGAACTTTCAAATTGCAGTAAGATCTGCCCTATTAAATATAATTTGAAGCAAGTTGCAAGCTGCCTTTCTCAGTTAGGACAATGTGCTTCCTTAATGCAGATTAATGGGAAGTACAGTTAATATGCTTTTGTGGTATCACAGGCTTGGATGGTTGACCCATCTAAGTGACTCAGAATGTAAAATGATGTCTGAACAGAATTTTTTGTCCTAAATAAAACCGATTCTGTGAGTGGGTTTTTCTCTCAGAAAGAATCTATCCCCTTCTTGCTTCGGATTTTAACAGTTGAACTTAATAGCTGGTTAAAGTTACTGTGTTACGCTCAAATTTTACTTACAATTTTTAATTAAAGATTTTATAATAAAACAAGTCTCCTATAATATAATAAAGTTATGGCTGAAGCCACATGTCTTACATTCTTGCCTGCTTCCGTTTTGTTCTAGTAAGAAACTAAAGTGTGCCATTGGGTCAAAAGAGATCACAGTTCCTTAACATTGTCCTAAGCCTCTTTTACCACAACACACTGTACACTTCCCAGTGAAGTCTCACATTGGTATACTACAGTCAGAACAGGACCAGAAATAAATGCACACATCCACTGCCATATCATACCCAGCTTCCTTTCTCTGAAGATACATGGGAGAAAGAGTGGCTGCAAAGGGTTGGCGATCTGATCTGCACAGGGACTGTCATAGCCAGGGACTGTACATCACTGCTCTGCTCCAGTAGAGATTGATGGAGAAGCATTCTGTTCACCTAAAGCTTTGTTGAGCAGAGTCACCAATGCAAATCTAAGTGGAAGGAGAGTTAGTGATGGGTGCTGGAGGAAATTCGTCAAGCTCTTTGTGTTTAATTGCTTTCCTCTTACCTTACAGTAAAGCAAGCAATAAATGCCTACAATAATGCCACTGACAATCTCCCCTTGCATTGAAGTGCCTTAGGTGCCTTTACTTTGGGTTTTCACTCCTGTATTTACTTTTTTCCCCTTGTTTTTAGCAACATTAGCCACCTTGAGATTTAGGGTATAAATGAATGCCCTTGTGTTTTCTCTTTCTCTCCTATGTTCAGGAGGAAGGCCTGCAAGTATTTTGACCAGGGTAAAGGGACCTGCCCATTTGGGGGGAAGTGTCTGTACCTGCATGCCTATCCAGATGGGAGACGGGCTGAACCAGAGAAACCACGAAAGCAGCTTAGCTCTGAGGGGACTGTCCGGGTAAGATTTCCAGCCATGTGTCTTCTCGCAACTAAACAGCAGCGCTGGGCTTCAGTGATCCGACACATTCTTCCACTGAAGGCTTTGACACTTTTATACATTCATAAAAGGCTTCAGTGTATCCGCTGTAGCATAGCTGGCCCCTTTGGGGAACAGAGTGCTCTTTTCCTAAGATCCCGAGTGATGAATCTCATTTTGACAATGGAGTTTTTTCAATTTCAGAATCTAGTTTATTTGGCATTTAAAACACAAATGCTTGAGTGTACTTGTTCATTTTTGCCTAGCTAGCAAGTGTGGTTTTAAATAGCCCTGAAAATTGCACATTTATATGTTTGGATCATCCAAGTAGGCTTCTTTTCAGTAGAGACTATTGTATTTCTAATAATAGTGCACTTGTTGCTTATAACCTTTACTTTAAGCGTAATGCTGTTTTGTCAGATCAGTACAGATACCTACACAGCTAGTGCTGTAGCCCTTGCTGGCAGTGCAGGCACAGCGGCATGCTTTGAAGTCCTGGACTTCAGAGCTCATTCAGAGGCCTTAGGGTCCAATGGGAATTTAGAGTAGTAGCAGCTACAACACACACTCCCATCAGCTGGACCCAAGAGCTGTTACGGTCTTGGAAATACAAAGGCCAGGATCACAAGCTTGCATTTACAGAAAGGCCCTTCCTAGGGCAAGGACTGATAGCTCACTGGTCAAGCACATGCTTGCACAGAGAAAGGTGCCAGTTTCAAGTGCTGTGAAAAATCTTTGCCTGGGACTAGTGAGTTAGATGGGCAAATAGGGGACTGTAGCCTCCAAGAAAAGCTAACTCTTCACACACACCAATGAAATTCTGGCAGTGACCCATGTGCCTCTCTGCAGCTGGCATCTTTTTGGTACCAAGGGAAGCAGGCCTTGTCATTCTTGTACTGCACTGTGGAGGATGCTGTTTTAGCTGTAGCAGTACCCTGCTTTTCAGTTCAGGTGTATGCAGTATTTAAGCAGATATCTTCTTAGGTATGAGTCATTAGTGAGCACTCTATTTTGTTGTTTTTTATTCTAGTTCCTTAATTCTGTTCGCCTCTGGGATTTTATTGAAGATCGAGAAAACAGAACACTGCCAGCTGCTGACAATGATGTAACAGAGATGGGAGAGCTTTTTATGCATCTTTCCGGAGCAGATGCTGAACCTGCTGCCCCTCCCTAAACCACCACAAGATCTCTACCATGTACTCTTCTGTATCAGTCTTTCTGTTCCTTAAATAACTTTGTACTGTTTACCACTTTAAAATTACTGTGCCATGGAGACTGAAGTCCTGGTGAAATTCTAGTATGAGCCTGACACTGTAGAGCAGAACAATTGAAGCTTAATAAAGTGATTGCTTTAAATAAAAATGTCAGTGTATAGTCATAAGTAGAAGAACTTCTGTTTTTCTGAAATCAGAACACCAGTGTGTTCCCCAAAAACTTCCAGATTTTGAGAGGTGATTTTTCAGGAAACAAATCATAAGTAAAGCTAGGGGCAGGCAGTAGTGAACATCAAGCATCATCATGTAACATTCTGCCTGACTCAAGCCAGCATTCCCCAGTATAGCTTAATGTTGTTAAAGGTTGTTGGGTTTTTTATAAGAAAAAAGTTGGGAAAATTATATAGGACTAGTCAAGTGTTAAAGCAGTACAGTTGATCAAATGTTAAACACTAAATGGATCGTGTTTTTGAATGCCTTATTTAATGTTCTTTAAAATTTGGTTATGAACAATAGTACAAGGCTCCATTTCATAAGTAACATAGATATTTTAACAAAGTAATGCATCAATCTATGCTACCATTGATTTGACTGTACTCCTAATGGAAGTCCAGTCAGAATAAGCCAGCAGTTGCATGCAGATGGAGCAGGCAACATCTCTTTGGTACAGAAATATCACTTATGGGATTTCTATACTACTCAAGCCACTGTACATCTCTTAAGACTATATTCTATTAAAATCCATACCCAGTCTCTGCTGGAAAACTCAGTAATGTAGCCCACCTTTTTCCATATAAAGGTGATCCCTTTAGGTGCCCAATGCATCCACCAGGACTTTGGAAGATGAGCACTAATACTTTGAATAGTGCCTGGAAATAAACCAATGCACCTGCAAGATATGTTTCTATTACCAAAACAGTCGGAACCCACATTTTTAACTATCTGCCATTTCCAAGTGATCTTTGAAAGGGTATAACTAGGTCAATACTGTGCAGAAGAGTTCACAGCTCACTCAAGAGGCATCATGAAGATACTGAAAGGATACAGGGGACCCCTGCAGGAGCACATAGGATAAATGGCATGATGGGCCAAGCAGTAAAAGCCCTTGCCCTGTCTTCTGAGAGCAGCTGTCCAAGACAAGCACAACTACTGAAACACCGCCTTCAAGTTACAGAGCTTGTCTTGAAGGATATCACGGTTGATTTTTATTATTTCTTAAATCTGTATACTGCTCTATACCCATAGATCTCGGGGTGGTTCATTACATGCCATCAGAGGCCACTGCAAGGTCCAGAATGAGCAGGGGCACCTCCTCCTTGCACAGATCATCCATCAAGGTAATACGATAAAACCAGGTCTGCAATCAGACTGAAATTGGCAACCACATAACTGAGCACCTTTCCAGGAAGGGACTATTAAGCAATGCTTGGTCAGCATCTACAGAAGTGACATTTTTGGGGGAAGGAGAGAAAAATGTTAACAGCAGCTTACCTCTTGGAGAGTGGCAAGAACTGCAGCAATTTCTGTTTCTGTGGTTGTGTGGTTTCCTCCCCCCCCCCCCAAAAAAAATGCTTCTTGGGAGGCCAGATCCATCTACTCTAGCTACAATTTATTACACAGCTAATTGTTAAGTGCCACTATATTAAAACTGAATAAATGCATGGATTTAATGTTACTAAATGTCAGCTGCACCTAGACTATCCTTATTTTATTTTATTTTATTTTATTTTATTGGAGTAGATGATAACGGCCACCCAGAGCTACACCAGGACTCCCACCATCCATATACAGCAGTGGGTCAACAAGACTAATCTGGCTTGTTACTATGGAAAATGTTATTCCTACAGTGTAAAATGTACTGGCATTGCTCCCTAACAAGGTTGGGAATAGCTTTAAAGAAAGTTACTTTACCAGCAAACGAGGCAAAATGAATCCCATAATTGCTATAAAAATAGCATTCATTTCTAGCTAAGCCAGACCACGCTGCAGTGTTTTAAGGTGCAGTGCATTTGCAGAATGAATTACGCTTCCACTTACATTTATGTAGAACATGGGTGGGTTTAAATTTCAGATTGCATTTCTAAAACTGGAAACATGCCAGACTGTTGCTTTAAGTATCTTTTTTGAGTGGCATGCCTATGACTTGCACTGGAGAGGAGAAACTAAAAGCTTAAAGCAGGCAGTAATTTTAGCTTGGACAGGAGCCAGTAGGGTTTCAAGAAGATGAAGCAGGCTTTGTCCAGTCTGCTTCTGCTAACTCTTCAAATTCTCACATTACACCTCCAACTTCCAAAACCTGAAGGAACTGCATTTTCAGTTTTTGCTTCTACATTATATATTTAAATGAAGATAAATCAGTATTTGCTAAGGGGCACAAACCAATGCTTTCCTTATCTCCCCATCCTTAGAGAAAGTATCTAAATCCAACACACCATCTTATGGGTAGAGAACGTGTTTCCTCCTTAAAGGATGCCGAAGTTAAGGCACTCGTGTAGTCATGTGGAAGCACACTAACTCTTTGCTTAAACTGTGTACTTTTATACTAGTGTTGAAAGCAGTTTTACACAGTATCTCAGTACTCTTTACATCAAATATGTAATGGAAGTTTCATGGGTCAACTATTGCACCTGGCATACCATGCTGTGCTCACATTGCATGCTAACTGCACTTCAGCTTTAGCCCATTATTGATTAGCCACTAAATAATGGGGCTAAAGTTACAGCAGTTGTGCTCAGAATGTAGTCTAGACTGTAAAGCAAATGAATCCATGTGGAGATCTCCAAAGAAACCCAGAAGAATTCATTCCAGAATGCCACAACTCAACCCACAATATGGACTGTACAGTTCAAAAGCTGGGTTGGATCCAGACAGTCATGATGCATCTACTCTAAGAATGACTAAGGCTGCAACTCTAAACCCACTTACCTGGGAGTAAGTTCCAATGAGGTCAACAGGATATACTAATGAGTAGACATGGTTATGATTGCCCCATAAATAAGGATCGAGCCCAAGGTATGAGAAGGCAGAAAATACATACTGAAAAAAGCTTGTTTTTCATGCACTATACTTCAGTCATTGTTCACTTAACGTATGAAGTTTGATCAGAAAATGCACTTTACCAGGTACACTTTTCTGATGCTGTAATGGTAATGTAAAACACCAACAAATCCAGACTTCAAACTGTGTAAGTCTTATAAGTCTATAATGCATGTTCATTACAATACTGGGCAAAAACAAGTGCCAGCAGCGAGGAATAACAGAAAGAATTTGAAAATCAACAGACTTAAGTACACCTAACCCTGTTTAGGATTTGGACGCTGTGCACACGCTTATCCTCTCCATTGTTTACTCCTGAAACCCTAAAAGCACACAAAATGCATTAGCTTAACTCCAGAAATAAATGTAACTCACCCAATATTTGCATTATGATAGTGAATACAAAAGTGCCAAGCATTCAAAGCCACTGCAGTACAGCTATTGTGGCACCTGAATACATTCATTGTAGGGGACATTTTTGAATATGCAGCAGAAAATATGAATTACAGAAAGGGTGGGAGTTCCTTGGAAAGCAGGGGTGCTTTTCAGTTCCTGGGTGTCATTTCAGCTGCATCTGATCAGAAGAACTGAACAGCTCAGCAGGCACTACAAATGGCAGAGGCTTGTAAGCAGCACATGGAAAGTGACAGCAAGTGTTTATGAACAGCAAAGGAACATTGGAACAAGGACAGCTACAAAATGGAAGCCAGACTTTGCATACCGAACTTAATACTATTAAGGAGAGTGCAAGCTGAAAGGCACAACTGAAATTACGTTAGCAGTGATGCAACGCAACCCCGGGAAATGACGTTCCTTACCTTTGCATGGATTATCAATCAGAAAGTTACCTCTCACTCTTAATCCCTGAGCAGTTTTCATTCATCACTACTTCCTGAGTAACTGACCTCCTTTATGCCTTAAAAAGAAATAAAGCCTACTGCATACAACTTGTATACAACTTCCTACTAAGTTGCCTAACATGATACTGTGTAAGATCAGGCAACCAGCGATCTAACACCCTCATTTATTACACACGGGATTGTCAATTCGCCTTTAAAAAATCTTAATCCTGTTCCAAAGAATCTGCAGATTTGACTATGTCACCTCTACAAACCACCTCTAGGAGTCACCTGAGGGCCAAACTACATGTCTATAGATTTTATAGTAACACAGCCAATTTAGATTCCGCCCCCCGCCCCCCCGGGAAATGCTAGCTTCAGGGGAAGGGTCAAATTCCCCTTCACAATCCCAATAATTATCAAGTATTCACCCAGCTGATGCTACAAGCATTTAATATCATATCTAGCCTGGCTCTTTAGTGAACTCGGTAACTTCAATTCCAGGCCTGTGGACAAGAGGCAGAGGATGAATTTGCATGATTTCTTCTTTCTCTGTAAAGTGAGTCTTTCCATCACTATGTAGCAAAATCCATGTGGAACTAGATAGTAAGGATTTGCTGGATGTGTGGTGAACTAAATGTATTTATCTGAGAGCAACCCACAACTGAAGATGCACACCTACACTTACAGTGATGATGGTTCAATATGGGAAATATGGGTCTGTGGGTCAAAAAACAGCTTACCTACATCTCCAAGGGACACTTTACTGTGCCTGAAAGTGATAAACTTGTTCTTGAAAACTGCATCACATCTAAAGATCCCTCAAAAGGCTGCTGGAGCTACAAAGCACATTCTTCAGAGAATATAACGGTGCGAGGAAATACACAGTTAATAGCTCTACAGTTCTTTCCAAAATGGTATTTTAGAGGGGAATCGCTCCAGTATTTTCTTTGCTTTTATGCACACAGTGTACTAGATATTGCAGACAGGGCATCACGGCTACATAATACACACATTTAAGAACATGGTGCACACACATCAAATGTGGAACATCGGTTAAAAAACCGACTGAATGACAAACTTAAATTTAATTTATTTTATTAAAATAAGATAATCAGAAGAACCTGTGTTTACAATAAATGCTTTTCTCTGAGGGGCAATGAAAACAAAGTTAAAACCCAAATCAGCAAGGGAAAACCTGTATATGCCAAGTTTCTTTATAGTGCATCTCAGGAAAAAAAGTTTCAAAACAGACTTTATTTTGCAGAAATTTACTAACAGAATTACTTATTTTGCCTCTTCTCCTCCCAAAAAACTATAGTTTCTCACAGGACCCTCAGAGCGCCGCAAGAAACAAGTCCGAAGTACCCAACAAGCTTCTTAGGTTACTGTTAGATGATTGTAGGAAGATTGTGCTAGCTTCCTTCTCTGGACAGTACTAGTTATAATATATTCCTTGCCTCAAAATTAGTATTTTCCACATGTGCAAAACTGTTTTGTGTTGACTTAATATTGGTGTTTAACGTTTCATGATCTTGAGAAATGCTTAGAAGTGGAAACTTTCCAGAGCTTGAATTCCCCTCTTCCCTTAAGTCTTCTTTGTGGATGATCATTTTAGTTAAAATTCCTCCAGCCTGAATGGCACAAAGTCATAGAATATCAGAAGAACAGCACCATCTGCATTGACTTTCCTCAAATGCTAAGCTATTATTTTGCTATAGAAAAATACCAGTCTATTCAGCATAATGCAATTTCAAAGAAACCTGTTTTCTCTTTTTTTTTCCTTTTTCCTTTTTTTTGCATATGGGATAAAGTAAGGCTCAAGTGCATCTATAAAAAATAGTAATAGGACCTCTTGTATACTGTCTCTTAACTATTTCAATATGATAACCTATAGAAAAAGGCAACGTGGAGTTTTTTGTCCCTGTAGGATTAGAACGGCAGAAATTCATAGCAGCTCATTCTCAAAACTGGCATCCAGCTGAATCCCATTGCTGGCTCTGCAATCCTGTAGACTGAGGCATTCAAAAGCACAACTGCTAGAACTGTTACTGGAGAGCAGTGGGCAGCGCACAACAATCTCCTAAAACACAGGTAGCTTTGTCGAAGTCAACGTGCACGAATTGATGTCCTGGGTGTGAGTTGCACGATGCAGAGAAGGTTCTGAAGCACTTCGGTTGATTTTGGGTAAAGAATGCTGCAGCAATTCAATGGAAGACAATATCTAAAGTAAAGAGGGAAAGGGGGGGGAGAGGAAATTATAACGGCCTGTCCAATTTCTGTGCAAGACTATCTTAATTACAGTACTGACAACTTCCTAGGTCTAGACAAGGCTAGAAGTGCAAATTTCATGAAAGCTCTTGCCATCCCCACCCACTTCCCTGTGACCATTTCCTGTTTATAAAATAGAGAGCAGACAGGACAGTGTTTATTTTCTGCCTTGTGAAAAGCGTGAGTGGCTCACATTACACACCCAAAGCACAAACCTATGTGCAGGGATACCCACAGGTTCCTGGCAATAGCTTGGGAGTGACAACGCTACAACACAAATACCCAGTTTTCAAATACATTCTTAAAAAAAATCAAATTATAGTATCTCAGCATTACTGAAAAACAGTAAAGAAAAGTGAACATGGTTATCTGGAAAACTGTTTCATTATCTCCTACTAATGAAACATTTTGGTCTTATCAGAAGCAGGAAATACCAAGAAACATAAAATTGAGAATTTTAGTGTCTCTCAGGAAACAGATAAACAGAGATATAAATCTGTCTTTCTTTCTATAATTTATATATATATTTGTGTGTGTGTGTGTGTGTGAACGATTAAACATAATATGCCCCTCTCTCCACCACCCTCTCTCTCATCAATGCAGATATATACATAAGAGAAGGGTAAAATTTGTATCTGTCTTGTTGTTTATGTATTTTATTACCCTTCTCTTGTATATATTAAATCATATATAATGTTATATAGACACAGCTGTATAATGTGTCCATCTTGCCCCAAGGGGAGGAGAGAAAGCAGCAGAAACGGGTTAGGAAGCTGCCAGCCTCTAGCTCCCCATGGAGACCTCTCTCCCCACTCCCCACCTGAGGGACGTCTGAAGAATCAAGAGGAACGGAGAAGAAAAAGAGGCAGCCTCTGCAATGACAGTTGTTTGTCCTTCCTCTTTCATCATATAATTTCTATCGACACTTATTTTAAAAAATAATTTTATGTAAACTACTTTGTGAAGTCCATCCGATAAGCAGTACGTATATTCAATAAATACATACCTATAGGTTTTTCTTTTTAATTATTAAAGATTTTCCTCGTTTACAAAAGCACATGCTTTGTATTTTTCTTCAGGTTGTGTTTTCTACAAGATCAGTTACTTTTGTCGTGAAACATTGGTGTTATATGCAGTATAGGGTTGGGAAGAAAAGAAGGGGGGCGGGAGAAAGGGTTGGGGTGGTAAAGCCTATATTTTTTTACTTAGTGTATGTGTAGGGTTTTTGTGTCAGTGTCACTTGAGGAGGTTCTCCTTCTATTCGCTTGTTATGTTTCCTTGATGGTGGGAGAGGTTGGGGTGGCCTAGGGTGTGGTTGATCGCCTTTGGTTGGCTGCAGTGGGATCTGTTTCTGTGTGTGAAGAGGGTGTTGTTGGGTTAAGATAATACATACCTATAGTTATACCTGTCTTCGTGCATGCATAGGGACATGTAGGCATGTCTGCATGCCTATGTGTGTGTCTTTCTCTAGAATATTCTCTTCTCTCTCTCTCTCTCTCTCTCTCTCTCTCGTCGTAATTCAGTCATGGAACTCACTGAGTTCCCTTGGACCAGTCACTCTCTTTTAGCCTAGCCTACTTCACAGGGTTGTTTGCAAGGATAAATTATGAGGTGTGAAGTGAACCATGTGCTCTAATCTTGACTTCTATGGAGTAAAAAGGTAATAAAATAAAGTAATAAAAATATTCTCTTGCCTGCAGTTTAAGAGATTAGTTTCCCCATTATTTTTCACTATTTGAACCAACATGTTCTCTCTGTCTCTTGCTTTATTCAAACACACACACAAATTTATTTGTTTTGTAAAGCTCTAAAATCAAACTTAATTCTTACCTGGGGGAAGAGAGGCCTTTCATCCCTGACTTTCTTCACACAATCTGCTACGAGTCTCTTCATAGCTTTGGGGCAGTTTTTGTAGAGTTTGCTGAGGTCTGGTGATGCATAGCCACGACCAACCATGAAAATGATCTAAGAATAGGCAAACAAGCAAACCTTAGAAGTTTAGAGAGGCAGCATCTAGGCTGAAAATAGTTTTAATGTAAACTATTCACTGTTCTCATGGAAATACGGAGGGCAGCTGCATGTGGTTTCAAGGGGAAAGGGGACATCACTCATAAGTGATACCATGAAGGGCTGGGAAAGACTTCTGTCCGACAATCGGAAGGGCTATGGTTAGATGGCCCACTGGCCTGGCTTGGTTTAAGGAAGCTTCCCATATTCTCAAGACCCCCCTCACTCACTGCCAACTACCAAAATTAATTGCCAAATAGATTCTGGCCCAAGAAAGAATATACGCACATGGAAGCTGCTTGCCAGATGGGAACCTCCTGCAGACTGGTGAGGGATCTGCATTGTGATAAACAGGCCATTTTATCTAATTTAGTACAAATTATAGCACATGTCATTGTATCTTCTTCCCCAGTGCTTCCAAAGTAGTTGACTTACAAGAAACAAACGTGTAACCTTCTAATGGCTCTATTTATCTCTGAAGTTGAGAAGCCAGCCCCAGAAGCCTTTCCAAGCACCCACCACCACCATAATCCTGCGAGGGAGAAAGTGGAGAGGCACTTGTTGGCCTCAGCCCTTCTACCATGTTCCCGTTGCACTTTCAGAAGGGTCATTGATGCAGTAAGCAGCTTCTCCTTGTGGAGGGAGGCTCACCGCACAATCAGAGCTTTCTGCAGGCTTCTAAATCAACCAGGAAGCCTCCAACCTTTTCTGTGAGAAAAACAGGTGTTCCAACTTCACCCAATGCTTGGCATTGCCAAACAGCAGTTCCCCTTTGCTGCCCCATGATAAGAAAGGGGGTGGGCTTGCTGATTTGGCTGCCTAACCACTCCCAGCATCCTTACCAACTTCAGTGCTGGGAGAGGGCTGGGACCACCATACAACTGCTGAGACACGTCTGCAGCTTCAAAGTTTGGCAGAAGGCTAATTGCCCATCACCAGAGGGTAGTGCCACACTTGCCACGGTGAGTGGTAACTGCCTCTAAGGTAGCACCGAGCATGCACTACAGCTACTAGACCAGTTAGGAACCTTGTGCTTTCCACTTTAGCATGTCATATTACTTTAAAGTTCAAGGCACTTCTTTCATCTAGCATATAACAATTATTTCCATCCGGGCAGACAGGCTTAAGAAACAATGAAGGCAGAGTTCACAAGCAGTGTTAGCCTATCCTGCCTTCGATCCTCAGGTTAAGGCTTTCCTAACACTCAGCCCAACCCTTGAGAAGACACAGATCCTTGGAGACCAATGGGAACTCCAAGAAAATACAACCCAGATTTCACAAGGGAATTAGTTGACAAACTGACCCCTGTATCAAGTGTTAACAATGTAGATTTTTTTCAGTCCTCTAGAACTCTGACTCAACATTCCGACCAGCCTAGCGCTAACAAACACTGCATAGCAAACAAGCAGTTTGGGCAAAGTATACATGATGTTATACTGACATTTCAATGTTACTGCAAACATATACCATCTGCAAAAGCTTTTATATGAGATGCCCTGCTGCTTATATACACACAAGCCAAGATCTACTTTTATAATTTACCATCTTCGCAGCAGACTGGATGAGGTGGAATATAAATTACATGGTTCTTTGCTCTGTAGCCTTCTAAATAAAATCCAGAAACCCTGAAAATAATAAATTTGGAAATACAATGCATTGCATTTAAAAAATGATCGTTTCTCACCTGGTCTCTGTTGTTAATATGGGAATAAGGTAGCTCTCCGGTCATCAGTTCATAGAGTACAATTCCATAAGAATACACATCTGATTGGAAACTGAATGGATTGCTATCCTGCATTCGAATCACTTCTGGTGCCTTTATTTTTTTATATAAAAAAAAACCAGATTAAGAATTCATACATGGAGGGAAAAAGTAAACAGAGTCTGGCGGCATTAAGGCCACAATAAAAAACAGAATTAAGCCACTGCATTAAATTTATTTCCTCAAACATTCAAATTGGCATTGGAAACAATGGAATGAAAAATGTGGGGGTTTTTTAAATCAGGGAAAATACAATGGAACACATGATTGTTCCTCTTCCCTCATTTCCACGCTGTCAGCTTGAGGCCAGCAGGGCCCTGGGTGAGGTGGCAGAACTGCAGTCATATCTCACCACCACCAGGCTGCAGCCTCAGCTTCTTAAAAACTTAATATAGACATTGGCCTAGTACAGAAACAAGAAGTAACTATGGTTTGTCATTACAAGAATGAGCCTGCAGACATCTGACTTCCTTGCTCCCGCTGCACCCCCCACCCACCCACCTTCCTACATACAAAGGAGATCAAAAGCTTCCATGCTCAGTTTGATATCCTGGCTTCTTTTAACTACCTAAAGTTCCCGAACTTTGGGTGTACAGTGGTACCTCGGGTTAAGTACTTAATTTGTTCCGGAGGTCCGTTATTAACCTGAAACTGTTCTTAACCTGAAGCACCACTTTAGCTAATGGGGCCTCCCGCGGCCGGAGCACGATTTCTGTTCTCATTCTGAAGCAAAGTTCTTAACCCGAGGTACTATTTCTGGGTTAGCGTAGTCTGTAACCTGAAGTGTATGTAACCCGAGGTACCACTGTAATGGGAATCCGTGGTTAGTTCAAAAGCATATGCGTTTGGCTTGCCACCTCTGGTTAAGACCTTGGGTGGGGGAGGAACCCTGAGGTTCACACAGGCTCATTCTCATAACAAACCCTAATTTGTTTTGAAAGGCCAGGTATCCTGAAGCCTAGTCAAAAAGCCTACCTGCAGCACCTAGCCACTCAAAGTTTGCCCCTCCCACGTTAAAAAGAAAACTGCAGCTTGAAAAGCACACACAGATATGCACCTTCTTTTGCAACACAGGAAGCAGCCATGCCAATTGTAGAATAGCAGTACTGTATGCTAGTTCTCTGGTATTTAAGCAAGGATGAGGAACTTTTGGCTCTCTAGATATTGCTGTATTCCACTGTCCTCATCCCCGGCCAGCAGTCAGGGATAATGGAAATTGTAGCCCAAAAGCAATCCAAAGGTTCCCCACCCCTGGATTAAAGGATAAGAAACATGTTTTTGTCATATACTGCACATTAAAAACAAAAGTTAAAAGGAATAACTTTAAGGTCAGACCAGCTACAAGCAACAGCTCCGTTGTAAGTCACTTACCATCCAGAGAACGGATCCAGTAGGTTGTTCTACCTGTTGGGAACCACTCCACCTAGATTTGACTGTTGCCAGCCCAAAGTCTCCAATCTTTACTGTGCGGTCTTCATGAAGAAATATATCTACATAACTCTTAAGGAACACACATGGACAGTCACTTGAGTTACCAAATACAGTCATCCTTGCATCCAGGCCTGTTTCCAGAAGATATTCTACACTAGCTTTTAATGAATGTGCTTTAAGAACACAAGATGGATCAGACTGGATCAGGCCAATGGCTCATCTAGTCCATCACCTTGTTCTCACAGTGACCAACCAGGTTTACAAATATATTGTAAAATATTCGGTATTAAAAGGAAGGTGGTAAGGTGCCAGACCCTACCTAGGTACATCCTTTCTTCTCCCACACCTTCCCCACTCCCCAGATTTTTAGTACTCTCAGAACTGAACTTCCATCTATAGCTAAAAGGGTTTCTTTTAATTAAGTTTCCATGTATCAGCTGCACTTTATAGAGTCCTATCCACTGAAAGCTCCAAAGGACATTGAGTTTTCCAGAGACAGGACCTGTAAAGAATACAAACCATACATTAGAAGGTTTGTTTTTTAAACAATAAAATAAAATTATGTGTTATGAATTTAGAGATCTTGAAAACAGCCTCAGTTTTCAACTCAGATCTGCAAACGAAAGACAGGTAACGAATGCAGAAGTAACCTTCAGTATTGCCATTAACTAACAGGTCTTCATATCACTTAATCACCAGAACAAACTAGAAATACTATGCCCCGTGTTCCATATTGATCTAATGAATTCCACCCAGTAAGAAAAGGATACTATTCGATTTCATATCTCTGTGTATTATATTCTTCGCATGTAAGTAGCTGTAAACAAAATTTGAGACATGAAAATGTGAACATATTTACATGTCAAAAGTCAAGTTACAAAGCAACAAACTACATCCTTAATCAAACACAGTGAAGATTATCATTTCCTTAGTAGTTATCTACTGTAGCTAGAAAGCTTTCATTTTATCAATTTAGAATCAGACAGTGCTATTTTTGTATATCAGGAAAACATCTTTGTAACCTCTACTTTCTCTGGAAGACTGTGTGATGTTTTTATATTTCAAGTTTTACAGGCACTATCAAGGTCTGCCTGAACCCAAGACAGCACTACCTTGATTTTCTCTAGCATTATTTCATCTTTGGAGCAGTCAACACCACTTCCATAGCTACAATGATTCAGTCCAGATTACTCACTCCATTCCTTGTGCCGTCTGTCTTGCAATATCAATACGTTGTAACATCTGGAACTTGGTCTCCTGGACATGCAGGTGTTTATACAGACTGCTTCCTTCACACCACTGTGTGACGATGGCCAGGTTATCTTTAGTCATGTAGCCCATGAATAGCAAAATATTAACATGCCGGGTTTTCCTAAGAGAAACAAATAGGAATCAACATATGAACATGGAGTGTATGTTTAGCTTTGTAAATTAAATAAACATGTGAAATTTAGAACTCCATTGATTTAGGGGAGTGGATTTTTCTTCTGATCCAAAGCTCTCCGAAAAACTAGTACCTCTGAACCCAAGCTGAAGTTCAGCTGCTTTTCTCTATAGCAAAGGTTTTGCAGGGAGATGTAAATTTAACAGAGAAAGAGAAATGTCTATTTATAGAAATAAACGTCTTTTACTAATGACAGAATAATGAATGAACCTGAATTTCCCTGTGCATATGTGGCTCTTTGAATTTTGGCTATGCAGCCTTTCCTGCTTGGATTTGAAGATGAATTTCAGCAGCATCCAATATAAACTGTTGGGCGGGGGGGGGGGGAGCTGTCCCTCTTCAGCTAGTCAGGCAGAACCCCCTGGAACACTGTTCTGAAGGCTGGCATATCCTCTAGTGTGGCATGAGACACAAGCAGCTGCTGCCAGAAAGGGGATCGGGGCGGGGATGTAAATCAGCAAATCCTTCCCTTTGCATGCAAAGGAGTGCTTTGTGCACACTTCTACACCAGTCTGCTGCCCAGTGAATAGCTCTGAGGACTAACAAGCAGGACTGACCCAAAACAGTTTGCTGTCTGAGGCAAAGGACAAGATGGCACTCCCTTCACATTCCATACACAGAAGCTGACTGGGCTGACAACTGGCTGTTTCTCCAAACTGGTAAAATGATAGCATTCTCCACTGCACTTGAGTCAGAAGGCTACTTTTTAGAGTGGTCAGGACATGTCATGAAGAATACATAGACTTGCCCTCCAAAAGATAGGAATGATTGAGGGATGGGGAGCCTAGGAGGAATAGCCAAGAGACTGCTGCTTCCCCTCAACATCTGCTACCTGAGGCAGTTGGCTTATATTGCGTAATGGTAGGGCCGGCCTTGACAAGTATTGATCACAGTTCCAGCCAACAAGGAACTGTAAGCTAACAAACTGAATATCCCTGCCTCAGGATAGTCTACAATTTGGAGGCAGCAGTATGAGAGTCTGGTAAATCTTCCAGTTCTGTTTAGTTTCCTATCCTTGCAATAACCTCACAAAATAAAGAGTTCTACTGAAAACACAATGAGCCTGTGCATCCAGCCACTTTAGACAAGAGTCAACTTAATAAAAGTACTAGACAAGCATTTTAAAGTCACCATGTTGGCTTACCTTAGCACAGCCACTTCATTTCTGAAGGCCTGAAACTGCTCTGGGGTCGGATCTACCACCTTTAATATCTTTACTGCTACGTCTCCTGCAAACATAACACAACAATTGTCTCTCAAGCACCATGCCAACATTCTTACAACAATGACAAGCAGTCCACTGATGTCTGTACAAAAATTACATGCGGGGAGGAACCAGAGCTTCAGCAGTATGGTCTGCACGTGGAAAAACCCAAGGGCAGACCCTGCCAGAGGCAGGAACTCTGGGCCACTAGTTCCACAAGCCCAAAGAACTTTGGGATATGATTGAGTTCACCGTAGTGCTATTACGAACATTCTGTCAGCACAAGCATTTCTGCTTGCCACACAAACCCTCTGCCTTTCTCCTTCCCCCGCACATTATTCTGGGGTTCTTCCTAAACCCCAGAGCCAATTTAGGGAGCATAGGGGCATTCAGGGGGAGGAGGATGGAAAAGCCCCATTGTGGTAGCAGGACTCATTGCATAAGTTCTCACTAGTGCAACTGTTTGGCTGAATCTGGGTCACAGTGTTTAATAAACAGTAGGCACCCACACCCATCCTGATTATCACATGGTAAACCGGGGAACTCTCTAAAGGGTTACACTGAGGCACAGAGGTCTGCTCAAAGGGAAAATATACAATACCCCACAAGGCAGGACCAAGCATTTGAGTACACTAAGTAGTTCTTTGAATCTTGGCCACTATTTCCAAATACCCACTTCCCTTCCACCAATGCAAACGCACCTTATAAGAATAATGGAAGAGCTGTTTATAATTTCTTGTAAACATGATAATGGAAAAGATGATGAAATGTGGCTGCTAAAGTTTGCTCAGCATGGCGTGTGCAATGCCACCTCCTGATGAGCAGGACATATGGCCAGCCTTTCTCCAAATTTTGAAACTGAATGAGCATCATTGTAATTTGGTGTACTGGGTTGCTGTTATTTCATTCTGCTACTCTATAAAGTATCTTTTTTTTCTTTACATCTGTTTTACCTACCTGCTTTTTCTTTTCTTTTTTGGTGCCTACATGTTTTTGTACATAACAAAAATTCAATAAACACTTGAAAAAAATAAATAAAATGACAGAGACAATATTTCAAAAAATAAAAATGGAAAAATGAAACTGCAGAGGAGAGAGGGGATTGTTCCTGCAGCTGAGCAGCAATTCCCATCACCTCCCCAGTTCCAAAGTTGGAATGAAGGGTTCTCTGCCCCATACATAATTATGGGATCAGCTCTTAGCAGATATCTATGAATCAAAAATATCAGTCCTGTACACAGGGCCAAATGTACCATATTTTTCGCTCGATAACATGCACCCGACCATAACACGCATGTAGTTTTTAGAGGAGGAAAACAAGAAAAAAAATATTCTACACGAAACAGTGGATGTATGATTTTTGTGGTTCATGCTGATCTGATGGTGAGTTTGGGGTAGCCCAATGCAAAAATCCTGAGGATCCATGTGGATCCATGTTTGTAACCACGTTTTTGCACCACTGCGGCCCCAGGCAACAGTGGGTGCGTGATTTTTTTGGTGCAAACTGTAGCCATGGACATGCTATGTGATCTGATGGTGAATTTGGGGTGACCCAGTGCAAAAATCCTGAGGATCCATGTGGATCTGTGCTTTGTAACCACGTTTTAAGTGGGGAGGGAAGGAAAAGCACTAAAGGGACAAGGAGCACGCGTGGAGCAAGCTCTGCTTTTCTCCCTCCTCCCCCCCCCCCCTTAGCGAGCTGAAAAACTTTGCTGGAGGGACAGAGAGCCTGCTTGCTTTAAAGGAGCCTACCGGACAGGAGCCGCTTACACGAGTGTAAGTGGCTCCTGTCCGGTAGGCTCCTTTAAAGCAAGCAGGTTCTGCTTCTCTCCCTCCTCCCCCCCCCCCCCGCCCCTGGCGAGCTGAAAATCTTTCCTGCTATTTCCAGCAAAGCGGGACAAGATACAGAGAGCCTGCTTGCTTTAAAGGAGCCAACCGGACAGGAGCCGCTTACACTCGTGTAAGCGGCTCCCCTCCCCTCCCGCTTTGCTCCTTTAAAGAAGCAGGCACTCTGTCCCTCTCTCCTCCCCATTCAGCGGCTCTTCTCCCGCTGGAAACCACGGAGGAGGGAAGCATTAGCTCCGTAACACGCACAGACATTTCCCCTTACTTTCTAGGAGGAAAAAAATGTGTGTAATGGAGCGAAAACTACGGTATATATTTTTTACTATGTTAAGCAATTTTAATATTGACATTTTCCAACAAGAGTGGTAGGAATACTTGATACTTACCATGCCATTTGCCTTTGTAAACAGTCCCAAAAGAGCCTGACCCTACTCTGGTAGAGAGCATAACTTCACTTGCTTCTATTTCCCAATAATAATTTGAATCTCTCTGTCCACGAGGTCTCTGGAAAGCAAGTAAATATTTACAATACAGACAGCATGGCCTGGAAACCAAGTTTCACAGGTTCAGATTAAAGCTTGCCGCAAGCATGATTAATGATATTTGGAAATAATCTAGATCTGACTACGCAGTACATACACAGTTATAATGTAGACTTAACAAAATGTCAACAGGAAATATGTTTAAGCAAACTAAGGACTGAATGGGCATCTGTATATTTCTAAATCTGTTGTACAGCTGGAAAATAATCTATGCCGTAACATCACTCCCAATAACTTTTTTCTATTTAATGACAATCAGATTTCCCTCTTATACAAATGTGGTCATATTCGCATCTCCACGCTAACAGCCTGTTTCTAATACTTCCTGTGCCAGTAGACAAGAGCTTATCAGCTGTAACAACACAAAGTCAGAAATTGTAATTTTTTACTGGTTCAAGGGGCTGATGTAAAGATCTAGGTGCTGTATTATGATACTGAGCAGAGTAATATGGAGGCAGGTGCTATTGCAAATTGGAGACTAAGGATGGGGAACCCATGGCCCTCCATGTTGCTAGACCACAACTCCCATCAGCCTTAGCTGGCACACCCAATGGTCACAGATGAAGGAAACTGTAGTCTAGCAACATCTGAGAAGGCCCACAGGTTAGACCACCCCTGCCGGAGAGTTGCACTGGGTTTGTTTTTAGAATCAGGGTGAAGGCATTAGTGAAGAATGCAAAATAACATTGACAAACACTTGGACTTCTTTTAGAAACTCACACACTATTCAGCTATGGCAGCAGCATAAAGAGTATGACACAGAATACATGCAAATCATAGCGACACATCCAGCTGCAAGCTTTAATAAATTTGAAAATCACATTGTATACTCTGAGTATCTTCTGGCTGTAAATACTCTTGATACATACGATTTTTTTTTCTTGTGAATTACATCCTGCAGCTCTCTCTCTTGGGGCTGGAACTGGTGTTTTAGGCTGGGACCATCCTGTTGGACTTGTATTGTTGGGGCTTCCAGATATAGCTGAGGGTGATGCTTCACATGTTTGAAGAAAGACGAAAGAGACGCTTACTAACATTAGACAACCCCCATATCAGAAGCAAGAAAACATGCGGGAACTGGTATGACGCCATGTTGTGCAATGCCTAAGTGTGTTTTACTGCATAAATGATGTTCTGTGCTCCAGCTGCATCCTAATTCTAACATAGAAGCACTTTTTAATGCAGAAACGTTCATAATATGAATCATCGTAATTCAGTGGCAGAGCACAAGCTTTCCCTGCAGAAGGTTCCAAGTTCAATCCCTGGCATTTCCAGGTAGGACTGGGAAAGACAGACCTCTTGATGGAACTCTGGAAAGCTACTGCCAGTCAGAGAAGACAACATTAAGCTAGATGGTCTGAATCAACATAAAGCAGCTTCCCAAGTGGCCCTCCCAGTATCCCACATATTATTAAGTGAAACACTCACCAGATTCACTGTGACTACGTATCGCATCCTGAAACAAAAAGAACAGGTATCAACACTTCCGCATAATTGCTCTGGAAGACGGAATAGAGCAGAAAATTTCTCGCTAACGAGAAACTGACTCAGCAGCTTTAATTGTAGACACCAAACCACCACAACATTTGGAGATGCTGGCCATTTAAAATGCAAGGAAACTTAAGTATGCCTAGCTTTTAAAATGAAGTTGTCGAATTAATTGTTGAAGTATTCACAGGAGCATTCAAGTTAACGTTTCATGAAAGGCCACCATTAACAAATCAAGTTAGTGGTGTAACATGTATTTTGCATAACCTACTACATACAGAGCAAGTCCAGTTCCATCTGGTCATATTTAAACATAGCAATGAATTGAATCTGTAAAAGTGGAAATCCACGCAGCCCCCACTGTACCACTGCTGCAGCTGAGCTCGTTTCTCCTTCTCTCACTGCATGCCACACATGCTACCCTGTGTAAACATGCACAGCTCTGATATAAGGCAATTTTAGAATGGTTCCCATTTGTCCAGCATTATCCAATGCACAGTTTGTGTATAGTGGATAGAAAGACACAAAGCAAAATGCAAGGTCAAAAGAAAGGTGAGAAAATAGCCAGAATGCAGTTTTTCTGCCAAAGCTAAACTGGTCTCACCCTGTGAACTGTCTAGAAGTCAAACTGAGCTACTCAGAGCTCTTTGAAGGAAAAGTAGTGTGTAAGCACGTTCAACAAAATAAAAATAATGAGGCTTCAGACAGATTTCTAGTCAAGACAGAAAACACGCTGGGCAAGATGAAACACTGAATAAAACCAACTGTAGAAGTATAGCTCAGTGAGAATTGCTCATCACCTTTCATTCTAAGGAGGTTCATTTGGAAATGGGCAACTGGGAACAGTTCCTGGAATCCCAAGAATTGTGTGTGCTCACGCAAGAGAAGTGGGGTGGTGCTTTCTGCCTGCATTGCCACATAAAATCCTGCTCCAACGGGTCTCCCGACCTTCAGAAGCAGCTCTACAGAGACACAAGCGGCTTCAGCAGGAAGGGAGAAGGATGGGGAAATTCCCACACAGGGGACATAGGCCTTTGGATCCCTGACAGCTGAGCTAAAATGTGGACTTTACAGGAACTTTCATGCACTTGCTGTGGCTTGGATGTGGCCACAATGGCACAGGCTGTCCTCTGTTTAAAAAACACACACTCCAAATCCTGAATTTCTAAGAAGAAAATATTCACTGCATTTCAAGGCCGGGTGTTTCCTCATCCCCCAATTTCAACTTAAATAAAGTACTCATCTCCACCAGGCAAAGTATTTTTGAAGTACTGCTTCTGTGCTCCCTTTATAATCACAAGCCTTCATTTACTGAATGCTTGTGTTATATAAAAGCTAAACTATTCAGATGTCTGTGTAGCTTCTTGCTGAGAGCACACTATAATCCACCAACCCTAAAAAGCAATTTAAAGAATGACATTTCTAGGTTTTTTATAATAAAAATATTGAACCAGCATGCCCACTTACCATTTTAACATACAACCACATCCATGAGGGCAATGCTAAAAGGAACAGGTTTACTCCAGAAGCTATGGATTTTGCTCTGTACCACTGAAAGCTTCATCTGTGTAGTGCAAATTCTACTTTGTATTACGAACTCTGGGTTTTAGTATTAGAACTAAACAAACATGCCACACTGGTCTTTCCAAATGCAACTGTTAAGCTACAGTTATGTTAACTCACACTAATTTGGCCAACTCTCTTAGCAATCCTGTTAACTGAAGAAAGCAAAGGCATCCAGATAATACCTACTCTTCCCCTTAAACAGAATCGTCTGCACCAGGACCTGGGAGAAGCATTCAGGCTGTTATTCTAATTCAAAGCAATGAGAAATAAGAAAAGAACAGAGGAAGTAGTAAAAAAAGAGTTTTCAGCTGCTAAAAAGGAAAGTAGTAACAACAAGGAAAGAAGACAACTTGAAAGAAAAGAGAGTTAACACATTAGCTATGTGTATGTTATTTTATATAGGAACTGCAGATTAAAACTGATGCAAGAATGCTCTTAAGGTTAGGCAGGCAGACATTCCACCAACCATGAAATATGCTCCAGGGAAAGTTTTCTAAATCATCTCTCCGCATTTTCAAAACTTGATAGTATTCCAGTTCTGCCATAAGTAGACTCACAAGAAAAGAACAGTTCAAGAGGGGCTATGAGATTTTAATCTCTACAAGGCAGATGTATAGAGAATCTGATTATACCCGATACTGATCCAAGCAGAGATAATCTAATCAAACAGATCTGCAATTCAACAAGATGCTAGATGCCATTTTATACAAAGGGTTCACTATTCTAGGGTAAAATCCAAAGAGAGAACTCTAGGACTCAGGAGCCTGAGATGCAGCAACAACAACAACCGTGGTTTTCCTCTCTCCAACTCAAAACACAATTCCAGGGAAGATTTCCTAGCCTGGCTTGAGATACTAAAGGTATTGCCACTATCAAAAACCTAAACCATCCTAAAAGGTAAGCATTTACATAAGAGTCATTGGGAGCCTAAAATAAAGTTCATCCCACTCATCCTATCAAAACATCCAATAAATTAAAGTGGGAGAACAGAAAGCTACGGGCTACAGATTTTATGATTCTTATAGATGAGGCAATGAACACCAGAATTCGGCAGCTAGGTAACAAATTTTATACAAATAAAACTATATTTGCATATATAAATCAAATTTGCATATACCCGTCTTACTTTGCACAATTTCTTCTACTATCAATGAGAAAGGTCAAAAGCTATCATAAGCACTCAAATCCTTCCCTTGCTCAGCTTCTCACCATTCCGAGTCACTCAGTCAGTATCTGTAGTCTTAAACTCAGCACTTGCTGAATTTCATGTCCTAAACCAGCCTTGCCCTCTAAACGGCCACAGTAGCTGGGGATTATGAGAGCTGTAGTCAAACAACATCTGGATGACCATACACCGGTGAAGGGTACTCTGAGCCACTTTCTGAGATATCACACAACTGTGCAATCATGGGATACACATCCCTGATAAAAAGAGTGTGACCACATTACAAAACTTCAGCTGCAAAATGGTATTTGCTTTCTGGCGCACTGAAAGCCAGCTGGACCAATAAGGGAACTCCAATACTGTAGGGTGGCTCTCTAAAAATTCCTGGAAAAGAACTTTACCATCAAAACTTTAATGGCTCTACCAAGTGATTTTTGTCTTTAAACTAGTGATAAGCTCCAAAGTTCAAAAACAGGGGTAGGGGACGTTCAGTAATGATGTTTCCCAGCTCAGGAACCCCCAAGCCCATTACAAGTTTGGGTCCAGATCTTAAAGGGCTTAGCCTAACACCATCCCTTGTAACGAGCTGCCACTTTCTTTTCTATTCTGATTTACCAGCAAGCTGGGGCAGGAAAGTCTCAATTTAGTGCCCCCATTAGAATTTTAGCGCTGCCATGGAAGCATCCCCGGCACAAGGATTCATGGAACTTACTAGGATCACGAAATAAATTTTGAGGAAGGAGGTAAGAGGCAGAGGAGGTGCCTCAGGCTTGTCACATTGGAAGAGTGATAGAGCCTTAAACTGAGGATAAAGCATAGCTTGATTTGGGGTCAAGTTTGACTCTGACCCAAACTAAATTGTTTGATATCATTCCAAACAGAATTTGAGTGAGTTTATCCATCACTACTTACAACACCTAATCTGTGCTAAAAGCTATCAAGAACATATTCGTCACGCTGTCACCTACTATCTTGCTATGCTGTCTCTGTAGTAGGAGAAGAAAAGCAATATAAAAAGCCAAATGAAAATTACTGCTTATAAGGGGGGGGGGGGCTGCACACAACTGAACCCTCAAGATGTTGATATTAAAAAGAAATCTGTTTAAGGAGATGTGAGTGGATCTTTTGTTCTATTCAGTGAGATACTGTAAATTGTTATATTTTGTAGCACAGAAACTCTCTGTTTTAACTGGATTAACTTTGCACAGGCCATACTTCTATGGAAATATTAACTGATTAGTAAAGGTGATAGCAACAGAAATAATGAGATGTCACATATTGGCTATAAGCATCCTGTTCTCTGATCCTTCAAATCATAGTAAAGAATTGGTAACAAACTATGGGGAGTTAGAACATCAGCTGAGAACTGCGGTTTGGCAAACTGTTCTATGAAAACAGGAATGCGGCCATTATAACCTGCAGTAAGTATTAAACCAATATGCAATTCAGAAACAACTGGCTAAATACTCAGAAATAGGAATACCTCAATTATTCGGTTATCCACGGGCATAGTTGTGCTGACCATGTGGACATTTGGTGTTGATGTAGATCTCTGTCTTTGAGAAAGGGAGCCCTCGGGAGATGGATTTGATGTGCTGAATGTGAAGGCATGAGGTGTAGAATATCTGTGTTGAGAACTAAAGGATGGAAACAAACATTTTTCATTTCTGCCACTAAGAAATGGTGATTCATTGTTGAGCATCAGAAAAGTTGTTCTCTAGTAGATATCACTGCTGTAGAGTCTACTTCTCTTGAAATAAAATTAATATATGATCAGATTAGTCTGGTTCAGATGTAACTATCTCAGTTGAACAAACCAGAGTTTAAATGGACTGGGAACCAGGCATGTATGTGCCCACACTCTCCCATCTCATCCCTCCAGTCATTTCCTCCCACTTCTGCGCCTGACTTTGGCAAAGCTTTCCTGGCTTCTTAAAACAATGATTTCCCATGCATCCAAACTGAGAAACTGCGGTTTAAGAGCTATCTCTAAACCAAAATATCAAACCAGATCATTTTGTTAAATTTTGTCCAATTTGCCATCATTAAGTGCCATTCCAAATTACTACTAAAAATGCAGTTGCAAAGTGAGGAGGCTTCGCAAAGTCTCCGCATAATGTTGTCCACCCCATAAGCAGGCACTTAGCTTGCCTTCAGATGTGAGGATGACTATAGGAAAGAATTAGCTATCATTGAATAAACCTATTGGATGAAGGTTTCCCAACTATGGAATGGTTTTGACAAAATACTAACAGGTCTGGTTGTTAAGTCCAAGCACTGAGGTTACCGCACCCTGTCCTGCCTTCACACTATCCAGCTCCCTGTCTGAATCCTGGGTTCAAGAAAACTTTGGTTTGGTTTGCCCTGGCTCTCCAAACCCAGATTTTAGACCATTGCTTGAAATGGTCTTCCAGTTCTCCTTTAGAGGAGGACCACATGAAACACAGTTTGCTAATCTGCTCGCTACAGCCAACTATGCCATGCAGAGACCAGGAAGTACACGACACACAGGACAGCCAAACCATAAATGTATGCGGATAGGCCCTATTTAAAAAAAAATAACTAAAATATTAATACACTAATAGCATTTTAACTTGTAAAACACTAACCCTTGGTGCTTAGCATGCAGTAAGGAGAGTTTTGTCTAAGATATTCACACCAAGCTGCTTTTGCACATTGCTACTCAGGCTATTACAGCACTACCATTATGAATTTCAGTCGTACCTTGGACGCTGAACGGAATCCGTTCCGGAATTCCGTTCGACTTCCAAAATGTCCGAAAACCAAATCACAGCTTCTGATTGGCTGCAGGAATCTGCTGCAGCCAATCAGAAGCCGCGGAAGCCCTCTCAGACATTCGGGTTCCAAAAGAACTTTCGCTAACTGGAACATTCACTTTGCAGCGTTCAGGAGCCAAAACGTCCAAGTTCCAGGGTGTTCGGGATCCAAGATACAACTGTATAGCAAAACACAACAAAAACCAAAGTTCAACTCACTTAACAGGTATCCTGGACACGGACTCCCGCATTCGCCGAGTCGTTAAGGGAGGTAGCGCAGGGACACCAGTATCACCAACATTTGGGTGTGGAAACAATCTGAAATCAAAAGCATGCAGCTGAGCAAAAAAGAAAAAATAAGCAGATTTTTACTAAATTCAATAGGCCTTTATGGTTGAACCAGTTCATTTATTCTAATTTTAAAATAGCTGCATTTTTATTTTTTTTAAGGTTAAAAATAACTCTTACAAGAGTTGCCGGATGTTGCTCCAGTCCACACACATGGTAGGAACTTTTGTGCTGCAGTGTTCATGGAATTTATAACCGCAGGTTTGACACCGGAATCCATTTAGTAAAAACTTCTGGCAGATGTCACAGTATGCAAGTTTTAGAAAGGTCTTCCGTGCCTGGAAAATAAATTTCGTATCTAAGTTTGTATGAGGTAGCCAATTTTATGAAGCTTCTTACATATTTGTTCCAAATTGCTTGTTACCACATTATCATTAAATATTTCACATTTTACCACTGGAATTAACTTTTATGAATAAAGCTATAGCTTTAAACATGCTTTGCTCAAAATATACTGTCTCACAAGCAGCCAGTATTAATATATTTTAGTTTTCAAAACACAGGTGATTTCAGCAGAAACCTTTTTTTTGGGGGGGGGGAGAGAATTCAGATTATTCACATTTTCAGAAATTGCTTTATTTTCACTTGCAACCATATACATTAGACTAGACTAGAAAGAAACTTATTTGGGTAAGTTTAAACGAGCAGCTTTTGTAGCCACAATGTTATTTGATCGGAGAACTACATTTATAGTCCATGTCTATAGGAGCAGAAAGCGAACTCAATCTCCTAATCAAAACTCACCTTCTCCATGAAAACTGTTCCTTAACCCCTTAGTTCTCCCTCCCAATTTAGACAGAATAGGCAAGTACATTCGCTCACAGTGTTTCTCTTGCTCTCCTCGCCTCTCATTATATTCCATAGTGGACCAATTCATATGTCATGAGCAAACCAAACTATATCTTGCTGTAAACAAGCAAATATGCTGGTGTTTGCTGCTCAACTCTACTCACCCATCCTGCAGGAAACAGCCCCCGGCACTAGTTTAGTGTTACATATGAACCAGCACTTATGCTTTATTTATCCCTCTTGCGGTTTGTTTAGAGAGAGGCAAAACACACAGCACTAAAAAAGTGCTGTGCTTTGTTTCCTTCTGACTTGGGGAAGGGAGGAGCAGGACAGGCATGCTTTGAACACATGCACTAGCATGTTTGCTCATTCACAGTACAGTCACAGTTAGGTTTACCATGATGTGTGAACCAGGCCAAGAAAGGAGATGCTTTTAGTCTTGACCTCCAAGCATTTGGATTCCTGATCTCAGAAGAATACCTCAGTGTCTACTGCCACAGGGGCAACAAAAGAATAAAAAGCTAAAGGATGCTAACTGAGGCAGTCTTTGCCAACCCAATGCCCTCTGTATGTTTTGGACTACCATTTCCATCATCTCCAACCAATGGCCATGCTGGCTAATGGGATTTTGTCAAAAAAACATTTGGAGGGGACTAGGTTGGGGAAGACAATGCCCTAAGGGTCTGGACTGCTTTTAAAAATGTCGTTGATTTTCTGCCAAGATTGGAAAGGTAAGAACACTTAGATATATTGCAACACTTGCTTTGCGTGCTGCTTTGAGGTCAAAGTATTATGAAACCTTTTGAGGACTACTGTTGTATAATTTCTTATAAAGTCTTGTCAGCTGTACTCCCATACGGTATTTCCAAATATTTTGTACATACAAAAGAATCAACATACAAAGTTGTGTGTTGTCAGTGGAACATGATCCAGGAAATCCACTTGCAATTCCTCTCCAATCAAGGATGCAGCATCTGTACCCCAATCCAGCCGGGCTTTTTTACTGAAAAGGTAGGGAGAGAATATGCAGAATGAATTCCATTTTCAAAGTGTATGAGAACAAAAAAGTTTTTAACTTTTAACCAATAGTCTTAAACCAAATCGCTTAAAAGTTCGGAGCTACCTGAAATGTGTGTGAACATACACCAGTTTAATAAGTGGCAGCATTCAAAATAAAAGAAAGACGTAGATACCAAAATTTTAATGGCAGCCTTAATGATATGGAAGTTGTATAATGGGTTTGAGCTCTAAAGTTGTCTGAAATTAACAGATTCAAGTGCAAAAATAAAATCTCACAAATAACTGATCCAGGACTGTGGCTTAACACAGCGTTCTATACCAGCCATCAGTAGTGTGAAGTCAATTAAGTTACCTTCACTCCCTCAACTTGTTAAAGAATCATTTGGTACTTAAAAACAGTAGACCCCTGGCCCTATAAAAAGCGCATTAAGTCTTATATCGCCCTTTGTCCATAAATCTCAGGGCGGTTCACAGGATAAAATGAGATCATCCAAACTGAAATTTATATTCAAGCAGATAAAACTTTCCAACATTTTAGCTAAACCTAAAAAGATAACACTCTACAAGTATCATATAAAAATGAACTGAAGAAAATTCTATGAACTGAAGAAAATTCTATGAACTGAAGAAAATTCTAGCTTTATTTCCTTCAAAGTTCAGAATAAGCAAAACAATTGATTTCACTTAGAATAAGCAAAACAATAATTGATTTCACTTAGGACAATGCAGCCACTTTAAATTCTTTGCATTCCCGCTGACTTCAATAGAACAGTTAAGCTTATATTGAATTCTCTCCATTTGAATCTATGCAACACCAACTTTGGTTGGTGTGCCCTTTGTGATTTTGCACTGTTTGAATCACTGAACATTATAAATGTGAAGCAAACAAAATACAGGGAACACTATGGGAAGGAACTGCTTGAATGGTTTCATAAAACGTAATGTTTCAATTCTTACCCTTTGTGTTCATTAAGTAATCTAAAAACAGCACAGCATTCCGGCTGCAGGCCTCTAACTTTGAGTGCTTTCATGAGACAATCATGAAGGGTCATTCCATTACGCACATTCACCTGTTAAAAAAGTAGTAGTTTTAATTCTGAAACATTTTCATTCTTCAGTCATGGAGTACGGATTACAGTGTGGTTATCAAACACTGGATGACTACAATTACACAATACTATCATAACTGAAAATTGCCATTATGGAGTTTTACACTTGTAATGCTGCTAATTCTGTGATCAAAAACTGAAGCGAAGGGATATCAGCTCCGCCCATGGCATGATGGATAACAGCAACAATCGGGGGGAGAGAAAGACATAACATCTTACAAGGACAGGAAGAAACATCACGGACTGAATAATTGCCACATACAGGAAAGAACAATGATATAGTTTTAGTTCCTCACATGAAGTTTTAGAAATCATTTAATATGTCAACCCGAATAGAAGTTATTAATATTGCAGTTGTTGTGTAAGGGATGACTATTATGAGCGGAATATAACTGAAACTAATAAGATTTTAGAACACAGAAATAAATAAAATTAGAAAGTCAACAAATCTAGAACACGGGGGCCCACCTTAATTAAATAAGGTAATTTAGTATTTGAATTATTGGTAATAATAATTGTATTATAAATTGGCATTGTTATAATGAGGCTATTATTGGAATGTAATTGAAAACTAATAAACGTTTATTATAAAAAAAACTGAACGAAGGGAATCAAGTCTCCAACACTTCTTCATTGAAGATTCAACCCACATTTTCCTTGTTTGCCTAAGGCTGCTGTCTTAAAACCTAACACCTGGAAGTAAACCCCACTGACATCCACAGGACTTCATTCGGAGCAGATGTAAATAGGATTGCACTGTAGACATGAATGGCATTGCGTAAAACAATTAGTCAGGTTTTTTAGTGTCACAGCTGCACTGGCACTGGCCATGGTTAGTTACTGCTAACAAGTTGAAACACTGAATAAGTGGGAACCATGGTAAGCCAACAAGGAAGAATGTTAGGGGCAGGGATTGGGAGTGAATCTGCTCCTACTAGTTTAATCTTGATAAAGAAATCAGCAGCACTATATCTGAAACTGTAAACACTCACCTGCATATGCAACGTTCAGGAGGTAAGTGAGCAGAATGACAAAGGCTGAATTCTCCCACTCTATATCTAGCAAAGAAATCAAGCAGACTGCCAAAGGGGGAGTTCCCCTCCTATGCACTCAGCATGGAAATGCAGCAGGCTGCTGGGGAGGGGGGAGGGGGGAGGGGAGTCAGAGCTCTCCATCCATCCTCTGCTAGTAGGCCAGTAAATATTTTGCAGACTAATAATTTTTGTGGGTTTATTTACAAGGCCGGTGAAAGCAGTACCTTTAAGCAAGGACAGAAAGTCATATGATAGGCTTAGCGAAACGTCTGACAGAATCCAATCTAGGCCTGCTGCAATTAACCTGAGCTGATGTAACTTGTGTTGCTGACATTTAACAATCTGCATATTGATTTTACAATTTTAATACAACTTTGCAAGCCTTTGGGATATACTTATAAAGCACTTTAAAGTCAGAAGCAAAAAGAAAACCAAGATGCTTTTTCTGGCTAACACTGCTTTAGTATCCAAAATAATCCATCAGCAGAGGGCCTATTCATAAGAGACAGCATCACATATTCATTGAAGTGATACAAATCTCATTGCTCTTCCCAAAATTATGCATGTGTATATTGGGTCAACATGTTGAACAAAACATCACTGTATCCATCCTGAAGCATCTACATTTAAACATTATTAGCCCACTGGGGCACTGGAATGTTTATGCACCAGTGGGGGGAAAACAGCCAATCTTTCATCTTGCACAAAACAAGAAACAGACTCACCACTGTGCGTTGCTTGTTAGGCAAGAAAACACGAATCGTATTGCTTGTCTTGGAAGAATCTGAAAGTTTCCCATCATCAGATGCTCTACGCTGATAGCTGTACTGCTGGACAATAGTAGGTGAAATACAGTTGGATCCATTGAAGACAGAATCCTTTAATCCAATTCCATCAGTTAGAGCCTTCCAAGCCCCATGAATGTGGTCCATTGAAGCAGTCGAAGCAGTAAAACCTTTTAAAAGAAGCACAAACACATTCTGAAAATAAGTCTCCTTAAGTGCAAAACCCAAAACAGTTAGATTGTTCAACTATAAATGAAACATTTGTGGTACTCGGGTACAGGCCAATGAATTATAATTTGTACAATCAAGGGCAAGAAAACCTTGTCTACAGCTATGCTTATTTTTCTTTTGTGAGTGTTCATATGCACAGATATACACCTAAATTTCTGCAACCGCATGCTGTGTCCATCAGTAAGGAAAACTGTGCGATGCATGTGTGACACAGCACAGATTCTTAGACTCTGCACTCACTGAACAGCTAAAGGGATGCCAATCCTGAGACAATGTAACTTTCTCGAACCCTCCATGGAATCAAACTGTATGTTGATATACAGATATGTATATGAGAGTTAAATATCAATTTAATATGTTTTATTTTAATTAATGTAAACTACTTTTCTCCCAGAAGTCTGCATTTAGCAGTAGCAAGAGACACTGATTCACGACTACACTGTTAGCGATTTTATATATTTGTTTAGAATCTCAATTACAGTGGACCCTCTGGATACGGATTTAATTCGTTCCAGGGGTCCGTGTGCACCCCGAAAAATCCGTAACCAAGCGGCAAAACCCAGAAAAATACTTCCGGGTTTGCCGCTTTTACAACCCAAAGATTACGTATTACGTATCCAGAGAGGTAAGTAACCCGAGGGTCCACTGTATAGCTCTATTCATGTGCTACTTGCATAAAGGTCATGCAATCAAGGTGTAGCAGCGCCACACTACTGGCCCACCCCAGAGGTCACATGGCTTCGCTCTGCCCCACCCCCGTTATCCTCACATTAGGTGTGGATGTCTGCAGGTGGAAAGCCTACATAAGTAGATGTACACACCTAATGAACAGACAACAGGGGAAGCCAACCAACTTCAGAAGGTGGGTGGCAGTCAACAATGTAACTGTACTTTCACTTTAGTGTGTGAGCACACCTTCATATCAGTAGCATACGAAAGGGGTTCACATGTAGAGTGTCTATGTACAATTTTATTGCAAATTTAGTAGGCCATCAAATATTTTTTAGACTGTGGACCTACACGCTTACAAGTTTAATAAGCCCATTGAACATAATGGGAATTACTTCGGTGCAAACATGCATAGGATTGAGCTGCCAGTTGACTAATTACTGTAAGTAAGCCTGCATTTAAAAATTTCAGGATACTTATCCTTTTTACGATACTGGTCTAATACGATTTACAACTTAACAGAAGTTCCCATTTACTGTCAGAAAATTATTGTATATTTTCTTTCGGTCCCTATTACAGTAACATAGTAGAATCAAACAGGCTAAAAGGAAAAAGAGCCTTTATCCCTCAACTGCACCAATCAAAAATGGGTCCTGATGTTTAATTGGTTAAAGCTGAAGTTGATTAATCAACTGATTAAAAATATTTAAGCTAGCAGTCGTAACATTTAGATTTCCTTCCCACTATTTAAAGGGTGAGAAATAAATCATTTAATTGTATTACTGTAACCTATAGGTTAAAACTGAGGCACAATTATTTCCCATGGTCACGCAATGAATTACATGGTTGATCTGGGATTTGTCAAAACATTTTGTATTAGATTCGAACGGACTTATATTGGAAAGTTTGGAGGAAATTTTCCATTCCAAAATGCACATACCTGTCCAGAATTACATAAATAAAACTATGAGGGATCCCTATCATGAGCAGAGAAAATGCAGCAGAAGAATGCAGGCAAAGGGATACAGTTGGAAGGAAAAGAGGTAGCGATCTGTAGGAAATCTGAAGTGTAGTTCAGAGTTGTTGGTAAAGTTAGTATTTAGAACTCATATTGCACATTTCAAGGATTCCAAGTGCATCAGATACAATAAGCCATTAACTACCTGCATAAGAAACGTACAAAAAAAGAGACATCTCAAGGTGCTAATAAACAGTTATTAGTTGGTTCAGGCTAGGATAAATCTTAATTAGCTTCTTGAGAAGTGGTGTCTCTCTTTCATTTGGTAGATGCTTCCTTGTATTGTTTACTTCCATAGAGCAACCAAGTTCCTGTGACATCAGAGCCAGCTAAGTGCAGTTCAAAAACTCCCTACAAACCAGAACTGAATCCAGGCACACAAGAAGAGGGCAAATTGGAGGGGAGGACATGCCTGGGCTCAAACATCTTTCATGCACTAAGAAACCAGTTGGCTGAAGCAGTCTATGGAGACAGTTTTCTTGTCCAATCAGATTTTAAAGCTACTAAACTGGCACTTAATTAGAAAAGATTCAAGACGAAAGCAGCTATGCAAAATTTCCCATTGCCATGTTGCCACTAATGTTCCTTGCAATTCAATTCTCAGAAGTGTTTGAAGATCAAGGAACTTGTAAATTTAGATTAGGGTTCAGGAATTTGTGGCCCTCCAGATGCTGCTGAACTACATCTCCCATCATTCCTCACCACTGGGCATGCAGGCCAGGGCTGATGGAAGTTGAGTCCAACATCGTCTGGAGGGCCACAGGTTTCCCACTTCTAATCTAGATCCTGCACATATCTGCAAATTGTGTTTACTGGAATAGAAAACCAACTAGGTGTGTTTGTTGCCCTTGCCAGTGTCAACATTTCTACAGGTCAAAAAAGTGAACAACAAACAGTAGTGCTTTGAACTGCAGGCTCTGACCACTTCCCTTATCAGGGTCAGAAACAGAGGTAGAATATTATCAATGTTCAAATGTCAACTTATTACTACAACATGTGAAGGTATCAACTCTATTTGTCTCTTGCTACCTTGTTTGTTTGGTAGATTCACATTCCATCCTTCTTTTAAGGCACTCACAGTGACATACATGGCTCTCCCCTAATTTTATAGTTCTCAACAACTCTCTGAAGAAAGGTAGGCTTAGATTCAATGACCCTCTCAAGGCCATCATCCAATGAAAGGGGATTTAAACCCAAATCTCTCTGGCCCTAGCCTTGAAACTCTAACCACTAAATCATATTGTACCATTAATATTCCAAACATAATTCCAGGGCTCCCTTCATATATGGGAATATTTCAATTCAATCTCAAAAGCCTGGCAGGCAGAGGGAGGAACTTGCTGAAGGCCAACCATTTAGCTTCATGGCTGTGCTGGCTCATTCAAATGTAAGAATATCCAGCTCAAATCCTGATTGATATAAAACCACTGGCCTAGGATTCAGAGTTGCCCTTCCTTCATGAAAGAGCCTTTATGCAGCAGACGTTCCCGCGGACAGAAAGAGGTGGTGGCAATTTTCACGAATACCCTTCCCACATACAACCCTCCCACACTAATCCAGAGGGTTCCCCAACCAGCCAGAACAAATTGGGGGTGGGGGATCCATACAAGACAAATAAGCAAAAAAATGCCTCACTTTTCTTACATGATCTCTGAATTGAATCCACTATGTGGCTTTTGGAGAAATAACTCATAGTCTAACTATCCTCAATGGGCTGTTGGGAGGTTAAAACGGTATTCTGAGTCCCTAAACGGGAGCATACGACACAAATGTAACAAAACACAGCTGAACAGAGATTTCACCTCCCTACTTGAAACACAACATACTCTGGATTAATTTAGCGATTACTCATCCATAACACCAGTTTAAAATGGAGTCTGATATGCTATTTTTTAATACAACAGAATAATCAAGCAAACAGTTGGAATAACTTAAAGTAATGACAAGACAAAGAGTTAGCTGTAGTACTTTGTGAATCCTAAAATATTATTTTTGTTGTAACTGTGATGTTTAGCTTATTTTTTAGTAGTTTTGTTAACAAGTGTTTCATAGATGCTAATTGTTTTGATGATTTGTAATTGTTTTACTAGTTTGTTATTTATTCTGTATGATTTCTGCTATATTTATGATGTTCTATTATGTTACTGTTATTTATTGATTGTAAGTCACTTTGGAATTAATCTGAATGAAAAGTGGCAGAGAAATATAATCAAGTATAAGTCTCAGACATAGTGACAGGAAAGCATTGACTGCTGGGCCAAATTCAATCTATTACAGACCGCAATCCACTGATAGAGGTTTTCTTCATTTGCCCACCTAAGTTCTACTCAAGAGTAAACCCATTGAAATTTTGTCAACTAAACGAACATGCGCCAGAGACACTGTCTTTTCAAGTGGTGGTCCCTGATCTATGAAACTCCCACACAAGGGATATGAGTTGGCACCATCAGTTCTAGCCTTCAAAATGTTCTTCAGTTCGTCTCTCTTAAATGGCCTTCAACCAAGATTATTTTATATAGTTGGTGCTGGCTTTTAAACTATTGGGGTTTTTTATTTCTGGGTTTTGATTTTACATTGTGTAACCAGTTTCATACGGTGTCATACTGGAATTGTAATTTTCTTGTGTTTTATGTTCCGTAAGCCACCTTCAGTGGACTCTGTCCTGAAATGCAGCCGAAATATATCCAAAATAAATAAAGCAGACAGCAAGAACAGAAGGTCAAAAGAAGAGGGGCAGCTACTTTCTCACTCATGTAATCTTGACTCTTTTCCCCACAGTACTGCAAACAGAGGAAGGAAGTAGATTAGCACAGCGAGTTATTGCTAGACAATTGGCATCTATAATTCCTTCCCCCATGCCAATTCTCAGCCCTCCATGTCAGAAACTGTACCAAGGAAAGAAAAGTAAGATTAATCCATGCCAAAGGAGCAGCAGCAGCTGCAGCAGCTACTGTGTGAGGAGGGTGCTTGAGAACAAACTCACACTGAGAGTATGACACTTGGTTCTCCATCAACCCTACCCCTTTACCCTGAGAAGCCAACCTACCAAACTAGTTGTAGAGCAGGACTCCAATGTATTAAGAATCCAGAGTCTACTCCTTTCACTTATGAGTTTTCACCTCAAGCAGGCTCCTGTCAGTATGCACTTGGGAGACTGGAAATTCTTTTCAACTCTGCATTTAAAAAAGTTAGATAAGGTCAATGTTGAGTCTTGCAAATACACATGAGTTAACTGAGCACAATGAACGGAGCCAGGCAACAGTCCCCATAAGAAGTCATGCAAGTCATTGTAGCCAGTATGGAGGCAGTTCTTTGATCACTGCAATCTATAAGACTATGGCCATCTATAAGCATCAAGGCTACAAGCATCAAATCTGCAATTTTCCTAAGACAAAAGCATGTCTTAAAATGTTCAATCCTGGCACATTGTCTTGTTTAAAACTTCCTGTAGGCTACCTGTTTGGTTGCATTATGCAAAAGAAACTATTTCTCTTTTACAATTCTTTGTGTACACCAGAAGTTCCTTGCCACCTTTTCCTTTGCTACATTATTTCTGGTTGTCATTTTTGTATGATGATATGCCATAATGCCATATATAGGAGATATTCCCTTTAAACTGCTACTGATATTACTAGCACTTCCAAGCAACCATGGGCAGGACTGGGATAAAAATTTAGCTATAAGTGTAAGAATTGTTCCATGAGGGCATCTACTGAGCAGAGTAAGAAACATTTTATTGAGGAAGAATTATCCAGATCATTAATTACTACATCACAAATAAATTCACTCAGTCGCTAAATATAAAATAAACTAAATTCTGTAATATTTTTATAGGCAGAAATTCAAACTTGGCCAATTTAAACTATTTTTTTAAAAAAATATATTTTTGTCATGTGTATTTTATGTTTTCCGTTTGAAGCTTTAAAAATGTTTAAAAGTAAGAAGCAAAAATGACCCAAGAGAACCTGACATGCATTAACAAAAAGACACCTTTGATTAGGCAGGGGAGAAAACAAATATACCTGTCTTCCTCAGGTATATAAATATACGATAACCACACATTCAAATATGAAATATTTTCAGCCCTCCTTTTTTCTCATGTACCAAAAGAAAACTCACAGCACTTGCTCAACTCCATAATATGCCAATTAAACACTCCGAATTAAGACAAATGGTTGAGGAATGCCCCATGGCCTGGACGGCAGGAACAAGGATCACTGTGCTAAACCCAAAATTTTAAACCTAAACAAATTTGTAAACAGAGCCAAAGAATGAACTAACATTTTGTTAAGCCTCAAAATTATGCACTTTACACATAAAATATACACCACACACAATACACCTAACTGTAATCCGGTGGCTCTTTTAGAACAGAAAAACCTCCAACACACATATGGGGGGGAAACCAAAGCAGGAAAAATATCAGGAAGGAGAGAAGTGGAACAAAGACAAATTAAACACTACTGCTACTTTTCTGCTCCTGATCATTCTTTGAAAAAGAAAAGGAGTTCTGTCATATTTGCATGTAGTTTGGGGAAACAGGCAGATCTTCACTGGTTTAACTCTAACTGCAACACCTACAAGCTAATTTAAAGATTTGTGGGGAAACTTATGTGTGTATGTCACTGAGGTGACAGCTAGCAATTCTACAGTGGGGTCTACATTCTAAAATACAACAAATATATTTCCCTAAAAGCTGTACAGAACTCTTATAGCAATCTTAGTCTCAGTGTGTGTGTATATGTGTGTGTACACACACACACACACACACACACACGAATTTTTGAAAGATTATAAACATTACGGCTTGCAAACAAACTATAAACAGAAGTATAAATAATGACTAGTGGGAAGAAGTATACATTTTATCCTACACACTCACACACACCCCTAATAAAATCATCCCACCTTTCCTTGAGAGGTAAAGGTAGCTAACAAACAAAATCACTAAAATGAACAGACTTAAATGTGGCAGGCAGTCTAATGAAATCCTATGATGATATTACTACTACTACTACTACTACTACTACTACTACAATTTGTATACAGAGGTACCATGGGTTACGAACTTAATTCATTCCAGAAGTCCGTTCTTAAAACAACCCAAAGCGTCCTTAACTTGAGGCGCGCATTCCCTACATAGGCTTTCTGCGCCCCAGAAGCGGATTGCATTCATATCCCGGGGCAAAGTTCGCAACCCGGGACACCTACTTCCAGGTTTGTGGAGTTCGTAACCCAAAGTGTTCGTAAGCAGGACTGTTCGTAACCCGAGGTACCACTGTACCACCCTTCATCCATAGATCTCAGGGCAGTTCACAATATATAATTACAACATAAAAAGCACAAAACCATAGTAGGATAGGGTTTTAAAATTTGAAAGGTTTACTGTTACACAGTGGGGGAGGCACACTTACACAGAGAGAGAGTTAAAGAAGGTGTGGAAAACAGGACAGTATGCAACAAGATAGTTAGCTGAGCAACAGAACTCCTCTCTCCATTCCCTACACCTTCCCAAATTTGCTCCAGAGGGTTGGGGAAACCCCTGAACAGATTTAGGGGTGATGTAAGAGAGGGAGGGGAAGTTCTGTGCTAACAGAACTACTTCATTGGATACTGGCTGTATAGCTCAAAGATCACAAATAAACTAATTTTGTATATTTTCTTATAACCCCTGCATGTCCAAGCATAACAACCCAATAATTGTACTAAATTTGTAAACTCTCCTTCTTATGAACATGGCAGCACATGATAACAGTTGAAAATCCAACACATGCAAAAAGCCTAAGTTCCTTTTCAACCCTCACTATATTCAACAGCTAACAAATGTTTCACAACTGAGGTATAATTCCAGATTAAGGGCTGGAGTACACATTACGCTTTGCCACTGGGATGCTGCCAAAACCATCATCCTGCTCATAACATAGAGAAGTACTTACTGTGTGGACCTCCGCGATCATGTTATGAATTTCCATGCTCCTGCTTTCAGCAGCATCACTGCCATGGCAAACGTAGTTATGTGCTCCAGCCCTAAGAACACCAAATGCAATATGTCCATCATAACTAGGCTCACACCAGATACATTAAGTTCGTATACTATAGATAATATTCTGAAAATATGCAAGTTGGCTATATTCTTTAGCACATAATTCTCAGTTGCCCTTCTTGGTACATACAAAGCAGCCAACTTTTCTGTTATGGACTCATGTTCAATGACAATATTTGCTAATCATCAGCACATAATGAAACACAGCTTAATTTTGATGTATATGTACGAGCTTAAGCTTCATTAAGAGTGAAACAGGGAGGTTACCTCTATATGCATTTTTAAAAAGGTAATAATATGATAATATACACATTTAGTTTCTAGATTCTAGGCAGCTCCATTTAACTGAGATCTTTGATATATGTTAAGATGTTATATCAAGAAGCTTGAAATAAACTTGCTCAGCTCTGGGGTTGAAATGTGCCACAAGGGTTCCAAAACCAAACACAGCTAGACTTACCATTTCCCACCTGAATCCTGATCAGACACACTTTTGGAAAATTCAAGGCCGGTATAGTGTAGTGGGGAACCAGATATTTTGGACTCCACCCCCTCCCCCCAATTACATATTGTATTGTCTTTTCAGTGACTACTGAAGACCCTCATTTTTTCCAACAAGTCCTTTGAAGAGATTTGTATCCACAAACTGTATCTGCATTAGATTTAAATTGTTTTCATACATGATTTGCTGAAAAAAATATTTTTATAGATGAAATTGGTTTGTTTGCTTTCATCGCTGATGGGATTTCTGTCATAACAGTCAGTAATAGTCAATCAGAGCCAACGTACATAATAATTAGGGTTGAACTAGGACCTGGGAGACGAGGGCTCAAATCCCCACTCATCTATGAAGATCAATGAGTGACCTTGAGCCAGTTACAATCACTCAGCGTAACATACCTCGTATGAGGCTGCTGTGAGGACAAAATGGAGAAGGGAGAATCATGTACAGCACCTTGAGCTCCTTGAAAGAATGGTGGGACTGTAAAAGTAATAATATAAAAATATTCACAGTCTAAGTGGATAAAAGTTAGCATCACTCAAGCTGAGCCAAAGACAAAACATCCACACTGCCAAAGTGATGACAGATGCCTTAGTCACCTATTTGTAGGCTTTCAAAGCAGATTTTAATAGATGCATAAATTAGCATGTCCAGAAGAAGTCTGGAGAAATCCTTTAAAATCCTCACTGTATACACATACCAACTATTCAGAATTGAAGGCCTGTATTTTAAATGTGTTTTTTCTATAGAGAAAAGAATTGGTCTCAGTAGACAGATTTAAATATAATTCAGAGGTACTATACTGTAGAAGCCTTTCAGCATATCCACCACATTTAACATCCAATACTACATTGAAAAACTTGTATAACTGAATGTTTTAATTTCCAAATAATGTAGTCATGTAAATATTTTAATTAGATTACTATTTCTGCCATAAAATTATGACCATTCATATCAACTTTACAATGAAATTCTAAACATGCTAGACTGCAAGTTCCTCTCAGTTATACAGCCTTCATTATGTACATGTATAGATTTTGGATTAGTTACTAATGAGCTAGCTGTAATATATTTAGGGTTCAGAGGCATTTATCTTTCCAAATCAGAATGAAAGATTCCACAGGTGCTCTAACCCTGTATAAATATTTTTTTCTGTATCATGTTATTGTAATAGTAGCAATCATAATATTGCTAGAAACATATTGGGTTGCATCCTGTGAACAGAACTCTGTTCAAAGCACACTTCCACTTAGGCGGGGGTGGGGACAGGTAATTTTCACTGGTTCCTCCTTTCTGCAGGAGTGGAAGAATGAGGGACCAGAACAGCATGGGAGGTGGAATGGTGGGCTGCAGGAGAAATCAGATAAAATTGCCTTCCTTCTCTTCACCCTGCATAACCCTCTGCTGGATCTTAGTCCCAAGTCTGGATCCCTCTCACGATATTTATAAGGTGTGAAAGAGCCCTTGTCAGCAATAGCATTAAGGAGATGAGTGGGTCAACTTCATTGTAAATGCTACATGGAATGGCCTTTGCTGATTTGGAAAAGATCTACTTTTCATTAAAGACTAAAGTAAGTTAAATATTACTGTTTAGCACAGGGGTAGCCAAAATGGTGCCCTCTGGATGTTGTGGACTACAACTCCCATCAGCACCAGCCAACATAACCAATGATCAGGCATGGTGGGAGTTGTAGTCTACAACATCTGGAGAGGACCATGTTGGCTGCCCTGGATCTGGATCACTTCCACCATAACCTCTTTCTTATGCCAGTAACAGATGGAAATGAAAAGTTAAGACACCCCAGGCATTACGTCACCGACACCAGTAATTGCTTACTGTGGCATTTCTGGTGAGAGATCAAATAAAGTATAAATCAATCTACTCTGTACTACCTCCAACTAATATGGTTCCAGAATGCCCCAGATTTCTCTCTTATATGTAAAACTGAGGAATAACCTAATCAGCAAAAACTCTTAAAAAGAAGCACCACAAGCACTCTCTTCATTCTGGCAAATTTTAACACCGACTACATTGAACTTTTAGTTTATTAATCTACCAGTTCTATAGGCTATTCTTGCAAAACATATCCCCAGATTATTATATCTATTTGATTATTCCAGCTGATTACTGCCTAGTTGCCATTTGTGTTTAACTGTTCAATTGCCAAATATCATTGCTTTAGTCTTGGCATAATTCACACATAACTGTTCCTTATTGCATAGTTCCCCAAATGATTTCAACAATATCCTCATACCAGTTAGGGTCTGGGATAACAGAACCACATTGTCTGTGAATAGCAATACATTTAGTTTCCATGTGCCAACAACTGCTAAAAAGTTTGATTTATCAGCTAGTTGATCAATGATGCCATTCACATATATGCTGAGCAAAAAGGGGGCTAATAAACTGTTTTGTCTTACCACTCTGGTTGAACCAATTTCCTCTGACAACTGGCATTCTCTGTCTACTCTGATATGAACTTTGGTGCCTGTGTAAAAGTTCTTAATTAGAATCAACAGGTGTCTTGTACATCCTAACTCTACATAGTTTTCTCCGTAAAATCGATTTATTTATCCTGCCAAAGACTGAGATCAGGTCAACGAAAGCAGCATGTATATTTCCTAGGGCCACCTGCATCTCTCTCTCTCAAATGATTTAGAACAAAGGACTGATCTATGATTGACTTCCCATGCCAGAAGCCTGCTTATTCATCCCCAATATTATTATCTGCCCAATCGTCAGCCTTGTCCAATAGATAGTGTGTGTATAATTTGGAGGAAACATCCAAAAGGTTCACTGGATGGTAACTGACTAGGAGAGGTTTGCCCCCTTTCTTAAAAATTGGGACCACAATATTTTGTTTCCATTCCTTTGAGCAATCTACCAGTGCAGTTAACATATGTAAGGGGTTTTGCTAATACAAGGGCCCATCAGTTTGAATTATCCAGAAACATCTCTGGCAGGAGCGTACCTTCCTCAGAGGTTTTGTGTCTACACAGGTAAGATATTTATATTTTTAAAAATATATTTATAGAGCACTATTCTATAAAAAAATCAGAACATAAAACCATACAGTAGAAACATATTAAAAAGTTAAAAATGGACTATTCAGAGACACCACGCTAAGTTATGTCTACCCTTGATTAATAAAACAAAGATATTTGGTAAGTACAGTCATACTTTGGGATAAATACGCTTCAGGATAAGTATTTTCAGGTTGCGCTCCGCGGCGACCCAGAAGTAACGGAGCACATTACTTCCGGGTTTCACCATTCACGCATGCGCAGACGGTCAAAATGACATCACGTGCATGCGCAGAAGTGGCGAAATGCGACCCACGCAGATGCGTCCTACGTTCTGTTCAGGATGCGAACGGGGCTCCGGAACGGATCCCGTTCACATCCCAAGGTACCACTGTATATCACTTTTCAGCAACTAAATATTTAACATTTATTTTCAAGTAATGCTCTTGAAATCTTAACTATTTAAAACAACCAACATAGCCAGAAAGCTTTTGCTCTGTCATTCCTGACTCTTCTCCTTCTGCTTTGGTGATCACTCATAGCAGAGTAAAATTGTCTTCCATGAACACGGTCTTAACAGTGAGTCCATAAGTGACTGTGCAGGCCAATTCTGAATCCACGCGTCCTTCCACAGTGGGGACATATTTTTCCGGATGGGAGCTGATCACAGTGAGGGTTTGCCAAACGTGCCTTCCTCTTAGCTCATTTCTTCCTGAGTTCGTGCTTCTTCAATGTCCATGACACCTTTGGTAAAAGCTGTTCTCCAACTGGAGTGCTCACAGGCCGGTGTTTCCCAGTTATCAGTGCTTACAGTGGTGCCTCGCAAGACAAAATTAATTCGTTCCGCGAGTTTTGTCGTCTTGTGATTTTTTTCGTCTTGCGAACCACGGTGTCGGGAAAGTTTTGGAAAAGCTTCAAAAATCACCAAAGTCTTTAAAAACCTCAAAAAAGGCTACCACACCGCGTTCTATGAGTTGCTCCTCGAAGTCAAGTCACAACTGTTTTAACGGTCTTAAGAAAAAGGAAACAAACTTGCAAGACGTTTCCGTCTTGTGAAGCAAGCCCATAGGGAAAATTGTCTTGCGAAGCAGCTCAAAAAACAAAAAACCCTTTCGTCTAGCGAGTTTTTTGTCTTGCGAGGCATTCGTCTTGCGAGGTACCACTGTATGTTACTTTTTTAAAGATTTGCCTTGAAGAGTGTCTTTAAACCTCTTTTGTTGTCCACTGGTATTTTGCTTTCCATTCCTGACTAGAGCAATGCCTGCACCCATTGTGGAAATACGTATTCTTACATCATGTCTAAAATAATCATGTTAGACAGACCTTGGATAATTTCCTTGCATAATGCTGAGCTCAATATGCCAATAGACAGCGAAAGTTTAACATTAATATGTGAAGGTATGGTAACCTAATGACTAACCAACCTCTCTGAAAGAAACATCAATATATTATGACTAATCAACCTCTCTGTTTCAGCAAGAGTAATTTCAACTTGGCTTTTATTTTTGACATGCTTAACATAACACACACATTCCATTCAGAATACCAAGTAGCAAAATTTACAAAAGGATAAAATCATATTCTGCCCAATCTGGTTACGCTACTTAATTCTTTCTACTCGGTACACACCTAAAAAGTTTGCCTAAAATAGCCTTTCAAATTATGCCCAGCAGCAGAAGACAGAATACCTCTGTCTTTTGCCCAGATTTCAAGGGACCCATAGCAGTATCAAGAGATGTACAGGGTGCTTTAGAATCCACTTTCTTTGTTCAACTTCTCATCATACACAATACAGTCATACCTTATTTTGCAACCAGGGTCCATTCCGGAGCCGCAGCCGCTAGCCAAAAAGGATGCAGGGCAAAGCGCCGCGTCTGCACACACGCAAAGCGCGATTTAGCACTTCTGCACATGCATGAGCGGCAAACCCAGAGGTAACCCGTTCCAGTACTTCCAGGTTTGCCACGTACATTCGCCGGAATGGACGCTAGACAAGGCGGACATTTGCGGAGTTATTACTGTATCAGTAAAGAAAAATAATCCTTTTTTCATTTAGTTATTTACCGATTGATTGATTGATTGATTGATTGTTAAAAGTATACCTACTTTTGGGCCACCCTGTATAATGCATTTCCATTTCTCAGCACACTGGTACACACCTAGCCAATGAAGACTGTTTTTGCTGAGACTTCCCAGGATTCAACCTTCTCTCTGAACATGCAAACTCCAGAGCAAACAGGTCAGATTGGAAGCTTATTTAGTATGTGTACTATACACAAATACCATAAAAGTAGTTTTAGAAAACCAGCAAATTATTAATAAACAACTGCCTTTTGTTAATTTGACACCACTAGGGAATTTAGGAAAGCGGGTATGGGCTTTTTTTTCCAGAATGAGGGCTACATTCCCTTGAGAGCAACCTTCCAGGACGTGCATGCCAGTAGTGGGTGGCCAGAGGTAAAAATGGATGGAACCAGAGGCAAAAGTGGGTGGGGCAACGGATGCACCTTGTGATTTTTACAGTTGGTTACACAAAAATCAAAGGTTTGAACACACCACCCCCTCCCCTTCTCCATCCAGGCAAGGAAGAGGCACCATCACAGTTCAATAGCACATTCCAGCCTGTTCAAGAAGGGTGTGACCTGGGGAAAGAGGTTGTTGCCAGGGGGAGTAGAGTCCCTAGGACCAGATAGAGGAACAGAGAGCCAAATTTGTGCCCCCAGGACTGAGGTCTCACACACAGGACTAAAAGTACCGTAACACATCACAAGCCTAGCTCTATCTACTGTACTATCCCATGTTGCTACATACCATGGGTGGAGCTTGCTGAAGAATGTGATTGTTGGTACTAGGAAATAAGAACATCAAAACAAGGTCAATAGGACAGGCAGAGCTACATGCAGTACAACCTCAAATATAAAGTCCCTAGTCCCTGTCCAGCCGTGCAACTAGTCTTCTTGCTACTTAGAAGAGGCACAATGTCTGGTGGTCATTTATTACTGCAACAAAAGCTTCTTTAATAAATTCAGTGAAGCCTCGTAAGTGGGAAAATCCATTGAGGAACCTGTGACATAAGCCAGCCATCAACACTTAAAAGCTTTTACTTAGCTGTTGGAACATCATATTTCCCACAATCCTCAGTTAGAGCAGGTCTTAATGAGCAAAAACTTTCAGCATATGCTTATACTTTGTAGTTTTCTGGCTACCCCAGTCATATGGCAAAAGCCTATATGAACATATGGGAGACAGCATAGTGAGCAAATGTGCTCGTTTGTCTTTGAAGCTAGCTTTGGACCATTAGAGCTTCTAGAAAGGCTACAAAACAGGTGTGTCTAATTCAAACAAATAAATGGTTCAACACAGATTAAAATAAAATACAGGAAAGATCTAAAGATAATGTTGGTATGTTCATTCTGTTTTTAAAGTCATTCCTTCTATTTAGTGTAAACCATAAATCAGATAAGATATGGGATCTGCTATAGATCCCAAATGCACCTGAGTCAAGTCAAGTCCAGAAATCAATTAGGTGTTTTAGAAGACATTCTGTAGCACTTGACTGAACTAAACTACTCATTCCTGCAGCAGCACTCTGGACAATGAAATGTTAGGAGCTACAGTATGTACAGCATACATACTATATGAGCACGTGATCACAGGGCACCATACACAGAAGATCCATGCAGCTGTTCTCTTTAAACATCAAAAGATACCACACTCTAGTAAAACCCACTGGATAAAGTGATCATGCCTAAAGCTAGTATGAAATCAAAATAATCTTTCAGTACCTACCAAAAGCTAAACTGAACAGTTTTCCATAATAAATGAACCAGTTCATAATATCCCAAGCAGTGCCAGCAAATAAGTGTTCCTCCTTATTCCACAAAGTTTGTGCTAATTCACACAACACATTTCTCCAACAACACATTTCATCTTTGACACAAGTCCTAGGGATAAAAGTAACAAGTAAAACAGGAAATCAAACTGCTAAAATCTGTATGATGAATGCAGCATTTTTTCTAACAGCCGCAAATCATGTGAATTGCTGCCATCCATAAATATAATCACCCAACTTGTGAGTTGTAATCCATATTAACAAGCAGAATGACTGGGACCACACACATGTATGAACACTAATGTGCACTGCACACATTCTAGGATACTGCTAGAAGGTCAACTTCTAATTAGCAAATATACATTGCAAGACACTCTTGGAAGGCACCAATGTAGGTCCCATAGTTGATTGCATCTACAAGGAAACGAATTGCATGGGGATATTAGATAACCACACTGCACAGCTAAGAAAAAGAAAAGGAATTAAACTAATGACATATACAAGGAACTAGCTGGCACAAAAAGAAGCTAGCTAGTATTAAAGCGGCAAGAGACACGATTCAAGACAAGTCAATCCAGAAATAAATGCACATGCAAACACATTCCAAAATCAAGTCATACTTCAAAAGTCTATAATTAATTCAATATTTTCATCCAACAGAGCAGCCAATGTACACCTCCCTGCATGTCTGCCTAAATTCATTCACTGCCATATTATACTGAGATTGTAAACTAGCTGGGAGTGTAAGCCAGGAAGGCCACCCGCTCCACCTAAAGCTCACCTCAGTTATGATAGCCCTAGGGTAGCCTTGGCAGCCCACCTTCTCTTTTGTAAAATTTCTGAGATAATGAATGCAAAGTATCTTGTATATTAATAATAATCCAGAGTATACAAGTATTATAGCTTGGACAATGATTCTTTTAGTGTTTCAGTACAATGCTGTTAAAACAAAACAGACTTCAGGAAAGTTACTCAAAAATCAACAGGATTAACAGATAAAAAGGAAACACATAAATTATGTCAGCAACACAACAAAATAAAAGAATCATTTATCACTTTACATTGCCCTATGCCATGTTTAGAGATATGAAAAAGTATTTGCTTGCCATATTCTTTTCCTCCTCAGTTTTTGTTGTTGTTGTTGTTGCAATGCAAATAAAACTTAGTTGATTTTCTGTTGATTTTCTCTTCCGACTCTATGATTCTATGATTCTATAGGAGTGCTCTGATGGTGTTTCCTGCTTGGCAGGGGGTTGGACTCGATGGCCCTTGTGGTCTCTTCCAACTATGATTCTATGATTCTATGATTCTTAGTTTCAGTTACTGTCCTTTAGCTCAAAATCACAAGGACAGATTTATTAGAATAGGTAAAAATAGCACTACTGAAGATGCCAAAGGAGAATCTTTCCACTATATGGCCACTGCTTAGACTGCAACATCAGCTGGCTTTCTTTTTATAACCCTTTGGCTACATATATATATGAACTGCAGCTAACACTGTAAATTTGTGAAGGTTGAGAAGGAAGACTCAACTCTGCATCGTCATTCAACTCTGCTCTTTATATTTTCCAAGATAAAATCCTATTTCAGGACCCATTTGTTTGTATGATCTCAGGAAATAAACATACATGTAAAAATATAAGACCCTGGTCATCCATATCTCGTCTGATTCAGGCATACCATAGCTAAAATTCACTTCTACAGTGCCACAAGTCCTTCCAAATATTGATCAGTGTAACACCACTTGTGATCCTCTGAATAAAATGAAACTACAGATGCACAATAAACTTTGTGTTTCTCCTAGGATTTCAGTAACAAGGGAGCTGTCAGTCACCACAACTAGTGGGACCCATATATAGTTTGGTCTTTATTATTATTAAAGATTTTCTTGATTTACAAGTGTGTGTACGCAATGTTCTCTCTCATATATTTTTTTCCCATGTAACATTTTTACAAATCATTGGGAAGAAAAGGGGGAATGAGGTGGAGGGGTGGGGAAAATGGGTGGGGGTGGGGTGGGGTTTCTATTTTACTTACTATATGTAGGGTTTGGTGTCAGCGTTGCTTGTGCACGTTCTTTGCTGTTCACTTGTGTTCCTTTGGTGATGAGAGAGGTTGGGGTTGGCCTAGGGTGTGGTTGTTCATTTGTGGTTGGCTGTAGTCCATATACAGTTTGGTGGAGTGTGGAGAGGAAACTATAACTTATTCTACTGCAAGACATCAGTATGGAAGACAGAAGTAAAGTAAAGAGCAAAGTTTCTCCAGTTCATGAGTTGAGCATCCTCTTCCTCACCTACAGCAAGTTTCCCAACAGTGTTTCCTAAGAATATGACTTTGGGGAAACTTTGAACCACCCCAAATACTCATTGTATAACCACTAGAAATCAAAATAGTACCAAATCACACAGAATACAGTACTGTATGTAACAGATTTCTCATGAGCTACTAAGTATATTTGAGGGAGGGGATATATATTCCTCAGTAAAAAGGTAAAGGGACCCCTGACCATTAGGTCCAGTCATAGCCGACTCTGGGGTTGCGGCGCTCATCTCGCTTTATTGGCCGAGGGAGCTTCCGGGTCATGTGGCCAGCATGACTAAGCCGCTTCTGGCAAACCAGAGCAGCGCACAGAAACGTTGTTTACCTTCCCGCCGGAGCAGTACCTATTTATCTACTTGAACTGCTCCATAAATATGCCACAGCCATGTTTTCATAGTGGGGAAAACCAAAGCTATTGCAGCAGCTGAGAAATCAAATGCAGTATTTAGGATTGCTGGTACAAATGTGTGTCCACTTACTTGTATCCACAATTACCTAGGATAGATACATCTTATAGCCATGAAAAAACTGCTTCTCTATTTTAGCAAAAAGCCCTATGATTTACAGTATGCTGTGGTTAAGCCAACAGTAGAAAGTACACCTTAAGATAAAGGCTTTGATACCATATCTATACCTCGTTAAGAAATTAGTTTGAGCATGTAAAGAGAACAATCTCCTTGCCCTTTCCAAGCCAACTAACATTAATAAACAAAAAGATGCAATTCTCCCTCTCCCTTCTTCCGTTTAGTTCTCCCTTCACCACATTCTTAGCATAAATGTCTACTATTTAGCTAAGCAAAGTCAAGAATAATTTCAAGATTTCAGCTCACTCTCTTCCCTTTGAAAAATTACAAAGTAAAATGCCACATTGAAGCCCTTGGGTCTAAAACCCTAAACCAGATTTAATTACTGTTAGTACCACACCCATCTAGTAACTCAGTGAACCAACCTCACTCAGTTCACAATCTAAAAATATACAAGATGTCCCAAATGTTCTAAAGTGATACTATGTGCAATGAATAGAACACATTGCTTATTGATATAGTTTTATTAGGATTTGCCAGATCTCAAGCAATTTTGGTTATACCACAACTGCACTGGAACACCAAGTTGGGCACTAAACAACAGTACTGCCATACACTTAAAATACTTCATGCAGCACTGAAATGCTGCACACACACACACACACACACACACACAACAGCATCATCTAACAAACTGACTCTATAGAGTAACCTAAAATGGAATATACAGTAACTGAAATGCCAACTATCCACAACCTTCGCAAGTTAAAACCAGTCATATTTTATTTGATTTTGATCAAATTTATATTTCCTGCTCCATCTAAGGAACAGTCAAGGCTTTGCCTAAAAAAACCCAAAAACCGCCGCTCCAAAGGTACAGCAGCAGAACAGTGTTACTTATAGCTGCAAACAAATTTAGGGATCCATTTGTTATTGCACTTCTCAAAGGAGCAGTGAAATATATTTGCATTATAATCAAAAACTTCAAAGATAATTTTTGCAATAAACTTCCAGTGTTAGGTTGACAGCAACAATATTCTGCAATGAATATATCAGCTACTGTCAAAAGAGGTTATTAACCAATCCTCAATTCTGAAAGGCTATTCATCATATAACTTCTCATGCTTAAGGAGGTTTTGGAATAATGTAAAGTGGTTTTATTGCATTGTTCCAGTAAAATAATTTCGGCATGGTATACAAAGCATCTAGCAACATCATATGCCAGTTATTTAAACATTTTACATCTGTACAGCAGCAGCTTTCCAAACAAAATAGCAATGTACAAAAAATAAATTATTCAAGAAGCATAACCTACACCACTTGAAATTAAAATCTTAACTAAAAGTTAAATTTTAATTTTGGACCAGGATGACTAACCCATGGCCCTCCAGATGCTGCTGGATTACAACTCCAACCATCCCTGACCATTGGCCATGCTGGCTAGGTTGATAGGAGCTGAGTCAAACAACCTCTGGAGGATCACAGATTCCACACTCAGTTTCAAAACAGAAGAATACATGATTAACAGTGTAATTAATCCTAACTTTGTCTACTTAGCAGTCCTACTGAATTCAATGAAGCCTACCCCCAGGTAAGTGGAGACTAATTCATGCAACATTGGACTGTGCTGCACAGTTAAGGACACTACAGCATGTATCAGCTTCAGGCAGGCAAACCAATGGCCTAGCCTAGGACTATCTACTTTGGCATCACATCTACCAAGGTTTCTAGAAGAGATTTTTTTAAAGCCCTTCTATCCAAGATACTCTGACCAGCAATTCCAGATATTAGACTTGGCACTTTATATGCTTGTAAACTGCCTAGAATTCTATTTTGGCTATGTACAAAATAAACAAACAAATACGCAAAACATTAGATAAGGTATCTTCTGAAAAGCTATGTTCTCTCTCAAAATAGATGCAGCACATTACAAAATATTTGCTTACCTAGGATTGCACCCTTTGTGTGTTTTAAAACTGGAATTTTCCCAAGTCTACGCTATTCAAGTATTTAAAAGTCATTCTGACTTTTAGGTTACCATCCTATGGATACTTACTTGGAAAGTAAAGCCACTTAAATGAGTGAGACTTTCAAGTAAACATTGATGACTCAGCTAATACTCATTAGAAATAGTCTGTAATAGACTACAGAAATAGAAATCATGTACTTTCCCACTCCAAGCCAAAACAACCACCGCCAACAAAAGGAACTCAAGACAAGCCTGCTTATCACTGACTTGATTTGCATTATTTAACTATGTGAGATACACAAATCAATGCCAGTTCATAACAAAGAAAATCTAAGTATGCTTGCATAAAGACTCCTTGTCTCCTACCTCTACAAAGATAGCCAGAAGACTGATGAAAGAAGTTCTCCCCAGGTGTTTTTTATGTCTTCACCTTCACTTACCTGCACAGACTTAAGCAGTTAAGCTGTGATACAGCTGCTAAACTGCCTCCTCTTTTCCACCTTTCTTAAAGCAACCAAGAACATATCTGGATCACACACGGGGGAAATATGGGAATCCCCATTCAGCAACCACTCCTCACTCCCCAGCGATGACCTCATTTCTGAAAGTTTCTAATCACTCGTTTCAAATTATTTCCAATGCAATTCAGAGACTATCCAGGACGCAAAAGGCTCCGTCCAGACTCCAGAGGATGCTGCAGCTACGACGGAGGCAGCCAAACGCATTTTAAACCACATCGGCTCCGGATAACTAACCCACTGCATAACTTCAACTCATGGCAGAAAAAGACGAAGCGCTGGCTACTTTTGAATCGGCAGACGTTTTAGTCACAACAGGAGCCCGAAGACCCAGCCTGAAAGCATCAACCCGGCAAAAGAAAAGCGCTGACTTGCGCAGCGACGGCAGCTGCATCCATTCCTACCCGTGTCAACGTCGCGAAGGAGCCGCTGCTGCATCACATTATTGGACGCCAGCAAGAGAGAAGCCTGCGCTGCTTGCCTCATTCCCCACACCCGTTCCCTGAAGGGGCAAGGACAGCACGCTTTCCTCACCCGAACCAAATTTAAAAAAAAAAAAAAAATACAAATGAGGAAGGAGAAAGCAAGCAAGAAACAAACAAACTCAAAGTGGGTAGGGCCCGACAGTCTGGTAGCGTCAAAAGCTGACTACGGAGGCAGTTTTAGCAGCTGCAAACTGAGCGCCCCGTCTAAATTGCCGGAGAAAAGCGACGCCACAGCGAGCAGCGAGGAATGGAGAGAAGCCGAGCGCACAGCATCCCCGGCTCAGCCTCGGGGCAGGCGGGACTCGCGGGAGGACGCAGCCGTCCAACCTGGGCGGCTCCGTCCGCACAGACGCCGAGCACAACAGAGGCTGCTGAAGCAGCTCCTTGGCGGCCGCCCCCTTCCCAGTGTCTCCGGGCTTTCCTAACCCCCCGCTACACACTCGCACACACACGCCTCGACACGACACGACGGCGCCTTCCCCATCTCTTTGGACAACTTCAACCCTTTCCCGGGGCTCCGGCTGCGACACTCCCGCCCTCCCAGCCGCGAAACCAGCCCGGTACCTGTCCGTCTCTCTCGGGTGCCGCCGCTGCCGCTGCTTGTGCCGCCACCTCCTCCAGCTCCGACGGCTCTTCCCTCACTCCCAGCCGCCCGCTCCGCTCCCCATCTAAAATGGCCGCCTTACTAGCACCGAGACATTTATTCCAAAGCCATCCAAGCTCTCGAAGCTCGAGTCCTCGCGCCTGGAGCGCCGAGTCCTCGATGGCTGGAGCAGCCCTCTCTCCCGGCCCGGCCCCTTTTCCTCCTCCCTGGGATCGTCCGCCTGTCTCGCCGCCGCCATTTGAAACGCCTGCTTGCCCGGGTGGGGGAGGAGGCGTCGCAAATGCCCTTGTGAGGCGGGGGGTAGGGGGCTTCCCAGGCTGGGATAAGCACGGCGAGTACACGGTGCTCTCCCCAGCCCCCGGAGTTGGCTCCGTGGCATCTCCCCGGTCTTGTCTAGACTGGGATTAAGCTCTCCAGATGTCCCTTGTTTGCAGGGATTCCTCCTTCAGAGCATCCCATGGAGCATAAGAGAGCAGCGCTTGCTATCGCTCCTCTTTCCTAGTTGAATTCAGGGAACGTGCCGCTCGCTACCTCTGCATTATGTCTCCCCCTTAGTATTATATCTGCTTAAAACTGGAAGATGTAAGGGAGCAGCGTAACTAAAACTGGCAAAGAGCTGGAGTGGGTGTAGATACAGAACTACTTCTTAAGGTTTTTAATCAGCAAAGTGGCCCGTGCTGCGTTTGTCCTCCTGCGAACCCAATTCAGTAGCAAGATTCTGCTGATTCTCACCTTGACTAAAGAGGATAAGTGTGATCGGCCAGAAGGAGCTCTGGTTACAAAGTGTTTCCAGTCATGTAGAAGAGACTATGGCTAATACGAGCTCTACTCACATCTCTTAGCGAAGGAGGTTTGGGTGTAGGACCACCGGCCACGATCCTGGTTATCCCCTTATTTGTACAGTTACTGTGATCCAGAATTGGCCTCCACAGTCACTTACGGACTCATTGTTAAAACCGTGTTTATGGAAGACAATCTTACTCTGCTACGAGTGATCGCCAAAAAGACAGTTAATGTACGTCCTATGTCCTTGCAGAAATACAGGAGAGCATTTTCAGATGTCCTGAACATGTTGGCTAGACTGCCAGCTCCCATCATCCCTAAGCATTGGTCATGCTGTGGGAGTTTCAGCATCAGGAGAACTACAGTTTAGACATCCCTGCAGGGTTGCTGGTTGTATTGAAACAAATGCATGTAGGTTGGGCACAGAGCCTACCACCAGAATTTCATGTCTCTCCCTATGTTCAGAACATTTGTAAGGAGCTGGTTTGAAGGCAGTGATGGGCTAAAGTGACTTATTCAGTGTCATACAACAGACTATGGGAGAAATAGGGTCTCAACCTGAACTTTCCAGAGACAAATGATACACTATTCCACTCTTCCTCCTGGACTATCCCTGCAACTGCAAAGCATACAAAAATAGCTTAACACAGGTTCATTACTCTATAATGGCTTTAGGCTTCAACCATCTTGTACTTGCCAGGCTGCACATAAACACAGTATCATATACTTGTAGTCTGCCTATTGTCTGGCTCCATGTGCACAATCAAGGATGTCAGTTTAGAACACCACATTCCATTGTTAAATGTGCATTAAGCCCTTTTCTTTAACATATCCGTCCTAATTGTTAGCTTTGGAGGTAAATAATCCACATCAGATTAATTTGAATAAGCACATAGAATGTTTAAAAGTGTGATAAAATGTTATGGAGATTTTTCACCTTCTAAATGCAGGTTTATGAGAAAAAATCTGAATAGCATGCTTTTTTAAAAGTATTTTTTTAAAAAAACAACAACATTCAAATCAATCTTTTAGCAGGTACAACTTTTTACTGCAGCCATGGCAGTCCACAATAATACATAATTAAAGCAAGACCAAGGGTAGTAATCAACTAGGCTTTACTTAGAGTAGACCCACTGAAATTAATGAGCATTACTAAAATAGGTCCACTAATTTCAGTGGATCTACTCTGAGTAAAACTTAGTTGACTACCATTGCAACAGAATAAAATAACACATCAAAAGCTAACAATAAAATATCTGTGTCCTAGCAACCGACAGCAATGATTTATGCACACTCAATCATCAGATACTTTTCTAATTGCTAGACACCTGGCAGAATAAGAAAATAGTCACCCTCTGAATCAATACAAGAACAAAACTAGATAGGTATTCCTGCAGAGCAGTGGTGGGGAACTTATTTCAAGGGTAGGGGGGAAAACGTGCAGAGAATGAAAAAGCCTGAGGAAATGTAAGTGTCTTCACCTGGTGCCAAAATGATATCCAAGTAGGCTCCAGATGAACCTCCCTGGGAGAATGAATCATGGTCAAAAGTACCACTACCACACAATGTGGTCCCTTTCCCTTGTAGCCACTTAGCACACTTAGAAACCCTGAGATTCTTCTGAATATAGAGTGATTAAGACATTTTCTAAATAGGTAAATACATTTGAACTTGTTTAGAAGCAGATGCTTGGACCGCAGCTATGCAATTTCCCCCCTTCATAGCTGGGGCAAGGCCTTTTCCAGATCTTCCTTGTGTTGTATATCTTATCTAACAACTACTGGTGCATCTTATAGAGCGAAAAATACAGTATTTAACCCAGGTAAACTGACATCTTGAAAAAAAACCAGAGAGCTCAAGCATGTCCAAAATCTTGTAGAACTACAGTTTTGCATGTAGGGCACATTTTGCATCTTTAATTGGCCACTCAACATGACTGCAGTTGGAGCCAGGTTATTTGAAGGATTACTTACATCCATATGAACCAGGCCAGGTGCAAGTTTGTTATCAGAGGCCTCATTTATTGGACCATCAAGAGACATGGCCTTTTCAGTGGTGGTCCTGGCTTTTAAACAGGCTTTGAAAGCCCATTTGTTTCAAATATGCTTTATCTAGTATGTGGGCTGGCCTTGAATTATTATTAGTTATTTTTAGTAGCCTTAAATTGTGTTCTTTAATTAATTTTAGGGATTACTACGCTGGAATTCTTTGAAATTTTATCAATTGCTGGTTTAAGTTCTAGTCTTTTAAAATATTGTTGTAAATTTATTTTTATGTTGTAAACTGCCACAGGTTATGTGTATGATTTTAGATGATATAATAATATCTCCAGTTATTTTATTCTCTGTCTTCCATTGTAAAGGGCTTTGGCTATATACAATGAAAATTGATTGATATTAATTAGGAGATAGGCAAAAATCAAATGTTGAACAATTTTAGAGTAGAAAGAGTATAATGAGTAGATCAGGAATATACTAGCCAGTTGGTAAGAAATAAAAACAAGATTCCAAAGATATGCTTGATAACTGTAAATTGTAAACTATCCTCACTAAAATATATACACATTTGATAATAATATTGAATCATTCCTACTTTCATTAATGTTTCATTAATGTTTAATATTCAAGCACAGGGGATGAGATATTGCACAATCTTCCATTTTCACTAAGACAGGAATGAATAACTTGTGGTCCTCTGGATGTTGTTGGAATCTAGTTCCCATCAGTCCCAGCCAGCCTAGTCAATGATGAGTGATGATGGAAGCTGTAGTCCGGTAACAATTGGAGGGTCACAAGCCATCCCATCTCATTCTTAGGCTAAGTGTAGGCAATACAGTTTCTGGATTTACAATGATGTCATCTAGGATTGTTGATGGATGGTTACGTCTTGGCTCTCACTGTACCTTATGTAACTTCAGAAGTTGATAGAAGGCAATGAAATATGTTGGGGACAGCATAAAATGTGGCTGGGAGCCTGTGCCATAAGTAAATATAGCTATGCTTTCTCCAATACTATTTATCCCTAGTAAAGGACAGGACTCTTAAGCTTCCCAATATACTAATTTGCAGATGGTGTGGAAACTCTTATTGCTATGGAGTAAATAAATTCTTGCTCTTCCTTCTTTTGTTCTCTGACAACACATGCTTGCAAGGAGATGCAGGAAAGCCTTTTATTTTCTAGGCCCTGGATATGGCTTGGGAATGGACAAAACACTGTAACCTACCCTCCTAGAATAGATTCTGTGACTTTGGATGCCAACTGAGCAGAATAGAAGCCTACCTTGGCTCACTCTCTTCCCAAATTCAAAACTACTTCCATTTCACACACACAAAACTGCCCCTCTGGAACAGTAGTCTCAAAATTCACCTGTACAAGTAAGTTGTTCACTCTAGCAAAACAACTAGCTCTTAGCTCCCACTGAGGAAATGGCCAATCATCCCGAACAATTAGCAATCAATCAATTTAACAAAGGATGGTTTCCCAGCAGCTGTAACTCCTTATTTAGAACTGGGAAATAAACCTGAGCTCTTTGAAAAAACGGGGGGGGGGGGGAATGGATAGATTGATAAACGTTAATAATCTATATCATAGGGTTATTTTGAGGATAGCTATAGCAAGAATTGCAAGCTACATTGTAAACAACATTACTGTATATATATATATAGAGAGAGAGAGTGCTATTCTCTCAAAAAAGAATTATAACTGCACTGTTAAATATTTACTTATCTCATAACCACCAAGCTTAATGAACTATACATTTACAGCCCAATCGTATCTGTGTTTGCATGAAAGTAGGTCCCATTATGTTCCATGGGGCTTGTTCCCAAGGAAGTGGGTTCAGGATTGCAGGCTAGGGCTGCTGTCCTATGCAAACTCCCATAGCAAATAGTTCCATTGAATCTACTTATTTCTGAGTAAACATCTTTAGGTTCAAGTCACACATCAGTTAAAATATGTCATGTTTGCACTAGCACATGATATGTGCAGTATCTTTAATGCCTATTATATTAAACGAAACAAAGAATTCTAATGTACCGGCAAACCTTTGGTTCTTGAATCCAACTGCCTTTGTAGCATTTTGCCCACACCTCTCTAGAGGCATTACAATTAACTGCTCTGATATCAGGCAGCACAGTTTACATTTTGACAAATCTGAAGCAACTGTGGCAAACAATGCCGACTGAAGATCATGTGAATTCCATGCAAGTTTTTATCACTATCAAAACTGTTATTTCAGTCGTTGCCTGATGAAGGCCTCCCAAATTGTGCAACAGTTCTCATGGAGCTGAGCCAGACTGTTCCATGCAGCTCCAGCCTGCCACATCAGCTCATCTCTCCATCTGGCCCACAGCCATCTTCCTGCTTCGCTTGCAGCTCTCTCAGACCTTCAGTCCTCAGTATTGACTCTTCTGTTTAAATGCAAAGTTTGCCTGCTCCACAGTCTAGTTCAGTTACTAGGTCTTTTCTTTTGCCCTGGGCATATCTATCTAGAACTAATTTTGTTCTCCAGCAACATTAAAAAAAAAACACCCAAAGGATTAGTTTTGCATTATCCATACTGTATATGTCACGGCTCCTGTGGGACTGGAATGGTACCAGAGATTGCGAAAAAAGCATTATAATCCCCCCCCCCCAAAAAAAATTTCCCTTGCTGGAAAAAAAAAATCACCACTTTGTCTCATGCAATGTTTGTGTAACTGAATTCTTCCAGGAAGGCTGGGCCATTTATAATCCTATTAACTGCTACCATGTTCTGTTTCCCTTTGTTCTTAAAAGCATATGACACAAGATGGGTTACCATAAGCTAGAACATTTTTCTTTGATATTTGATTAATATCACTAAGCTTTTACTTTTATTTCTCTTCTTAAGCCAACAATATCATGTGTTTTTAAAACCCATGTCCAGTGTTTGTTTACCTTACCTGATGTGATTGTCACATTCACTCCATGCTCATCTCAACAAAATGGTGTACTGTAGTTTTTCTTACATTGGTACACTCTGTATAAAAAATGCTTTGTGTGACTACAAAGAAGAGTTTTGTAGCATCTTAGACTAATATACGATGTTTTGTTGTTTCTTTTGCTGCCTGCAACAGGCTAACACACAACTACCTTTTTGGAGATCTTTCATGAAGCAGTCCTAAAAGAGACTGTGTGGTTGCAGATTTTGCTCAAAACTGGTTGGGATTTGAGGATATTATGTGACAACCTTATGTTGCTGTGGATCTCACAATGTTTGTGTGTTCCAATGTTACATCCTGGCAATACATTATCTACTTGTATATTTCTACCCAACTGTTATAAGGCCATCGCTTTCCAATGCTTTTGCCAAAAAAGTTTTCCCTGAAATCGCTGCTTATCAGAGAATTAGTCTGCAAATTATGCTAAACTATGGCTTTTTAAACTACATAGTTTAAACCATAGTTTATTTGACTGTCCAAATCCCAGCAGTTTAACTATGGTTAGCATACTGTGAAGAAACCATGCTCTCAAGCTATGGTTTGTTATTTGCTTATGAACCGTGGTTTGTTTTAACAATGGCTTAGTGTTTTGTGAGAACCAAACACCTTTCCGTAACCATGGCTTGTTTGGCCATCCTACGTCAAATGCTTGCCAAAGCAAGAAGCATGAAGCTAGGAGCAGAACAGACCAAGCTCTGGATAAATGAGCCATGGCTTGTTTTAAATTATTTCTATGGGACAATCCATGGTTTGTTAAACAAACCATAGCTTAGAATTACATGCAAACCAGGCCAGAGAAGAGGTAGAGCCAAACCCACACAGGTGAAAACTGATTTGGTTAGTTAGTGATGAGAGGTAGTAACACAATATTCCATCAACATGGTATGTTGTTCTGCAGCACACACAGAAATTAGGCAATACCCCCACAACAATACATTAATACTTCTTGTGACCTTTAGTATGTTTGTGTAATGTGGAACAGATGCATATTAACCTTCACCCAGAATATGCATTCTAATTCTAATTGCACATGGTTGAGAGCTTATTTTTAAACACAAATGGTCGTGATTTATGTTCACCTAATTGAAGCAGACTAAACTGAAAACGTATATATAATCTATGGTAAATTGGTTCTCAGAATGACGACATCTTGGTGGTAGGCTTGTAATTACATAACACAGCAAAGTATATGGGGCTGGGCAGGGAGAAGGCGTGGTCTCACACCAGAGCTTGCTGAAGTTGAAGTCAATGCCACTGAAGATTCAACTTCAGATAAAGCAGCCTCACTACCTCATGAAGTTATATATCAATATCTGGTATCCAGCACAGATAGAAAGGGCCACAAGTTTGTCCTTCCTTGTATAACTAAGATTAGTAAATAGGAGAACTGTTTCTGCAAGTTCCTTGCAGGGGTGGCCTTTTATTGTTTCCTGTCCTTGTTATTACCATCCCAACTCTTATCCTGCTACCAGTTTCTGTTTGGACCCCCACCACATTTTTCCAGATCTCATCACCTCCTCTGTGCCCTTCCCTGCCTTCAGCTTGATCCCATACTTCCACAGCTTCTCCACTTCCTCTTCTGCCTATAGGTTACTATTTTAACCCATGGTCTGTCCATTCACCCATAGTCAGGAATTTGGACTTCAGGTATCACTTTACCTATTTTATAAGCCATTTGGACACTGTCTGGTCCTACGATCTAGATTCTGGCATGAAAAGCCTGGCTTGATCTCAGTACTTATTGACTTTGGATCCCAATCTAGATCAAGCTTGCCTACTGCTAGTCCTGCTCCTGGCACAGCTGCCCATGCACTCTCATCCATAGGGACAAAAGTGCAGATTCTGAGCAGAATTTGCCTGGCAGCATCGAGAGATTGTACCAGGCACCAAAGGGGAGAGTGGAAGTAAAAGCCAAGGAAGGAGATTTTCACTATGGTTATTCCCACCATAGCACACACTTCTGTTCTCCTGTTTGTCAATCACCCCAGAGCTCTCATGTGTGTATGGGAGGAAGAGGAATCACACCCAAGTTTCATGAAGAAAAACCAGTAGCGACAACAACCCTCCTATTTGTATGCATG